ACTCTGCATTCCAAGATCTTTAAGGGGAATGTCATGGATGAGTGAACGTTTCATATTTCAAGAATTTAAAAAGTAACGGCAACATATTTCATAATCATACATTTTATGCACAATTCATTTACATTTTTAATGGTGCAGTTTTGAAAAGAAATCCAAAATAGATAACACTAGGATCAGTAGTACAAGCTTTAAACAAGGAGTTAAAACAATCTGCATTCCTTTGCAACAAGCTGGTTGTTGGTATGCAACAACTTTCATTGAATCCCACTAATCAACAATCTTCTTATGCATCTATGTTAAAACAATCTGCATTCCTTTAAAACAAGCTGGTTGTTGGTCTGCAACAACTTTCATTGAATCCCACAAATCAACAATCTTATTTATGCATCTATGTTAAAACAATCTGCATTCCTTTGAAACAAGCTGGTTGTTGGTATGCAACAACTTTCATTGAATCCCACTAATCAACATTATGCATCTATGTTAAAACAATCTGCATTTCTTTGAAACAAGCTGGTTGTTGGTATGCAACAACTTTCATTGAATCCCACTAATCAACAATCTTTTTTATTCAGGTCTATGTTAAAACCAGCTCGTTACAAAGAAATATGATATTTACTTTTAGAAAAATTGACACAGTGTTCCTTAAGAGCAAAACAGTTAACTTGGTATTGTGGAGCAAATTCAATGGAAGAAAATGGAATAATTAATTATGTATAAAGATTAGGATGGAAGTATAAAAAATAAATATTTTGGATTAAGATGGAAGAATAAAGGATAATTGATACACGACTAAGATTAAGATGGAAGAGTAAAGGATAATTGATACACGACTAAGATTAAGATGGAAGAGTAAAGGATAATTCTTACACGATTAAAATTAAGATGGAAGAGTAAAGGATAATTGATACACGACTAAGATTAAGATGGAAGAGTAAAGGATAATTGATACACGACTAAGATTAAGATGGAAGAGTAAAGGATAATTCTTACACGATTAAAATTAAGATGGAAGAGTAAAGGATAATTGTTACACGATTAAAATTAAGATGGAAGAGTAAAGGATAATTGATACACGATTAAAATTAAGATGGAAGAGTAAAGGATGATTGATACACGATTAAAATCAAGATGGCAAAGTAAAGGATAGAGATTAAAGGATTGGGATGAAGATGGAAGAATAAAGGATTAAGATGAATAATTCAAATTTCAAGTTTTTAAGTAGAAATTGAGCCAAATTGTCAAAATATTCCAAACTCCAAAATATCCCGGGTGTATCTCTGAGAACCAGCGATATCTCAACATGGACAAGAATATATGATTTGATGGAAACCTTTTCATTGATGGCGTTAACCGAAATATATGCTATTCTCTTTAAAAAATCAAATGGCATTTGCCTTCTTTGTCTAGCTCTTGGCGGCCGTTTGGAGAAAGTTGTTGCGAGTGAAGGGTTTCTCAAAACATACAGAGCGTCCCATATCATATTAGATTATCTCCAATCTTTAACACCAAAATAAACCCTTAATACTCGAAAAACTTATCATCTTCCGCAAGAAAATTCTTATATAAGCCTTATGTTATTTTTCAAATTGATTCATTCTAATGAAATTTTCTAATTAGTCCCGAAAATCATAATTAAGACCCGTTCTCGGTCTAATATGATGTGGGACACCCTGTAAATAAAGAGTAAAATAGGTAGCTAAACGTTCTTGAATTTACTGGGTTAAGTTTTGTAAAGGTGTCTCCACTGTACAGAGTGTATCTTTAAAAAAAAATATATCTCATAAGGACGGAGGGATATGATTTGACGGAAACCTGTTTCCAATCACCCTTATGAATGAAGACCAGGAAATAGTTGAATTTGCTCCGCAGTACCAAGGTAAACATTTTGGCTCTGAAGGAACACTGTGTTGAATTCTAGGTGAGATTCTTTTATAATCTGTAGATCCAAAATGTTGTTGAGTAAGGATTTAAAATATTGTGGACATGGTACCATGGTACCGGTATCTTAGTGATTTTACAGCTGAGAATCTGGGAAAGAGGAGCAAGGTTGAAAATAAAAAAAAAGTTTTATTTTAAATTTTATGTTCTGACAAATTTTTTGTGCTGTCAGTAAATAAATTAACAAAAAGTTAAGGGGTTTTATGAAATAAGAATGGAATTAATGAATGGAAAATTTTTAAAATCACATCCTCTTTTTATATTTCCTGAATTTGTGGAATAAATTTAAAATGGTGTTGAAAAAACGGTATTGTAAACAGGTCAACGTTTTCCAGTAATTTAAAATCCTATTTTCTACATAAACTTGCTGAAAGCTAAAGTATAGATTGTATAGATTTTTGAACTGTTTAGCTTGATTGTACTTAGGATCTAAGTACAATACCTTCTTATAATATTTTGTTTTATTTTCTATTCTCCAGGTTTACTAGAGCTCTCATAATCGGACCTACACGGAACCATTACACAAATATTCACCCCTCTTATCCCTTTTTTTAATAGTAAGAATCACAAGGCTGATAAATCTAAAGTTTTCAGGTACCCGGACCAGACACTATAGACATTGAGATAATGAGCTCTCAGGGTTTCCCGGCATTGAAACATTCTAAAAATTATCAAATTGTTTTTAATAACCCATGTATGTACAAAACTATTTCTGTATTTTTTTTACTAATATTTCCCTTAAATGGCGTCTTCATTTTCAAAAAATTCTTAGAAAATTTATTTATTTATATTAGTGCTGGGTTATAAAGTGGGGTGGGAAGGAGAAAAAAGGGGGCTTAACAATCTATTTGCATGAGAAAGGAGGTAAAAGAAATGTGGGATATTAGTTGGAGGGAAGGAACTTCGGGGGGTTTCATAGGAGATTAAATTTGACCGCGAGATGGGTTGTAAGGATTTAACCCTATACTTGTAAATGAACCGCAGCTACATGTGTCTAACGATTGATGGGTACAGGGCAGGGAAAGGAGGGAGAGGGAGGGGGGGTGGGGGGGGGGTTGTAATTTAGACAATTAGGATACCAGTAACCTGACCCTCAAAAATTAGTCTTCAACATTACAATAATGTAAGAAGATACTCTCTGGTAAATTTTGATCAGTTTTACTTTTAGGTGAATTGGGGTCTACGGCGCATGCAGTTTTTTTTTTCTTTTTGATTTTTAGCATTTTAATTTGATTATTATTATTCTATTATTATAATCGTTTATCAATTGGTTTAGATATCACATTTAAAATTCAGATTTGATGAGTTCATGAAAAATTCGTAGACCTTGATTTTAATACACCCAAAAAAATGTTCTCGACATTTTTAATTATGTTATGACAAATCTTATCTATATCCTGGAATTGGGTCACTTATAAAAATATGTTTTTAAGTTCCTCAGTGCACAGATATTTTAATAGTACAAGTTGTTAGTTTACCTCTGAAGTAAATGCCTGAAGGATGATCTTTTTAGCTTATTGCCTAGAGCAGGGGAAATAGTAATACAAAACGGATACTGCAGTGATAAATCAAGTTTTTCTGATACACCCTGGATATAATGTAATTTTTAGGTTTCTCTGATACACCCTGGATATAGTGTAATTTCTAGGTTTCTCTGATACACCCTGGATATAATGTAATTTCTAGGTTTCTCTGATTCACCCTGGATATAGTGTAATTTCAGGGTTTCTCTGATACACCTTGGATATAGTGTAATTTCAGGGGTTCTCTGATACACCCTGGATATAGTGTAATTTCAGGGGTTCTCTGATACACCCTGGAGTGGATATACTGTAATTTCGGGTCAAATTAATCTTTAAATTGTGCAACACAATTTTACCCATGTAAACACTAAAAAAAATCGAAGTCTTTGTTTTTTCTGTATTCCTTATAATTTCTTTCTATTTAAAAAACATCTGATATAGGTTTAAACTTTAAACATAATTTAGCTACGGCAGGTCTAAAATTAAAGTTCTGAAACTTTCAAAAATGGTCAGGATTGTTATATTTAAAATCTAAAAGACATTGAAACTCCGTGCTTTGCATTTTAGACCCCTATGGGCTATACGTTTTCAGTGTAAATGGCATCCTTTGTAAAAGGATAATAAAAAAATGTAACCATTTAAATGAAAACGGGATTACCTTTATAACTGAAAAATTGCAAAAGTTTTATAAAATAATTTATAAATTTCTTAGAAATTTTAGATTAACATAAATGATTAATTCTTTCATAAAATTTTTATGCATTATCGAGAAGCATATTTGATTCATCTTATTATTAGTCTTTTTTCGCCGTGATAAAAATTAATATTATTGTTGCTAGAAAATAAAAATGATGAAAATGAATAAATGATAAAGATGATAAAGATGATGAAAATAAAATGAATTCATAATTTCCAGGTTTTATAGGGAGATTCAAATAACATTGGTTTTATTTGCGTAAATATATTACTGTGATCTTGCCAGGCTAGATTGAAAATTGTGTAACATGCAGTTACATCATGTTAACTGACCAACCCTGTGCATGAAGGTGAACAATGTACAATACTTCTCTAATGTTTTCTGACCAATCCTGTACATGAATGTACAATACTTCTCTAGCGTTTACTTAACAACCCTGTACATGAAAATGTACTCTGTACAATACTTCTCTACTGTTTTCTGACCAACCCTGTACATGAATGTACAATACTTCTCTAGCGTTTACTGACAAACCTTGTGCATGATGATGTACAAAACTTCTCCAGTGTTTACTGACCAACCCTGTTCATGAATGTACATATTACAATACCTCTCTAGTGTTAACTTACCAACCCTGTACATAAAGATGTACAACACTAATCTAGTGTGTACTGACCAACCCTGTACATGATGATGTACAAAACTTCCCCAGTGTTTACTGACCAACCCTGTTCATGAATATACAATACCTCTCCAGTGTTTTCTGACCAACCCTGTACATGAATATACAATACCTCTCTAGTGTTTACTGACCAACCCTGTACATGAATGTGCAATACCTCTCTAGTGTTTACTGACCAACCCTGTACATGAAGAAGTACATTACTTATCTAGTGTTTACTGACCAACCCTGTACATGAAGATGAACAATACTTATCTAGTGTTTACTGACCAATCCTGTACATAAAGATGTACAATACTTATCTTGTGTTTACTGACCAACCCTGTACTTGAAGATGTACAATACTTATCTAGTGTTTACTGACCAACCCTGTACATGAAGATGTACAATACTTCAAGTGTGAAAACTTCTCATTAGCGAGTAAGCAGCATGGGAACTACTTTGACCATAATCCTAAATTAAAAAGTCATGATGGGAAACAAAATTTAAAATGCAATGCTATGGAACCTATGGTATGACAAATGGTGGGAAATATATGCGGAACAATTAGTGATGTGCATAGACTAACAACAATACAGATAGAACACTAGATGTCGTCAAGATTTAGGGGTTTTTCGTTCACAATAACCCTGAGGCAAGGGCCCAAAAAAGTTAAGCGTATGCTCTCTTTCTGTCTTGTCATTCAACACAACATGCACGTAACTCCTTTGGGCTTCTGCCTCAGGGTTATTGTGAACGAAAAACCCCTAAATCTTGAAAAGACAACATCTAGTGTTATATCTGAATGTTTATTAATATATGGTGAAGTGTATCTATCTGCGCATATATGTGTTTAGTTGTTGAGAGAAGGGAGTCTTACGATCCAATCCTGAGAAATACCACACGGTACATATATTAGGTCTTTAGGGAAGTAGCGAAACATGTTTAGTCCAATGATATGTGTATAATCTTTAAAATTACACATTAGTAGCTCCAGGACACAATTTAGGCTCTCCCAGCAAACTTCTAGACTTCATTTCAAGATCGTTTAATTCTGCCCCTGGCCTACACAATTTCTAAATTTAAATTTGACATCTCTGAAAACAGTCCATTTCGGGAAGTTAATGAACTTATAATTGAATTTTGAGAATTTCAGACTTTTTTGTGGATTTCAGATAATTGCTCTCTAGCATTCGTCTCAAACATTTTGTTCAAAATGAAATGTAAATTTACAAACAGAGTAATGCAGAAAGGGCAAGACTTCAAATTTCTTTTCAAAATTATCCAAAGCGGAATTTTTGTTTAAAGTATTGTTTTCTTGAATGCTTGATCTCAATATCCAACGTTGACACTTTTAAATTTGAGAATAAATGTTTGATTCCTAATTTGAAGTTTTCAGTTGCAGTGTACGAATAATTATGAACACCACAAGATATCAAAGAGGAACTAATTAAATAAATTAAATTTCAATTTTATAACATGGAGAAAATGCTTAATCTCGATATTCACAATACAAAAATTCTACAGCGGGGCAAAAAAAGTATGGAAAAGGAAGACAACATTCTAAGTAAATAAATGTGTATTTGATTTTAAACAGCAAATATAGGGTGTCCCACGAAACATGACAGGTTAACCAAATACCAGTTGCTTGATAGTAAACTTATTAAGTAAAAAGGGTTTATGCGCAGTTAATGACTTGATTGAACAGACATCTTTCAATTCCAATATTTTATGGGAGCCACTGTATCCGTTTTAACCGGTTTATAACTGAAAGATTATTGAATGTCCTTGAAGATTAAAAAAGTGCATTATTGCAACTGCAACAGTGCAGATATATAGGCAAACCGGAGGAATCCCACGATGCACTTTATCTCATCTTTATATTTGTGTTGGGTTAGCTGGGCACTGCAGGTATAGGGCAGGTTGGTAGAACATAAATTCTTGTGTTTGGTATTATATAATCATATTTAGATCATCGTTTATAAAGCAATATATAAAGATTCCTATACTACAGATATTTAAATTTTTTAATTAGATTAGACATGATCCAAAGCATGTACCCACACATAAATATTAATATAACTGAACAGCATTTTAAATCATTTTTTAAGTTTAAAGTCATTATCTTAATCTTCTAATGTTCTGGGGACTACTATATGTATTTGTTCACGTTTAAAACTGAAATTTAAACAATTGCCATTGGGAGTTCGAGAATATTAAAGGATACTGAAAAAAAATGTTCATAGTAATTAGAAAAAGAGGAAACAAAGAAAAAACTTGAAATTTTTTTCTTTTTCTAAATTTCTTTTGCATTTATTTCTTGGATGAAAATGAAAAACTTTGAGGGTCAGAAATTGGTTGCTACCTAAGTTTGATGATCTATAAGTATTAATACTTCGTGAGGTTGGTAATCAACAAGGTTTCGAGGGCAAATGTGTGAGATTATTTTTTACTTTTATTCTTCTCACTAAAACAATTAGTTGGAATAAAATTATTTATAAGCATTCACGTCTGGCCACACTCTGATCCTATTCTTGGGAAACACATTCACATTTCTGAGTGAGATTGAATTTTACTTTTTTGCTTCTAAACTTGCAATCAGGAGGATGGGGGGAGGGGAATGAGGGATGGCACGGGGTGGTAAATAAGAAATATTTTTATATGGCGCGATGATAAAAAGAAAACAGAACTTAGGAGGTTCACTTACCCGGGCTAGGATTCATAAGGACTAAGATTCACCCGGACTAGGATTCATCAGGACTAAGATTCACCCTGACTAGGATTCATCAGGGCTAAGATTCACCCGGACTCGGATTCATCAGGGCTAAGATTCATCAGGACTATGATTTACCCGGACTAAGATTCGACAGCACTAAGATTCACCTGGACTTGGATTCATCAGAACTAAGATTCACCCCGACTAAGATTCATCAGGGCTAAGATTCGCCCGGACTAGGATTCATAAGGACTAAGATTCATCAGGAATATGATTTACCCGGACTAAGATTCACCTGGACTAGGATTCATCAGGACTAATATTCACCCTGACTAGGATTCATCAGGACTAAGATTCACATAGGCAAGGATTCATCAGGACTAAAATTCACCCGGGCTAGGATTCATCAGAACTAAGATTCACCCGGCCTAGGATTTATCAGGACTAAGATTCACCTGGACTAGAATTCATCAAGACTAAGATTTACCTAGGCTAGGATTCAAAGTTCATCGTAGTCAGTAAAATTCACTCTGACTAGAATTTATCAGGACTAAGATTCATCAGGACTAAAATTCATCAGGACTATGATTATCTTAGTCAATGAGATTTACCCGGACTAAGATTCATCAGGACTATGATTCACTCGGACTAGGATTCACCAGGACTAAGATTCATCCGGACTATGGCTTATCAAGACTATCAAGACCCGGACTAGGATTCATCTGGATTAGAATTCACTCGGACTAGAATTCATCAGGACTAAGATTCACCTGGGCAAGGATTCATCAGGAATAAGATTCTTCAGGACTAAGATTCACCTGGGCAAGGATTCATCAGGAATAAGATTCTTCAGGGCTAAGATTATCAGGACTAAGATTCATCAGGAATAAGATTCCTCAGGACTAAGATTCACTCGGACTAGGATTCATCAGGAATAAGATTATCAGGACAAAGATTCAAGTACTTTTTGTGGGGTGGTGACACCAGTTCTCGATAGTCCTGAAATTAAGCACACTTGCCCTCCGTCAGTAACTGGATTGGTGTCCAGACTGGTGTTCACAGGTTCTATTCCCGTACTCCACACAAACCTGTGGTTTCAAAAAACATCTGAAGCCTAAAACAACCTGAAACATTCCCGTGGTTCTACTAAATTTTCCAATCAAACTTCGAGGCAAATCGGTCGAGTGAAGATGAGAGGAAGTGGGGAAAATCCCTCCAGCTACATATTTGGCAGTTTTACTAGACGTCTCCTCAACCTAAAGTGGGTTCTTCCTGCCAACTTTAGAAACCAATATTTTCAGTATTTACGTAGATTAAAGAGGAGGGGGGGTTCTGTTGAAACTTTAAACATTTAACATTTATTTCATTAAACCAATTTTACTAATTTTCTGAAGAAAAAAAAATCTAATTATCTTTTTGATCAAATAGTGATGCCATGACGTATATATATATATATTGAAACTGCAGCTATGAGCAATCTTGATCAAAATATTGTGAGAAGCTCAAAACTTTAGAACTGAAAAATACTTTAGAAAAGTAGATTATATTAGAAAAGGTTTTAAACTCTGATATTTCCTTTTTTTGTCTCTGCTCCATATATCCTCACGTACTTTTACAGAGAACCCACAACGGGAAATAATAAATTTTCAGATAGAAAAAGGATATTTTCAATAATTTTTTTCCGAAAAAGTTTAAAAAGTACCAGAAATCAGGCCCATTGAAATTGCGCCGACACTTGACAGAATATGCAGTTTAAATTGTTCAAATATACGCATTTTCCTCGAATATAATTTGTCAAACTGTACTCTCGATCTCGTAGTTTTATTTGAATAAATATACATACGCATATGGTTGCAGATCTTGAAAATAAAATCTCATATTGTGCTTCGTACCTCGATACTAATTTCTGAATCTGGATTTTCACCGATATCTGATTTTTCTAAATCTTTAGAAAGATCCAATTTATTCAACCGAACTCCAATCTTACAACCTTGCAAATATGTGAAAATTTAGATTTATCCCATTTTTTGCAAAAACTAGTTAAAACCTGACGCGTAACATATTGATGTAAAAGTAAATTTAAGTTTATAGGAGTAATAAACATAGATTTTACATAGACCCCCCCCCCTCCAACGTTTTCTGAAGTTAGCGCCAGGGCATTATAGGGTCCTTGGGAGGGGGAGGCATTCTTAAGAAAAGAAAGAAGAGGGAGGGAGGGCCGGCCGGTAGAGGACATTTTTTAAATGTTCATAATTTCAATTCTGCCAACTTTTAAATTGGCAAGATTTCTGGAGAAATCAAAATCTGTGATTGAAAAAAATATATTAATTATAGGTTATTGGGCACTGGAAAAATTGAATTGAGAAAATTTTCAAACCATTTCAAAAATTGGAAAACATTTATATTTGAAAAGCAAATGCGAGGCTTTTGGAGATTGATGGTAAATAGTTGAAGGGGGGTCTTCCCTGGGATCACGTGATGTCCCAAACATGTGGGCCAGATCCTTAAACCTTCCCTGGGATCACGTGATGTCCCAAACATGTGGGCCAGATCCTTAAACCTTCCCTGGGATCACGTGATGTCCCAAACATGTGGGCCCGGTTCAAACTTCTGCCTTTTTGACGATTATTGGATACAAACAGACAGACAAGAAAAGTACATGTACATTATAGTCTATACAATGTACATTGTAGACTATAAATTGTACATTATAGGCTATAAAATGAACATCATAGTCTATACTGCAGTGCACATTTTGCATCACAGTCTGTATATTGTTAATTTTATTTTTCAACTCATATCTTCCATCTAGGTCAACGCAAAAAAAACATCAATTTTGTATAGTTTATTATCTGGTGAAAGCAATTTATTACAACATTTGAAATGTGAAAAATGTTGATTAATGATGATAAGTAGAAATTTCAATTGATATGTAAAATCTATGTATACACTACATACTAGTAAAAGGGTGTAATTTACAGTTGTTTGGTCGAATATATGCGCCACCCTGTAGCACACAAGGATAAAGAATAGCTGCTTAGCTTTTGCAAAAAAATTCACTGATTTAAAAGTGAAGTCTTCTGGCTAGTTTGTAAGTTGACTTGATATTAGATAACTCAGTTGTAAAACTTTACCCAAGCAGCCAAGAGAGCTATTTAGCTAGTTAATTACTCAGACTAGTCAACTAATTAGCTAGTTAGCTAGTTAGATATGTAATCAAAACTAGCCATGACTAATCATCTAATTAGCTAGTTAGATATGTAATCAGAACTAGCCAACTAATCAGTTATTTAGCTAGTTAGATATGTAATCAGAACTAGCCAACTAATCAGTTATGGAGCTAGTTAGATATGTAATCAGAACTAGTCAACTAATCAGCTATTTAGCTAGTAAGATATGTAATTAACTATGTTCAGCTAATCAGCTCGTTAGCTATTACAAGATTTAAGGATTAGAACTTGCCAACTAATCAGCTAATTGGCTTTTTAAATATGTAATCAGAACTATGTTCGACTTATCAGCTAATTAGTTAGTTAGATATGTAATCAGATCTAGTAAACTAATCAGCTAGTTAGCCAGTTAGAAATGTAATCAAAACTAATCATCTAATCAGTTGGCTTGTTAGTTGGATATGTAATCAGGTCTAGCTAACTAATCAGCTAGTTAGATATGTAATCAGAATTAGTAAACTAATCAGCTAGTTAGTTAGCTAGATATGTAATCTGAGCCGGAAACTCTTGTATTGTGGAAATGGAAATTAATGCTTGATCTTGATCTTTCGTTTATCTGCAGATCAATTTAACCTTTACTCGATATCCCGCATGGTTATCGTACCCTGGAAGAATATTTGAAATGAAGAGATATAGATTTGATCCTCAAATTTAAAGTGCCCACAGTGAATATTGAGATCTGCGGATCGGAATTATGAGTACCCAACACTAAAGTTCCCAGCTCAGAACTAGTTATTTAGAATAAAATACTTGAAAGTGAGGGTAAAGTTGTCAACTGAATATTCATTAAATAATCTAGAAAGTTAAACAGCTTGATAATTACATATAACAGAAATATACAAATATAGATAAAGAGAATATATAAATATCCAATTTTAACATCTTGATAAATATTTTAATGGTTTTATTATAATTAGATAATCTTTAAGAAGAAAATGTTTGCTTGAAAGCCAAGATGTTCCAGTGATAAAAGTGATGAAAAGTAGGGAACTTGTTTTTAGAAGATTGTGGGCCTTTTTTGGTTAGTGATAACTTGTTTCATGGTGGACACTTGTTTTCTTTTGGAAAAATTTACAAAAAAGTCTAATTTTACACATGATGTGTGTAAAATAAATTTAAACCAGTTTGTTAAACTTTAAACCAGTTTGAGCAGCTTGAAGCCAGTTTGTACAGCTTAAAACCAGTTAGTCTAGCTTGAAACCAGTTTGTTCAACTTAAACCCAGTTTATATATCCCGCTTAAAACCAGTTATTTTAGCTTGAAACAGTTTGTTCAGCTTGAAACCGGTTTGTACAGATTCAAACAAGTGTTTACTCCTTGAAACTATTTTGTATGGCTGGAAATCAGTTCATTAAAATCGCATGCTTAGAATGGCTATATTGTTGAACAGATGCACTTTAACAATAAATATTACAAATAACTATATATATAGTATTGATACATAAATGTTTCCAACGGTCCACTCAACTATGAAATATAACATGTAAATCAGTTTTTAAACAGTTAAAAGAAAGCCTCTGAAAGCCTTGATTAAGGTAAGGTACAGTTTCCATTAAATATTAGGTAAGTATAAATCCACTTTTTCCAAAATGGATTTATCAAAATTACTTCCATTGATCTGTTTCCATTTATATAATTGTTTCATGATACATTTTACAAACGGTGATTTTATTTTTATGAAGATTTCTAGAATCTTTGCCTCACTGTGCCTCTCCTCGTTCTAACATTTTTTATTTGCCTTTTTAAGCTAAACCCATTTAAAGACCTCCGAAAACAAACTAGCCTAATAAAAACAAAAATTTGTTCTGAAAACTTGTTAAAGCCTTTCCAGAAACTGAACGAGTAATCTGATCTGAAATTTCGGAACGATTTTTACAATTTTTTCTTTCTAAAAACATCGCTTTCTTCTATTTTTGGTTTGCTCCGAATTATTTTACGGAGTCCATCTTTAAAAGTTTAAGAGAATTGTTTATCTATTTCAAATTAACAAAGTACCCTTGATTAAAAAATGTCGGTTTTATGTGTATTTTGAAATAGTGTACAATCCCTTTAAACTAATCCTGAAAAACTGGATTTTCTTGTTTATTCTTAATATTAAACTAAGATTAAATGGGCTCCAATTAAAATCAAAATGGCGGAGGATATTTCCAGAATATCTTTAAATAAAATTCACTCAATTTGTTTAATCTAGAAAGGAATCTTGAGGAGAATAAAAAATGATATCTGCAACATACTCTGAATATTCAAAATCTAGAAAATTATGGAAAATGATAAAATGCGCAATATTTCACAAAATTAACAAATATTTTCTTTCCTTTTTTAACGGATTAGAATTCAATCCCCCAATCACAAAAAAAGGATATTGGTAAGGCCGTCAATCGTCAAATTACGCATCTAATACGTTTAACAAACGTACATACATGTACACCATACTGGTTATGTACGTGTATTGCTAGTTATATGATATGATTGTGTTACACTAACAACCATAGTATTTCCTTTATCAATCACGTAGTTGTACAATTTACATAATTGTACCATTAGTCATGTACAGTACACCGTGTACAATGTACATAGTTGTACACCTACTATTTGTAATTTTCACAACACTTCTGACATTTTTGATCCAAAGATCGAAATGTATCACTTATCACTCTGAGACCAGACTAGAGAGTGAGAGGATGAGGATGAGAATAACTGATCCTTGAAGTGAAAAACTTGAGTTTGAGTCCCGAACATTTATCTTCCAACCCAGACCCTAAAATTTCGAAATACAACTTTTAAAAATATAATTATTACAGACTACTACTTCACAGATTTAAGGTTAAGAACAACTTTTTCGTTTTTTTAAGAGAACCTTCAGGTCTATTCAACATAAAAACATCCGGTAAGGTTTATTTCCAGAATAAAAACAAAATAAGCTTTAAGATTAGATTTTGCTATATTTCGACACAAATTAACTGTTTATAGTCTCATCTATCTATATGAAGCCTTGTTTGTTTACAGTAAGCTATTTATAAAATGCAAAACAAAAATTGCAATTTAATTTTGAATAAAGCTTATTCGCTCAAGATGAGTATACTGTCCGTTTAACCAACCTCATGTGTGTAGCTCTGGTAGTAAACAAGATCTGGTGTATCCTCTGTAACTGTCCAGTTTAGGAGACCATACTGACTCTCAGATCCACCCTCACATATTACCTCCAGGGTACTCTGATACTCCCTACACAATACAATAGTTTAGGAGACCATACTGACTCTCAGAACCACCCTCAAATACTACCTCCAGGGTACTCTGATACTCCCTATACAATACAATAGTTTAGGAGACCATACTGACTCTCAGATCTACCTTCACATACTACCTCCAGGGTACTCTGATACTCCCTACACACAATACAATAGTTTAGGAGACCATACTGACTCTCAGATCCACCCTCACATGCTACCTCCAGGGTACTCTGATACTCCCTACACAATGCAATAGTTTAGGAGTCCATACTGACTCTCAGATCTACCTTCACATACTACCTCCAGGGTACTCTGATACTCCCTATACACAATACAATAGTTTAGGAGTCCATACTGACTCTCAGATCCACCTTCACATACTACCTCCAGGGTACTCTGATACTCTCTACACAATACAATAGTTTAGGAGACCATACTGACTCTCAGATCCACCCTCACATACTACCTCTAGGGTACTCTGATACTCCCTACACAATACAATAGTTTAGGAGACCATACTGTCTCTCAGTTCTTCTCCCTAAATCTTCGCAACCTGATGATTTAACCTTTGATATTTAAACTTGACTTATTAGAACCAACAAATTCAAAATTTAAATTATCTCAGGTCTGCGACACTGGGTTGCAACGATATAGGAATCAGAATTTGTTGCAAAAACTTAGGACCGTCATTGATTCTGCACATCGGTACCCTGAACCCCTTTTTAATTATGTCTTTGTTTCTCGTCTGGAATTCAATAACTTGCTTATGCACAAACTAGCAAGAAAATGGCCAAGATTGTGTTCTCAAAGTTAGGTTAAAAACGTTTCTGAATATTGATTTACATTTGAAAAGTTTCTATATTAAAGAGGATGATATGTCTTTGGAATTTTTTTACAACAAATGTATATATGTGTACAATGAGCCCACATAAAACAGGGAAATTGGGACATTTCGTCATTTTTTGTCTATTTGATGTTGCAATTACAAAATAATTAGTTTACCAGTGCAGTAGTTTTAAAATCAACTTATTAGGTAAAATGGGCCTGTGTACACTACACAATTGCTTTGTTTCATGTTTATTGGACTATAATTGTTAAAATATAACAAAGTCCTAATTTTGTCAAGCTTACTTGAATGTTCTTGATTCCCTCCAGCGATCCTGTCCTTGTTTAGACTGCCAATAACACAAAGCTCCCTGATAAACCAATACAATCACATACTAAAGAAAAAGAAGGATACAAAGTACATACATTGAAAAAGAGGAGAGGGGATAATTCAAGTAATTTTTTTATTATTTATTAAATTTGTGGCTGAATGACGTATCTAAATAAGTATTTCAATGTTAACAATTTATTTATCAGTTTTAATAATAGATTTAATCATTTTCTGACGTTTTCCAATGGTTTTGAGAAACTTAAAAAACATTAATGTGTATGTCTAAACAAGATTATAAAGTAATGAAACTTTAATATGTCTTCTAGGATGGGGGGGGGGGGCATAATTTACATTTAAAACAAACTTAAAAATAGTTAAATTTTTAACAAAAGACCAGGTAAACTGGGGGTAAAACTTGTGAAATATATTCCTTTGCTGTAGGTAGTGGATTGAATCCGTATGGATCCTCGACACCTGCAAAAATCTTCTCTCCAGCTAAACAAAATAAAATTATAGTTAGAAATGTTTGAAAATGAAAGAAGATAAGTTGTTGAAAGACACACAATATAGAGTGGATTGTTAAACTTTTCCTGGATGAAATAATGAATAAAGTGCTAAAGAAATCCTTTTCACTTTTTAACTTAAAGTGAGTGTAGCAGTGTTTACATATCACTGCAGTTTCCAACCTGCCATCAGTGTTATGAAATTCCGTCCAGGTTGAAACCAAGGTTATAATGCAAGGAAAGTTATTTCAGAGATCTTTTATACTCAGTATACTGTTTCTGGGCGGTAATGTAAACACAAGACGGATGTGGAAGCCTGATGTATGGGATCCGACTTTCACATAAATAATCAATGAAATAATCTGGTGACCTGGTCATAGGAAACTATTATGTGAATTATCAAAATTATCAAAATGGAATGCTTTTAACCTCCTCGGATACTGAACGAACACTGATGCATCTATTCTTGTTTACAAATTCCGCCCATATAGAGAAGTGGTTTCAATATGTAAGCAGAGTATACGCAACTGCAATTAACTTTCTTTGCATTATAACCTTGGTTGAAACAGTGTTATAAAACAGTAATTTACCTATTTAAAATGAAATAATGCATCACCATTCAATTTTTAAATTTGAGCATTTATTTTAGTCATCGTTCTTCATATCTTGTAAGTTAAGGGTAAACATTATTTTGACAAACAGAAGGGATCATTTTTGACCTCAGATAGGTTAGGGGAGCTTAGTGTTTTTAAATAAAAAACTTGTGAAATATGTAAATTATTAATTTTGTTAAACATTTCCTAGTAGTTTTTTTTTCATTTCATTAGAAAATAAAATATTTCATTTCTTTACCTTTTTCATGATCTTGTTTTTTATTGAATCCCCCGGCCTTGTCGCTGGTTATATAGAAGGGATGGAAGTTGGCTAGTCCCAGCCGGTCACTGTCCCCTCCCTGTACCTGGAGTAATCTATTTTTATAATCTAAACCTTTAATTTCAATTGGTAGAAGATGTAGATTACTATTATTTCTGTGTATTATTATTAATACCACTATTTATATCCATGTTATTTTATTGACGAAGGTTGTTGTGATTGTGAATGATGGACACGTTAAGACACGTGAAAATATCCAAGTTCTTATTTCAAACATGATTTTTTTGGGGAAAAAAGGCGAAATAAGGCATAAACATAATTTTTTCAGACCATGAATGACAAAAAGCGTATTTAATACGAGTTTTTCGAAATGTGTCCCCAATTTGGATTATATTTTATAAATTTAAAAGTCTGTACAAATCACTCAATATTTCCGTTAATTTTAAAGTTCTTATTTTGAAATCTCAAGACTTGAGGTTTGTTAGGTTTAAAGTGAAATGTTAATATTGATGTGCTTAGAAACAAATGTTTGTGAGATTCCATATGATTTGTAAATATTCACTTAATTCCCCAAGTTTTGGGGCACCCTGTAAAATATACAACATTTATATTGAAAATGACATTTATTTCCAACCGTAAATACCTTGAAATAGTATGTTTCTCCTCTATAAACATGAAGTTCAGGCATGATTACTCCATTAATCCACCAACAAAGCTCTAAAAAAAATAAACATGGTCTGTTGATTCACATTTAAATATGGTTTAATAAATCTTTAAACTGTTAAATTTTGTCAAAGAATGGGTTTAATTTGTTTAAAAATGGGCAAACATTAAGACAGATTGATTCTAAAAGAATTTGAAATCTTAATTGTTCTATCCGGAATTTTATGGAGCACAACTTCTGCAAATTTGTAAAAACAATTTTTCTAGAACTTTCCTTGACATAAAATATTTAGAAAAATAAAATATTTATAAAATATTTATAAAATAGGCCACTTGTAAAAAAAATTGCTATATAAGGAGTGGATCCTTATATAGCAATTTAACTGCTGGAAACTGTCCTTTTTTGGTTTATCCATATTTTCAAAATCGTTTTATGCCTCACACTTTCTAAAAAATAATGACATGACGTTTTTTAATTCTTTGTTTCAATACAAATTACAATCAATTTCTGTTTGGACCATTAGGATCGCTTGCATTACTGAGATAGTTTTCGTCTTAAAAACCGGTTCCTGTCCGTGCAAAAGTTAAAAATCGGTTCCTGTCCGTGCAAAAGTTAAAAACCGGTTCCTGTCCGTGCAAAAGTTACAGAAAATCATTCTTTCTTAAAGACGTTTAAAAATCAACCTCCCTTAGAAAACATTGTTTTAACAAAAATTTGGTCAAAAAAGGTTTGTTATTTTTTGTTAATTGTTAACGATATATTTTTGGAGTACTTATATCAGTGACACTATGTTGTTCCCACCATAAAGCGGGGATCCACAATTCCGATTTAGTTCTAACAAAGCACATTATTAACAAGTAAAAGAATTTAACATTACACCCTATTATACGTTTTTTTGCGATAAAAAAATCCCTGGGAAAAATGAAATTAACCTATGAACGGAGGTTCCTCGCCAGTTATAGCCTTGTATCCTCTAGATCCACCAGTAGGTCCCAACCTAACCTGATTATAGAATATTTTATGTATTTCATCCAAAATATTTCATACTTTACATGAAAATTAAGAAGTGTAAACGGCAACAAAGTCGACTTAAAAGAGAAATTTGAAGCTGTTTAGTAGGGTTTTCAATATATTCCGGATAATGCTGGTGCCGAAAAGGTTTCCAATATATTCCGGATAATGTTGGTGCCGGAAAGGTTTCCAATATATTCCGGATAATGTTGGTGCCGGAAAGGTTTCCAATATATTCCGGATAATGTTGGTGCCGGAAAGGTTTCCAATATATTCCGGATAATGTTGGTGCCGGAAGGGTTCCAATATATTCCGGATAATGTTGGTGCCGGAAGGGTTTCCAATATATTCCGGATAATGTTGGTGCCGGAAGGGTTTCCAATATATTCCGGATAATGTTGGTGCCGGAAAGGTTTTTGCATCATCTTCGAAAAATAATGATTTTGGGGTTGATCCTAATACGTTTGAAATGCATTTTTAGAAAAATGAAACCCCAAAATATTTACCTCAAAGTTTTGAATTCCGCTCCGGAGTTTGAATGGCACCTTCCACTTTAATCCCCCGTCTGCTTTAGGACTCGTATATTCAAGACAACTTTGCGCTTCCTTAATGTCAGATTAATGTCGTCTTTTTAATCTTTTTTTTTCGTCGATTTCATAAGTATAAATTAGACGATTTCAATCTTTGTCAGTTTATAAAATACTTTGCTTGATCATATCATCATCATATCATATACAGGGTGAGTAAAAAAAGTGTCATTTGCGGTGCCTGGTGCAAAATTTTGTGCAAGTCTCCTGTAGGGTTTTTTCAATATTTTTTGAAAATGTGTAATTTTTTTTGGTACTCCAATGGCCCAAAAGAAAATCCGCGAACCTTTTTTTCTCTCAAAATCAAAAGTTTTGAAAAGCAAAAATGTGTATAGAAATGATTTCTATCGAAATCTTAAATTTTTTAAAGATTGAATCAAAGAATCACAGAAAATTCGCAAAATTATAACAAGAAAATTAGCAATTTTTAGTTCTGGTTTAATTTTTAAGGCAAAGTTATTTAAATTCTCTAGTTCCTTTCTTCTTAGTATATTATAAAGTATTATATAAACGCTGTTCAGTTGAAACCTTAAGAACCGTTGAATAAATATTTTTCATAAAACTTATACCAGAACTGAAAATTACGAATTTTCTAATTACAATTTTGCAAATTATCTGAGATTCTGTGATTCAATCTTTTAAAAAATTTTAGATTTCGATAAAAACAATTTATTTACTAATTTTTGTTTTTTAAACTTTTGATTTTGAGAGAAAAAAAGGTTCGCGGATTTTTTTTGGGTGATTGAAGTACAAGAAATTTACAAATATTCAAAAAATATTGAAAAAACACCATACTAGAGTGTTGCATAAAAAAGTTACACTTTTTTTTACTCACCCTGTATAATGATACAATTTATGTATAATAATTTCTACTCTGAAAGATAATGCTTTAACTGCTAAAATTATTCTTGGTACAGTTTAAAATAATAACTATAAATTAAATTTTCAAATTTTCCTGTTTTGAAAAGTAAATTCACTAAAAAAAATTGAAATTGTTTTGATTTGAAATTTTTAGATCCCGCCTTGTGAGTTATTCTCTTGTGGCGTGGTCCCCAAATAAATGTGGACCCTATCGGCTATATATCAGATCAGCTGCATTGGCTTTTCTTAGATCCAAAAAAATCAAACCAATAAAGAAGACAAATATATTATGATTGTAAGTATAATTATTACCCAAAATTCACTCAAATATCTAAGTTTTCATGAACTGAATCTATACCTTTGAATTGAAATCTATTGTTCCATTCTCCATATTGAATTCGTTTTCATAATTCTCCTGCCAGGCCCTAGTAGCAGCCCTTTAATACAGATATATTTAGTTTATAGTTTCATTAGAGCTGGCAACTTTTAATAGATATATTTAGTTTATGGTTTCATTAGAGCTGGCAACTTTTGATAGATATATTTAGTTTATAGTTTCATTAGAGCTGGCAACTTTTGATAGATATATTTAGTTTATAGTTTCATTAGAGCTGGCAACTTTTGATAGATATATTTAGTTTATAGTTTCATTAGAGCTGGCAACTTTTGTGTTGGATACCCTTAATCTTGCTCGTTTAATCTCGATATCCAATGTGGACACTTTTTATTTTCAGCTTAATCCTCTCTTTTTCGACTTCCATCTGGGTTCCGACCAATGCAAACGACACTCTGGTTAAATTCTAGACACTTTCCTGGGTATCAAATTAAAATTCTGATTAATCTGCAGATTAACAAAAAGAGGAGATGAAGTATTGATCTTGATGTCCACAATACAAGAGTTCTCAGCTCAGGTTTACGAATGAATGAGCGGGTTAAAGACAATGCAAGAGTCGTAATTCATTTATAATGTTAATTGGGACACATATTACCAAATTGTTCCTATTCCCACCACCACCTTTATAAATACTACCTAAGAGTTCCTATTCCCACCATCATCTTTATATATACTAGCTAAGAGTTCCTATTCCCACCACAACTTTTATATATACTAGCTAAGAGTTCCTATTCCCACTACCACCTCTGTATATAATTTACATACTACTAATAGTTCCTATTCCTTCCACCACCTTTGTAAATACAAGCTACCTAAAAGTTCCTATTCCCACCACCACCTTTGTATATATTACCTCAGAGTTCCTATTCCCACCACCACCTTCGTATATATTACCCAAGAGTTCCTATTCCCACCACCACCTTTGTATATACTACCTAAGAGTTCCTATTCCCACCAACACCTTTGTATTTACAACCTAAGAGTTTCTATTCCCACTACAACCTCTGTGTATTTATACTTAGGATTTCCTATTCCCATCACCACCTCAGTTGTATACTACCTAGAGTTCCTATTCCCACCACCATCTTAGTATATATTACCTAAGAGTTCCTATTCCCACCATCTCCTCTGTTTAAATTACTTAAGAGTTCCTATTCCCACCAACACCTTTGTATTTACTACCTAAGAGTTCCTATTCCCACCACCACCTCAGTTGTATACTACCCAAGAGTTCCTATTCCCACCACCACATTTGTTGTATGCTACCTAAGAGTTCCTATTCCCACCACCATCCTCTGTTGTTTACTACCTAAGAGTTCCTATTCCCACCACCACCTCAGTTGTATGCTACCCAAGAGTTCCTATTCCCACCACCACATTTGTTGTATGCTACCTAAGAGTTCCTATTCCCACCACCACCTAAGTTGTATACTACCTAAGAGTTCCTATTCCCACCACCACCTCTGTTATATACTACCTAAGAGTTCCTATTCCCACCACCACCTCTGTATGTGAATCATCTGATATTGTTGTATCATGTCTATCTAACGCCTGAATCAATATCAAAATATTAAAAACCAAAACAAATCAAATCAGGGGAGAATTTATCTAAGATTTGAAGTTCAGAACTATATTTGCTTCAGCATAATAAACATAAATAAAGGTATCCTCGGTAAATCTATACAATCATTTGTATTTACAATATACATTGCAAAAGTATTTAAATTAGAGTTAAAAATAGAAGGATATGAACTCATGAACTGTTTAAAAAAGAAAAATCATTATTTCATTAAAAAATATAATCAGCTGAATATTTTTCAATTGCCTGTCTCGGTTTTATAAAATCCACAGTAGAGATATCCGCTTGTCTAGAACCAGATAATTATAATAACAATCATTAATATCGACCAAAAATAATGATAATAACAATATTAATAATTATTATAATAATTAATAATGTTTAACAATCAATAACGTTATTTAAAAATAGTTACTGAATGTAGGAACTAGGAACGCGTGTAAATGATAAAGATACAAAATCAACGAAATAGGAACTGTTGAACACTTACTACAAAATTAACTTTAATTTGTGCCAATCACTTAGCAAGCAAATGGTGTAAATCTGTGATTTGCAAATTTAGGTTATTTGATCCCTTAATTAATCAAAAGTAGGAAAAAATATATTTTCATTTTATAAAATGAAAGTTCTTTTTGCAAAATACTTAGAATCCTGTCAGTTCCTGACTTCAAAGAATTAAAAGATTCAACTTTTTATTTCAAAATAAAAATTTATCTCTTTCAATAGTAGTTAAGACATGGATGGGGGGAAAATGGTGGAATTAAGAATTTCAGAGTAACCCAAATGATAAAACGCCATGTTACTGTTTGATACAGTGCTCGGTGATTATATCAGAATAATGAAGACGACATGTTAAAGTTTTGATTGAGTTTAACAGCTTTTTTTCAAATTACAAGTTTACAAGGCATTAAAGAGAAGTTTTTTAAATCTACAGTTTCTATTTCTTTCCATGTTTATGTGTATCCACTATCCATGCTGTTTAAAATCTTAGAAGAAATCATGAGTCGTCTTTATTGTATTTGTATAATGCGACGACGATTGTACTGAATCTAATCATCAACTCTATTGTACTGATAGTAATGAAAATATTAGTTAAATATTTAGTAAAAACCCCTTTGGTCAAAGATATACTGTGCCCATGCGATATTAAAGACGACTAAGCATTATATTGAATATGTAGTGCCATAGTTGGACAGAACGTAATTAAAACTGCTCTTAAAGAATATATTACAATAGCTTGGGGACCCAGCTTTGTCAGAAAACAAACTTTCCGTATAACAGTCAAATCTTTCAGCTTAGGCTTTTTTATATACAACTTGACATACCATAGCCAAGTGGTGATTCCTGCAACTTCAAATAAACCGAAGTTTTTAGTAACTAGGGGTGCATTTCCAATACAGTGATAACCAGAAAACTGTGGAAAACGACATTGAAGCAATACTGAAGTGCATTTCATGTTGATAATAAGCAAATAGCTTTACTAGTAAGTTGTTAAATCCCTTATTCAGTGAAATGGGTCTGTTTACGCTGCACAAATACTGTGCCTCATGCTCATTGGACTATTTAAAGTCACAACAAAAGAGTCTAAAAATCGACTTCATATTCCAGAGTTTTCTGGTTATCACTGTAAAATACTTAGCCGTAGTAATATTCTCTGGTTTATTGAACACGCTGTTCTAGGAGGCTGAATAAATATTTAGTTTAAATAATCTAGTTCCTGAGATAATCAACTAGGATAACGTTATCGTGGGATCCATGATCTCTATCCGCACACAAACCAGCCTAAATATTATTCAGTCATTCATTTACAGAGTGTTCTCTTAAAAGGGAGTGTTCGCGAAAAATGGGGGTATGGGCTGATATAGAATTGAATTCGATATGGATCGCTACTAATTTTACTTCTATCTTTTGGATCTATAACAAGAAAATAAAGAGAAAATGGTTAAACATGTCTTATGCCCCAGAGCGTAGCGTCCATAGCAATTCACAGACTTGCATTTTTACACTCAGATTGTAAATAATTCAATTAAATTTAAAACTAATCATTCAGATATTACACTTATAAATGTCGAATTCAATTTGGTGCATTTGTATATAGTTGATATTTCATTATATTCTATTATTGTGTTTTTTTAATTAATATTTTCTTGAAAGCTTTTTTTAATTTTCGAACATTCCTGGAAATTATGAAAATATTGTCTTCGGTTTTAAAATCATTGAAGTTTCAGGAATACATATTTTCAATCAATATTTTATTCAATTCGATATCAGCCAGCAGCCTATACCCCCTAGCATTTTTTTTTCAAAAAATATTTAAAAATATACCAATTTCTTCCAAAAAATGTTTAAAGCTGTAATAGAGAACCATCTGTTATTAAATGTAAGAAAGTATTCCAAACAGGGCCTCTCTGAACTCCCAACTTTTGTTGATAACCCTTTTAAATAATCTAAGATTGAAAAACTAACCCTGAGAGTACACTGACTAGATGAGCTGAGAAAGCTATCGACTACAGTGAAGGTTGGTGGACTGCTACTACTACTACTGCTGCTGCCACTGCTGAACATACTGTTGCTGTTGTTCATGAAGATCTTCACAATATCTGCCTCAATCCCTGACAAGCCTAAAAAACATTTAAAATATCAAACTGTATTAAAATAAATCATCTGTTTATTATGAAAGCTGTCTACCTGCGCGTGACCGTGGATCAACAAACCCGAGCGCGGCAAAGTCCGTTTCCTTCGTCTTTGCTTGCACGCGGAAATATATCTTGTCAGAGTCACTTTGCCATTGAACCCTGAAAAGAGAATCAAGAATATGCTAAGAAAATATTGGCAAAAGGCAATTTATCAAGTATGTTAAAAGTCCCTTAAAGAATAGATATGAAAAATTGTTTTCTAAAAATTTTATAAAACGATGAAAATTGTCAAGATTTTCCTGGAAGAGAAATTGGTCGAGGGATTAAATAAAGCCTAAGAGGGGGAATTTGTTACAAGCCGCAGAAGAGGGGGAAATTTAAATGTTGAATACTCTTTTCAGTGGTGTGTTAAATTACAGTATTTATACAGTGAATAAATTTAGCAGATTGAATAGAAGAGTAGAGAAGGGTTGGAATACAAAGTATCCAAGAATAAACTCAACAGAAATATATTGTTATAGCTTCAGAGCTCAAAATGGAATAAATATATTATATTTGAAACATTTATATACTTTAAACTATAAAGGAAAATCTCAAAGAATGCAATATTCTGTTCCAGCTTTAAAGTGATTTTTTTACCTATTTCAAAATACTAATAATACTCAAAATTTTGGTAGGAAGGCGATATTAAGTTGTTCTTTTGTGTATTTTTATGTTGTTTTAAAGCAGTATAGAAAATTAAGATACTAAGGTAAATGGGTCTGTGTACTGTATACGTTTCAAGTTCATTTAAAACAATAAAAACAATTTTTTTGTCAGTAAGGCAAGCATTCATATTATCCCATTAAAAAATGTTTCTTCACTGCCCTGTATAAAAACATTTGACGAATAATTTAGGACGTTCTGACTTTCATTTCTTTACAAATTTATATCTCATATTCTTTTAACCCTGAGATGTTTTTAAAGAATACAAGTTTACAATTTTGTGATTTGATTTTTGGAGTATTTTGAAGGTTTGTTTTTAAAGCGTTTCTAAAGACGGGTGGTCTAATATTGTGACGTGAGAGCCCCCCCCCCTCTTTGTCTTTAGTTGTGCCAACGATCTATAAATATTCCTACAGGAGTATAAAAACCTTATAAAAATAATCAATCTTTGTTATTATTACATGGAATCCCTTACTCTAGCTCATTTTACCACTAGAGTTACCACACAGTCCTTCTTTATTCACTCTTCCTTTATTTTTGGGCATTCTGCAGTTAAAGGGACAGACCGGCTATGTAAGGTAGTTGAACTGAGTATGCAGTGTTGTTGTCAAATTTTTTAGGATTCATTTGAGACCTATAAAACATTTTAAAGATCCGTAAATCCTAAGTTTGAGCGCAAAGTCGACGTTCAAAATTGTACTTTTGATTGTACGTTTTCAGATTTTTTTTAAATTATTAAATAACGACACCTATATATGCAAATAAAATTCAACAGTAAACTAAGTATGTGTTTAAGAACACATTGAGAAAATAAAAATTAATCATATCATCGAAAATAAGTAATCTTGTTCAATTATTTGTTTCTATTTTCTTATTTCTCATTATTCACAAAGATTTTCTGTAGATTTTTTTTAAGTATTATTGAAAAGACGACATTTTGAAGAATTAGTAGAAATCTGCAAATAAATTCATAGAAAATAAGAAATTCAATATAATGATGAAAATGAAATAATTGATTCTAGCATTGCTTTATTGACAAATTTCTTTTGAGAAATATGTTCCTAACCATCTAGTTAGTTTACTGTAGAATTTTTACTTTATTTTTCGTCGCAGTTTTTTAATAATTAAAAAACGATTCTGAAAACGTATCCTCACAAATTCATGATTTTGAACGTCGACTATACACTCAAACTCAGTAATTATACATCGTGGAAAAGTTTCATATGAAACCTTAAGAATTTGTCCACAACACTGCATACTCAGTTTAACTACCTTAAATTTGTTTTTAAAAATGTTAAATATAAAACAGAAAAAGCAAAACCAATCGTTCGTCAACAACCAATTTTAACATTTCTTCAAGTTTATAAATTTTAACATTTTGCGAAGGAATTGACTCTTTGCAACAAACTCTAATTTTCTAATCCCTATATCTTTGGATTCCAACGTCGTAAACCTTTGAAATTTCAAACTATGACTTTTGTTAGATCAAAAAATATAAGTTTGAAATATCAAAGGTTTACGACACTGTTTTCCAAAGATATTGGGATTAGAAAATCAGAGTTTGTGGCAAAGAGTCAATTCCTTTTAACAAGGACAAACTTTTAGATCATTGAATCTTAAAACTGCACAGGAAAAATGTTTGAAAATTAAATTTTTGTTTCAAAAGCAATTCTCAAAACTACGCTGCAGTGATAAATGTGGAATTAAACAATATATCCTGAAATTGTATTAGATAATAGCTACATGATTATCCTTTATATTTGTTTAATTCCAGATGTAATATCCAGTATCCAGTAAAGTTTATATTTCTCATCCTATAAACATTACACCGTCATAACATCCTAATATTACAAGTTTAATATATAAAATTAGAAATAAACGACCTTGCAGTAGTAACAGTAGCAGTAGGGGAATTCTACAGTATTTTTGGGGAAGGGGTGGGGGTATACACATTAGATAAAAGGGGAAATAGTGCAATTTATTGTTCATCAGTGTAATGGTGTTTTAAAGGGGAATATTTGAAATTAGAAACATTACAACCAAATAAATTAGGATTTTAAATCTATATTTCTATATTTCAATGTTGTAAATAACAGAAATATTTTTCCAGAGTCCAAAACTTGCGCATTCTTAAGTTTTGGATGAATATATCTTTAGTATCGAGTGAAGGTTACTAAATTGGTCTACAAATATTTTAGAGAATTTTAGATTCAGATTGCATCTTTTATGGTTGTAGTTAGTTTTTCTGTCCTCCCACCACATACCCCTCAAGTTTCATCATCGAAAAAAAAAATAGAAAAAATACAACTTATGGAGAAACTGAGTTTGAATTTCCTAATTTATAACTTTGCAACAAGGGTTAATTAAAATAAAATTTAAGACCAGCCGCAAAAGATGTGACTTTCGAAATGTGTGGAAATTATGAAACCTTTTTATTCCTTCTTTACTTGCTTATTTTTTCATCGAATCATTTATCTTATATTTAATAACCGAGAATCAAATTAATTTTTTAGGAAATTTTTATTATTCCAGAGTTTTTGGTTGCCATAAAAGTCTGATCTGTTGTGGGTAACCATGCATAGATTTGAAGATACTATGAGGAGGCGCCCATCTTCTATTAGATTTGAAGATACTAGGAGGGGGCCCATCTTCTATTAGATTTGAAGATACTAGGAGGGGGCGCCCATCTTCTATTAGATTTGAAGATACTAGGAGGGGGCGCCCATCTTCTATTAGATTTGAAGATACTAGGAGGGGGCGCCCATCTTCTATTTCAACTTTTAATTGTGGCATTATCTGTGAGCATCTTCTCTTTGTACAATATAAAACAAAAACAAAAAAAGTTTGCGGACTTTTATAATATTTTCCCGCATTTTCAAAATTTTACAAAAATAAAAACTTTTAAATACAAATTTTTTAAGTTTTGATCATTCATAAACCTTCTCTGGGGTCACGTGAGGTCCCATACAAAATTTGGGCCCGATCGGTTCAGCCGATAATTGGATACAAACAAAGAGACAGATAAGCTAAAGGAATTGAGTTTTCACAACAAACTCTGATTTGATAATCCCTATATCTTTGCAACTAAATGTCGTAGACCTTAAATATTTTAAACTATGAATTCTGTTAGAACAAATAATTTAAGTTTAAAATATTAAAGGTTTAAATCATTTTAGTTGCAAAGATATAGGTTTTAGAAAATCAGAGTGTGTGGCTGAAACTCAATTCCTTTATATATAAAAGTTAATGATGTATATTTCGAGCTACTACAGTTGGTAAACAGAAGTTTAGTTATACAACACTAAACTAGGCTACTATACAAACATTGCTGCCAGATATACAATGCTCAGGCTAAGAGAGGGGGGGGGGAGAAGGGGGGAATCTAGGAGAATTTTCAGAAAATCTTTTTTTATTCCGATTTATAAAGGTTTTAGTTATTCAAAAATCAAGGTCAAATCTTGTAAATTTTAAATTTTATGAGAACGCGTTCAGTCGATTGCTTTCCCGGCTGCACTTGTGGATTAATTAAAGTGGCCCTTGTGGAATAATTAAAGTGGCCCTTGTGGATTAATTAAAGTGACCCTTGTGGATTAATTAAAGTGACCCTTGTGGATTAATAAAAGTGACCTTTAATCAATTCTTAATGGTTACTTCAAAATTTCCCGTTTATTTACAGAACTAAACTTCAAACTTTGGTTGAATATAATCTCATCCAAAAGTTTTGGTCTCAGGTTACATTATTGAAAAAAGAAATGATACATGAGATGTGGAAAACAACTAAAATATTTGATTTCTTCTGACCTTATTCTTCTGCCCAGGAACTCCCTGCAGTTTGGTAGTTCGTATAGTTTGACCGGTGTGGGTGGAGGGGTCATGTAGCTGGGTCCAACATTGTCATCATATCTAGCAGAAAACAGAAGTGGGAAATGTTTCCTTAATCTCACATAGTTACCACTTTGAATATTAATAATATTTTGGTACTTTTGTAATTTCGGATCTTGATGTTTTAAACAGTGCCTTACCGATTCACAACAGCCATCTTCAACCCATTATCTTTTATTGATGTTTGTAGTTTTTCTAATTGACGGGAATGGCTTTTCAATCTAACATCTTTGCAGCCTAACGGAGAAAACCATTGATATTTAAAACTTAGACTATTTCGGATTTCCTAGTTTGAAAAGATGTTCACCTTCCTGTTGTAAATCGTGGTGGAATTTTTAAAGCAATTTTCATTTGTGGTGGTGCGACGCGAAGAAAGATTATTCAAAATCTAGTTATCGTTCATTTTTCACGACCACTCCCTGAGTGGAGAGTGGAGGGTTGGGTGGAGGGGTTGGGGCCTGCTCTGACCTACCTTGATGTTGTGTGCCGAGGGGAGGAGGGGGTGGAGGGAGGTGGAACCTGCTCCGGCCACCACTGCTGGTTCTGTCCTAAGGCCGGGGGGAGAGGATGGGATTCTAATTCCTCGGGTGTTGGAATCTCCACCTGACCCAGAACTTGACCTGGACAAAAAAAAATAAAGGGACTCCGTTTTATTTCAACAGACACCATCTTTCAAGATAGGCATGCCCAATTTACAAAAGATACCCTTTAGACCTTTATTTTTCAATAAACCTCTCTTTCTTAATCAGCCAAAGCTTAAAATTGTAAAGTTATGTATTGGAAATTCCACTCTATGTAAGAAATACAGTTTGAACACATCGAGATAAATTACATTGTACATTATCCAAAACTCTTACTGCGCAAACCCTCAAATGCGCAAATACAACAATATATCAGATACTGTAGATTTACCGTTTATATCGTCGTATACAGCAATATATTTGATACTGTAGATTTACCGTTTATATCGTCGTATACAGCAATGTATCGGATACTGTAGATTTACCGTTTATACCGTCGTATACAGCAATATATCGGATACTGTAGATTTACCGTTTATATCGTCGTATACAGCAATATATCGGATGCTGTAGAATGAAGCTTTCCCATTCAAGATGAGAGTAACATCTCGACCGTTGTAGTCTCTGAAACAAAACATTTTTTAAATCGAAAAAAAAGTGTAAAAATTTATAAAATCGGTTTCCAATTGGTTCTTAATGATGCATGAAAAGTTGTATTTATAAAGGGTATATTTCACTGCAAAGTACATGACACAAGGTATAAAAAATTATCAATGTTTAAGGTGTCAAATACGAGAGTGCTTGATGTTACAAGAACTTTGATTATTAAAGGGACTATATCGTGATTTCAAATAATACTTCAATTTAAAGAGAGATTTAAAACGCAAGAATGTTTAAATCATTGTCTGGTCAATAATGTGATAAATAAAGTCGGTTTCTATCTTTATAAGTTTTTACTTCTGACAATTTGTTCAATGTTGTTTCTAAAGTGCAGAAGTGCCACATGTCATTAGCAGAAACAACTCTTAAAAATAATCACCTTTTAAACAGAAGATTGTTCTATCTTGATCAGACAAAGTTTTATAGGGTGTCGATTTTAAAAAGGACATGCTACTCTATAGCTGAGAGTGACTTTAAATTAAGTCTACAGTACCTAAATATTTTTTATCAAAGTCTAAAAGATGTTTACCTTAGATCGTCTAATCTGTTGTTTTCATTGGGAACCTCAATTTCGAACTTTTCCGGTGTCTTCCTTCTACTTCCCTAAACATAATATAGGTTTTCCGGTGTCTTCCTTCTACTGCCCTAAATATAATATAGGTTTTCCGGTGTCTTCCTTCTACTTCCCTAAATATAATATAGGTTTTCCGGTGTTTTCCTTCTACTTCCTTAAATATAATATAGGTTTTCCGGTGTCTTCCCTAAATATAATATAGGTTTTCCGGTGTCTTCCTTCTACTTCCCTAAATATAATATAGGTTTTCCGGTGTCTTCCTTCTACTTTCCTAAATATATTATAGGTGTTTTTAAGTTTTTCTTTTGTAATTTTCGTCGGGAACTAGTTAGATGAATCTATTCCGACCGATTGTATATAATTATGGGTCGTTGTGGGAGGTCATTACGTTGAATAACATGACATAACATGCAAACCTTCCAACTCTCAAAAAGGCCAGGGTGATGAGGTTCGATGAAGTATGCGAACCTCATCCCATTCAGTTGGTGACCATAAATAGTTCAATTATTTTCTTGTCAATTTACGCTTCAATGGTTCAATGGCTACAATAACAACAACAACATGAATCTAGAGACCACAAAAGCAGAATTTTACAAGGCAAAATTAAGTATAAACGACAAGCATGACAGGATCTATTTCTTTAAAATGCTTTTCAGCGGATCGCCTTATCAATTATTTTATTATACCTACTTCACAACATAAAAACAATTGATGTCTAAATTAACATTTGACTAAAACAAAGTACTTTACTTTAAAAGAATAAGGTCTGAGAACCAATAAAACTTCTTAAATCTGTTATTAAAACAAGATAATTACTTTATAGCATTGCCATAATAAATTTAAACCAGAAATGAGCATGAATGATAAAGTGCACAATAGTTTGATAAAACATAATTACATAGCTCCAGGGAATTAAACTCTTTTATATTTATATTCCTTGTGCGCATATACTGCAGTGCAGTGTATAGTTATGTAAAAAATAATCCTTTTTTTACTAAAAACTTAAAATATTTTCAATTGTTAAAATAGCTTATCTTTTTCATCCTTTTGTGAAACTATCTATTTATCTATCTATATATCTATCTATATAACTATCTATATATCTATCTATATATCTATCTATCTATCCAACTATCTATCTATTTATCTAGATTTAACTAGAAAAGTATGAGAATTGTTAAAGGTTAGAAACCCCCTGGTCCCGGAAATGAATTGAACGTATAAGATTAGCTGATTTAAAATGGGTTTCGAACAAACTCATGAACTGCATTTTGTTGAGAATTAGGAATTTAAATAAATCGTAACGGTACAATTAATTGCCCAAGCAAAAAAAAATCCTGTTGGCAAAGTTTAAGAAAAAATGAAGAAGCTAAGAGTATCCATTATTATTTTTACTATTAGTTAATCAGCTGATTATATATTATAAACTAGCTGGATCGAGTACCCAGCATTGACCAGGTTTATATTATTATCAATATTATTCAGAGTTACTCCCACCGGTTACCCGCACGTGGTATTAGATTATAATTTTTAGCGAAGATTATGGAATTTCAAACATTTCTTAACATTTTTGACTATGTCACCTCAGAGGTCCTTCTTAATTCAGACAATTTGCTCCAGCCGTTTTGTCAGATATAGCAAACATATATATAAATGAGCGATTGGCTTTATTATATTTATATTTAAGAGAAAAAAAATTGGGTTAATTTTTAGTTTAAAAAGTTAAATTTGTCATGCGTGATGCTTGAAATTGTGTTAAATATACCAAACATATACTAAGAATAAGTATTTATCTTTTTGTCTAGCTATGAATATATAAACTCAATATGACTTGTGATGTATCATTTCCTATTATTAGATTTGTCAAGTGTATCTTGATACGCCATTTTTATCTATATTATACATCTTATTTATTATATTTAATAGTTAGTCAGTATACCAAACAGATAGTTAGATAGTAAAAGAGTGTGTGTCTTTAGACAGACTTTCCCCCACCTCTCGACGCTCCCATAACCAAACCAAATATTCCCCCAGGGAGTAACTACTCTTCTTTTTTCCTTTTATGAATGTACAGTGTACTACATGTTAACAAACTACAGGATTATATATCATGTAATCTATAAAAGATCCAAAAAAATGTCTTTATCCGTAAATATTTCAGTCAAATTTAATTAAAAATTATACGTTTTATTGTTTTTCTTTTACTTGAGCGTAAAGTCAAAACTAAATTTAAGCTACGAGGTCACAAATTTGTACCACAGATTTTCAATAAATTTAAATTTTACGTTTGTCTGGGAAGTGGCTGTATGTATATTTCCTTTCCTTTACCGTTGGGCGCTAGTATTCCCACAACCTCTTATTTTAGAGGTTTTTATTATATTTCATAAATACATAATTAACCTTAACCTTTATAGTTTTGGAGGTGGGGATTCATTACTTAGAAAGAAAGGGAATTGAACTACATAGTTCAACGAATAGTTTAAGTTTAGATGGATAGATCAGCAGAATATGTTAAACTAGCAATACCAAGGTTAACTTTCCCTTAACTTATTATAGCTTCCCATCACTTAGGTAAATATTTTCTTGCGAACTACTATAAGAGTAGCTAAAAAATAATAGATTGTTTATTCTTACCTTAAACTTATATCCTCGATTGTTTCCAACTGTCAGGAAGAAATTAGGAATATAGATCGTCTTATCATCAAGTAGTTGGACAATATCAGAGCTAAACAGAGAATAGTGGTTTAATATCGAGTAGTTGGACAATATCGGAGCTAAACAGAAAATAGTGGTTTAATATCGAGTAGTCGTACAATATCGGAGCTAAACGGAGAATAGCGGTTTAATATCGAGTAGTTGGACAATATCGGAGCTAAACAGAGAATAGTGGTTTAATATCGAATAGTTGGACAATATCGGAGCTAAACAGAGAATAGTGGTTCAATATAGAGTAGTTGGACAATATCGGAGCTAAACAGAGAATAGTGGTTTAATATCTAGTAGTTGTGCAATATCAGAGCTAAACAGAGAAAATTAGCTTTTTTAACTATGTTTTATAATTTATTTTTTTGATAACCATTTTAAAATAAAATGCTACGAGGCATAGTTAAAAATTTCAAATGTTCATCTTTTTTCTCCTTTCTCCATCTGCCCGCCCACAGGTTCTCTTTTTCTTGCTTCCTTTTGCCCATTAATTTATAGGCTGCTTTTGAAGGAATGTTTATGAGTCGCTGTTTTTGCGCCATTATAAGACAGTGCACAATAACCCTTTTTTGTATAGATGTCCTCTTCTCTGTTTTTGTTTTTTGTTTTGCTTAATTGTAATTGCAGTGTCAGCTCGCACATTCGGTCTACTTGCATGTGCTAGGTCACTTCAAGTTAGTTTCTTTTTGCAGCGAGGGAGCAATGGCTTCCCTGCTTTGAACCACACATTTTTACTTTCTTATACAAGGAGGGTTGTTATTCCAACAAAGAATAATCAAGTAACCCGACAAGTGGTAATTTTTTTTGTAGAATCCAACTGAGAAATTTCCTCGAGTCTCATTTTGCTGCTTGAGAAGGTTTAGAGTTCAGGGCCGCTTGCCCTTCCCTCCCTCGAGTTCAGGGCCGCTTGCCCTTCCCTCCCTCTTTTGTGTAGACACCTTTCTCAGCGTTCACTGCAAATAGTAAAGAGAGCTTTCTGAGCCTTAAAATATAGAGTAGCTGGACAATATCGGAGCTGAACAGATAGATAGACAGACAGACAGACAGACAGACAGACAGACAGACAGACAGACAGACAGACAGACAGACAGACAGACAGACAGACATAGATAGATAGATAGATTTAGATCTAATAATATCTCGCCAGCTTAGTCAGCTTCCTTAACATTTATTTTTTTCTCCAATAGTTGCACAATTCTTGTATTATCAAACATATTCCTAATCACTTCTTCCTAGATGAACCCTTCCCCCCCTCTCCCCCTCCCCCAAAGATTTATGTCGGAGACCCCCTCATGTTCCATGGAGACCCTTTCGCAAGATACAGCTGAACTAGAATAGGACCATTTAGCTACTTTCTATAAGTGAGGAAAGAGTCTCGAAAAATAATGGTCCATGCAGTGAAATATAAACAAAAATGAGGCCAGAACTATAATCATAACAATCTGAACGTGTTTTTTCTGGCCCAGTTTAAATAACATAAAAATTTGGCAAAGAAAGAAAGAAAAAAACTTTCAGTTGAAGGAAACCAAGACTGTCATTAAAAAAGGATAAATCCCTTCTGCGTCCCCCCTTCTGCGTCCCCCTTCTGCGTCCCTCTTCTGCGCCCCCCTTCTGCGCCCCCCTTAAGTTCCCCCCTTCTGCGTCCCCCTTCTGCGCCCCCCTTCTGCGCCCCCCTTCTGCGCCCCCCTTCTGCGTCCCCTTCTGTGTACCCTTTCTGCGTACCTTTGTGTTCTTTACCTGATTTGACTGGGCGCAAATAGTCTGAGGAAAGCATGAACATGCATTCTGCGTGGAATTCTGGGATCTGTTGGCAGAAATATATGCGCAAAATTCACAGTAAATCTACATAAATAAGGAATATTATACGTTTGTTTAATTATTCATAATTCATTTACTTGTCTTTATATCTTTATTCTAATATTTTTGATTTAAAGGAATTGATTCAAACTCAAATTTTCAAATCCCTATTTCTTTGAAACCTAATGATGTTCTAACAGAACTCATAGTTTGAAATATCTAAGGTCTATGATATCGGGTTGCAAATACTCAATTCCTTTATATGAAGTTTAAAATGAAGGTTTAAATATTAATGAAATTTGAATAATATAATAATTCAGACTAAAGCTATATTATTAAAAACATCATGATAATAATATCATAAAATTTTTAGATTTTTTTCACTAATTCTTTTCTGTATTTTCTGAAATTTTCCGCTAGAAACTGATGAGGATTGCATTTTGTATAAGATATTAAATCATGAAAAGAAGATTAGATGAGCTTAGAAATATTGAAAACATAGTTTGTTTTCAGTGTTCAATATTCTTGATGGATTAGACCAAAATTTAATTCATGTTGCATTAAAAAGTGACATCAACGTTCTTTTAAGTTTTTTTCTATGCATGCCAGATTAACAATGGTACCCTTTACACCATTGTCTGAGCAAAAATTATAAAGATATTCTTGTTTCTATTTTATCTATTTGTGATTACTATCTTTATGCGATTTAAAGGGACAGACCGGCTATGTAAGGTAGTTGAACTGAGTATGAAGTGTTGTGGAAAGCTTCTTTCGGATTCATTTGAGACATTTAAAACTTTTTACAGATCTGAAAATCCTGAGTTTTAGCGCAAATTCGACGTTCAAAACTCCTACTTTGGGGGTGGAAACGTTCTCAGAATCGGTTTTTTAATTATCAAATAACGACGATGAAAAATAAATCATAAAGAAGCTTTCCACAACACTGCATACTCAGTTCAACTACCTTACATAGCCGGCCTGTCCCTTTAAGGAAGGAAAATTACAAATTTAACTCTTTTTATGAAAGAAAAATGACTTATCTAGCCCAAATACCAACTCTCTTTCTTAAATCTTATGTAAATGGCTGAAACAGCGTCAAAGCTTGGTTTAATCGAATCTTAGATTTTTATCCAATAAAAATTTGGCTGACACAGATAGACAAAAATAATGCAAAAAATCCAAACTTTTGTAATCATTTCAGAAAGCCCTCAATCGTATCTTCTGTGGTCCAAAGAATTCAATTAACACCGTCCATATATCTCTACGAGGTTGGGACGACTAATGGTCTATTGCAGATAGGCACCATCTCATTTGAAATTTCTAACAAAAACACAAACTCAAACGTATCTACATTTATAAACTTCCTTTTTTTCAAATATAGAAATAAATACCTAGTGCACCAAACAGAGAGCCATTTTATTTCAGTGATATCCATCGGTATTCCCTGAATTGAAACAACAGATGATTTGTTTTCTAGAAGTTGTCAGCAAATAAGAAAAACAAAATGTTTAAGAACATTTATGAAATAAAAGATAATTGAAATATTTGATAGCAAAAGTGAAGAACATATGAGGTTATTGTCATTATCAAGCTCAGATACTGGAAACTTCCATTTTTCAAAGTTAAGGAATTGAGTCCTTGTCTCAAACTCAAAATTTCTAATTTCTATATTTTCAAACCAATCTCGTAGACGTTAGATAGTTAAACTTTAAATTTTGTTAGATCAAATAAACTTAATTAGAAATATCAAAGGTGTACACCATTAAGTTACAAAGAAATAGGGATTAGAAAGTTGAGTTTTTGTCAAAGACTAAATTCCTTTCTATGCATTTGTTCAAAATAAGTTAGAATTGAATTTTATCATCTTTGTTTTAAAGTCATTTTTTTGGTAAAGTCGTTTTTCTCCCTTGTATTGAATAACCATCATATAGTACACCCTGTACATGGAGTACTTGAATCCAGCATGGATATCGGATCTAATATTATTGAAACCTTTGATAAGTATAAAAACTTATATCAGATTAAAGCTTACAATGTTCAGTATTTATTATTCCTTCCTTGGTAAATATATACTAGCACCTACAATATATCCTTTTTATAATACAGGGAGGGAAGGGAGGGAAGGGAGAGAAGGGAAGGAAGGGAGGGAAGAGAGGGAAGAGAGGGAAGAGAGGGAAGGAAGGGGTTTTATGGAAAATAATACAGCGCTTAACTAAAATAATCACTACATCAAACGCTTTTCTTAAGTCTAAAGTTGAATAGTTGTTGTATAGTGAAGACTTCAATATTGTATAATAATAAGTATATATAACGTACAGTTTTCAGGGTCTCCTGTAATGTACCCTGTAATTTATTTTGTATTCCTATCCTCTATGCTGTATCCTGTATCACATATTTTTTGTATCCGCTAAACTAGGTTATGTGTATTCTTTATCTTATATCTTCTGTATCATGTGTTCTGTGTCCTGTTTATCTGTTCCCCGTATTCTGTAAACTAAATATAAAATATCGTAGTAAAAACTGCTTCTAATCCTGTGACCTATAAACTGTATCCTGTATCCTATAAACTGTATCGTGTATCCTATAAACTGTAGCATGTATCCTATGAACTGTATCCTGTATCATGAATGCAGTATCATGTATCCTATAAACTGTATCCTGTATCCTATAAACTGTATCATGCATCCTATAAACCGTATCTTGTATCCTATAAACTGTATCCTGTATCCTATAAACTATATCCTGTATCCTATAAACTATATCTTGTATCCTATAAACTGTATCCTGTATTATATAAACTGTATCCTATATCCAATAAACTGTATCCTGTATCCTATAAACTATATCCTGTATCCCATAAACTGTATCTTGTATCCTATAAACTATATCATGTATCCTATAAACTGTATCCTGTATCCTATAAACTGTATTCTGTATCCTATAAACTGTATCCTACATAGTGTATACCCCCCTTGTGTATATCTAAGCAATATTAAATCTAAGTCTCTAGAGAGAAGAGAGATTTCTCTATATTGCCAGAAATTCTTTTATTTCTCTTTATACTCGATTTATCTCTCTCTCTCTCTCTCTCTCTCTCTCTCTCTCTCTCTCTCTCTCTCTAAGGCTGGGTACGTTAGCACTTTTTTCCATTCTTGATTTTAAACGGTTAGTTAAACAATGTAACCGGTAGGCAATCAACTAACGATACAATTATTTCCTTTCGTTAATGAAATACGTTCCGTTAATTTATTACCTTCCATTCGTTAATTGACCTTGTCCTGTTCACTTTCATCAAATGAAAGACTTTTTGTTTTCTTGGACATAATTTAAAAAAAAAAATTTTATCGGCAACTCTTACCGTTCATTTTACCCTTCAACGACGGAATCTTTCGCTAACTTTCATGCAATGAATTGAAACTTTGTCTAAACCTACATACTACTGAGCAAGGTTATAATTTCAGTGGTGTACGCATCTTTTGTACTGCTGTGTACTGTCTCTGGGAGGTAATGTAAACACAAGACGGATGTCAAAGCCTGGCATGGGATCCACCTTTCACATAAAAAATCAATGGTTATAGGAATCTATTATGCGAATTATCAAAATTATCAAAATTTAATGCTTTTAACCTCCTAGGATAATAAACGAACACTGATGGATCTATTCTTGTTTACTAATTCCGCCAAAAGAGAACTAGTTTCAATATGTACGCAGAGTATTCGCAACTGCAATTAACTTTCCTTGCATTATCTTGCTAAAGAGCGCATATCGTATTAGATTATCTCTAAGCTTTAACGCCTAAATACGCACATAATACACTAAAATCCTAGTATTTTCTGCAAGAAAACTTTTATAGTAAACTTATACATTTTTTTTAGAACATATTCATTGTTTTTAAATTTTCTGATTAGTCCCTAAAATCACAGTTTTGAACTATAAACGATATAATATGATGAGGGACACTGTATATAATCTTATATTCTAGTTTACCGTTGTTCGTCTGGGGGGTAGAGGAAGCAGAATATTCACCCCTTTCATTTCAGGGATAGGCAGGGGTTTACCAGTTAACCTAGGTAGGGATATAGTCAAGTAGATAGGTAGGCAAATAGACAGGTAGACAGGTAGATAGGTAGACAAATTGGCAGGAAGACAGGTAGATAGGTCGACAAATTGGCAGGTAGACAGGTAATGAGGTAGATAGGCAGGCAAATAGACAGGTTGACAAATAGACAAGTTGGCATGTAGATAGGTAGACAGGTTATCAGGTAGATAGGTATATAAATAGAAGGGTTGGCAGGTAGATAGGTAGACAAATTGGTAGGTAGAAAGGTAAACAGGTTGAAAAGCAGACGCTAGGTTGATAGATAGACAGAGTGAAAAGTAAAGATGTAGAGAGTTAGAGAGGTAGACAAGAGACAGAAAGACATGTCAAGAGATTGAATAGTGGACAGGTAGACAAACAGACAGGCAGACAGAAGGACAGGTTGTAAAGTAGAATAGGTAGAGAGGTAGATAGTAGACAGATATGTAGAAAGGTAGATGAGGTAGATTATACAGGTAGAGAGGTAGATTATGCAGGTAGAGAGGTAGACAGGTTGACATACCTATCAAATCCTTCATGAGGTGGATAAGGTACAACTTGACCTCTAGGAGACGGCTGCTGGTCAGAGCCAACCTTATAGAGAGAGAAAAGTAAGGGTTAGAACTTAAACTTGAAACCATTTAAATAATAAAACCTAGATAAAACATTATAAAGATTAAAAACATTTGAGCGTACACAAGAAATTAAACAATGTACTGCATTGAACACCCGATTCATTAAAATTAATCTGGTGGCCTAACTATACTCTATAGTACATATCAACTTATAACTTGATCAGTTTTCTCAAATCTATATTTATTCAACGTACACGCCACCCCCTGATTAAGCTTAATGGCATTTTAAAGCAAAGTGTTTCTATATTTACTATTCAGTATGCATCTAGTCTTTCATTACAAATTAAAAGAACTCGACTAAAAATATAAATGATCCAGAATAGATTTAACCAACAATCAATGACGGATTACTTTTAGATGAATGAAAAATAATTGAAGGATACAAATGATGATAGCAGGAAAGTTCAACCGTGCCATCATCCCCCTGGTTACAATACAATGATATTTAGCAGAAAGTCGAACCGTGTCATCATCCCCCAGGTTACAATACAAAGATATTTAGCAGGAGAGTTAAACCGTGACATCATCCCCCAGGTTACAATACAATGATATTTAGCAGAAAAGTCGAACCGTGCCATCATCCCCTGGTTACAATACAATGATATTTAGCAGGAAGTCGAACCGTGACATCATCCCCCTGGTTACTATACACTGATCTTTAGCAGAAAAGTCGAACCATGACATCATCCCCTTCTTACAATATAAGGATGTTTAGCAGTAAAGTCGAACCGTGGCATCATCCCCTGGTTACAATACAATGATGTTTAGCAGAAAAGTCGAACTGTGGCATCATCCCCCTGGTTACAATACAATGATGTTTAGCAGAAAAGTCGAACCGTGCCATCATCCCCTTCTTACAATATAATGATGTTTAGCAGAAAAGTCGAACCGTGCCATCATCCCCTGGTTACAATACAATGATGTTTAGCAGAAAAGTCGAACCGTGACATTCTCCCCCAGGTTACAATACAATGATGTTTAGCAGAAAAGTCGAACCGTGCCATCATCCCCCAAGTTACAATACAATGATGTTTCGCAGAAAAGTCGAACCGCCCCCCCCCCCCGACCCTGCATCCCCTTGTAACAATACAATGATAAAAAATTATGAATGCACAGTGGAGCCTGTAACCCTGTAGCCCTGTAGCCCTGTAACCCTGTAACCCTGTAGCCCTGTAGCCCTGTAGGATAAATAGCATGCTTTTCTTCTGTTTCCATCTGGAAGAGATAAACTCCATAAAAGAAGGTTTCAAGATAAATGATTAATACTACAGGGTGTCTAAAAGTCTACCAACTTAATTAAAACAAAACTTAGACCATTCCTCTTGTCCACCTAATGAGCCCAACCAGCACCAGGTTAAAGATTTTTTTAGGCTTTTCTGTTAAAGATCTTTTTAGGCTTTTCTGTTAAAGATTTTTTTAGGCTTTTCTGTTAAAGATATTTTTAGGCTTTTCTGTTAGACTGTTAAAGATCTTTTTAGGCTTTTCTGTTAAAGATATTATTAGGCTTTTCTTTAAAGATAATATTAGGCATTTCTGTTAAAGATATTTTTAGGCTTTTCTGTTAAAGATATTTTTAGGCTTTTCTGTTAAAGATATTATTAGGCTTTTCTGTTAAAGATGTTTTTAAGCTTTTCTATTAAAGATGTTTTTAAGCTTTTCTATTAAAGATGTTTTAGGCTTTTCCAATAAACGTCAGAAGGGCTTAACTGATTGGGCACACATCTTTTGTGGGCCCCCACTTAACCCCAGGGAAGGTTTATTGAAGGGCAAAATTGTTTTTATTTTAAATTCCGCATGATTTAAAATTGTTAGCTTTTTACGACGTAAAATTGTTTTAGTTTAAATAAGGTAAAACAGTACTGAAGGTGGCAACGAGATTTTGAAGAATTTATGCATGACGTCATTGGTGTCAAATGTGTCACAGTTCCAAGCGTAGAAGTATATAAAAATAAAAAGAGGAACATATAAAAACTAATTCTATCACCATTGTTGAATATTTTGTCTGGCACGGGAAATTGATATTGTTTGACAGGTTTACTGAATGTATGCGAATTCTTCGTTGCCACCTATTGTTCTGTTCGCGAAGGCATAGTTTTTATCGTAACACCCTGTTGATTGTAAAGAAATGATGCTGCTAGCAGGGAATAATGATTATTTACCGGATATATTGTCTACTGCTTATATACACATTTATACTTTTAGTATTGTTTTCTTCATGATCGTTTATGGTCTTCTTTTATGATGTTTGAATGATTGTTTTTAGCACCAACCATGAGATATATGCGCCATTTTAATTCTCTATCAAATAATTAAAACTTTTAAAAATATAGAATTACTTTTAAAACTGGGGTACTTTTTTTCTGCAACAAACGTGGATTTTTCAAAAAAATCATTCTATTGTATTTTTTCAAAACACAATCTTGAATTTTTTACCATATTCAAAAAAAGGAATTCAGTCTTTGCCAAAAACCACAAATTTTCTAATCCCTCCATCTGTGCAACCTGATGGAGTAAACTTTTGATATTTCAAACCTAGATTATTCGATCTAACTGCAGAATTGATAATTTGAAATATCTAAGGTCAACGACATATGGTTGCAATGATATAGGGATTAGAAAATCAGAGATTGTGTCAAAGAATCGATTCCTTTGCTTTTTGAAAACTTGAAATCAAGCAAAGATTTGATGCAAGGAAAGTTATTTCAGAAGTGTACGCATGTTTTGTACTGCAGTGAACTGTCACTGGGCGGTAATGTAGACACAAGACGGACGTCTAAGCATGACACGGGATCCATCTTTCACATGAATAATCAATAAAATATTCTGGTCATAGGAAACTATTATATGAATTATCAAAATTATCAAAATTCAATGCTTTTAACCTCCTCGGATACTAAACGAACACTGAGGCATCTAATCTTGTTTACAAATTCCGCCCAGAGAGAACTGGTTTCAATGTGTACGCAGAGTATACGCAACTGCAAATAACTTTCCTTGCATTACATTCTTGAAATCAAGAAGCTAAAAATGCTGGAATAAAGGGACTGTTTCCGAAAAGTAATATTCCTACCCAGAAGTAAGCATCCAGGGATCCACCACCGTCATAGCTGAACTTCCTTATGAACAGATGGTTCTTGTCTACTGCATAAACATGGCCCCGGGTTCGGTGTGCATGCGACTAAAAAAAGAATCAAATATGATCAATTAGAATCATTAAAACTACTCACAGGGGAAGAGAGAATCAATAATTTGCCAGGGTTTCCAAGATTAACTTTCCTAGAAAACATCGAGAGTATAGTTAGGAACGTTTGAAGAACAAAGGGACTAATTGCTCAGTTTTCTAATCCATGTACATTTGAAACCTGATACTGTAAACTTTAACTATTGAATCTGGTATGATATAAAGTTTTAAATATCAAAGTTCTAAGGTATTAAGTAAAAATATCAGTGGTAAAAGATTGTCCAGGGAACGCGAGGTATAAATTTCCTTTTTTCAGTCTTCATTTCTTCCTTAATCCATCTTTCCATAGTTCCTGATCCTAACCTTATATCTCCAACATAGACTCAATAGTACCTGATCCTACCTTGATATCTTCTATGTAGGTTCAATAGTTCCTGATCCTACCTTAATTTATCCGCTATAGGTTCCATAGATCCCAATTCTACCTTGATACCTCCGCTTCAGGTGCCATAGTTCCTGATCCTACATTGATATCTCCGCTAGAGAGTCTATAATTCCTGATCCTCCTTTAAAATCTCCACTATAAGTTGCATAGATCCTAATTCTACCTTGATATCTCCGCTATAGGTTCCATAGTTCCTCATCATACATTGATATCTCCGCTAGAGAGTCTATAGTTCCTGATCCTCCCTTGAAATCTCCACTATAGGTTGCATAGATCCTAATTCTACCTTGATATCTCCGCTATAGGTTCCATAGTTCCTCATCATACATTAATATCTCCGCAAGAGATGCTTAAGTTTCTGATCCTATGATATCTCCGCTATAGAGTCTTTATTTCCTGATTCTCCCTTGAAATCTCCACTATAGATTCCATAGTTCATAATCATACCTTGATATCTCCGATGTAGGCTCCTAACATTATGTCTCCAACATTGACTCCATAGTTCCTGATCCTACCTTGATATCTCCGATGTAGGCTCCATAGTTCCTGATCCTACCTTGATATCTCCACTAGAGAGTCTATAGTTCCTGATCCTCCCTTGAAATCTCCACTATAGGTTGCATAGATCCTAATTCTACCTTGATATCTCCGCTATAGGTTTCGTAATTCCTGATCCTACATTGATATCTCCGCTATAGAATCTTTAGTTCCTGATTCTCCCTTGAAATCTCCACTATAGATTCCATAGTTCATAATCATACCTTGATATCTCCGATATAGGCTCCATAGTTTCGTATATCCTAACATTATGTCTCCAACATTGACTCCATAGTTCCTGATCCTACCTTGATATCTCCGATGTAGGTTCCATAGTTCCTGATCCTACCTTGATATCTCCGATGTAGGTTCCAAAGTTTCTTGAGAAATCTCCGACCTCAGTAATAGATAGAGCCTGTGCACTAGAAGCTCCGATCCCACCTGGAAAATTAAATCATAGACAACATATATCTGCTACAAACCTAGATTTCAGAAAGTATTTTCTTGCTCTAATCTGTTTTTATTCCTTTTTGCGTTTTAATGGTATTTTTAACCTGTTCGGAATCGATCTTTTTTTCTGGAAAGATAATCGTAGCGTAGACAATTGTTTTGTACTTTCAAAAATTAATTTAATGATCCCCCCACCCCCTCAGAAGCTTAGTTCCCATATAAATGCGAAAAATAAAAAGATAAAGAAAGAAAGAAAAGAAATGAAGTTTCAATTAATCTAGGAAATATTTGATTGAAAAATGATATTTGATATTTAACTGACTTGAATAAGAAAGATGAAAGATGAAATGAAAAGTATTATAAACTAGACTTTTTTATTGTGACAATATTCACTTTTGCCAGAAGGACGCACTTATTTGAACACATTACTGATGAAGCACTAAGGACACTTATTCAGAAAATTGAGGACGCAAAACGGGGCATATGGAGGACGATTGTTGTAGCCATTGATTGGAAACGCAAAATGTCAAGTGTGACAAAAGATTATCAAGTTCTTAGAGTCGTCTATTTGGTTTTAGTTGTAGCCATTGATCCATAGTAGCGATAGTAGCGTATATGGACATGGAAATTAGCTGAAGAAGTACTTCGTCGTCTTTTTGGTTTTTGTAAGAAAGAGATAATTGATTAATAGTACAACGATCCAGAGAGTTATACAAAGATAAGGTGTCTTTGCCACAAACTCTGATTCTTTAATCTCTATATCTTTGTAGCCCATTGTCGTTGACCTTAGATATTTCAAAGTATATGAATTCTGGTTGGTCATATAATCTAAATTTGAAATATCAAAGGTTTACGCCATCAGGTTGCAAAGATATGGGGATTAGACGATTTGAGTTTCAATTCCTTATGCATTGATTTTACTGAAAAAGTCGACTTTGGAGTTTTGCAACACTTATATTTTTGCAACACTTATATTTTTGTTTAATCCTATGCTCTATGCCGTTAATTGGTAAAATGCTAATGGAGTTTTGCGTGAGAGCATGTTAGGATTACTGTGATAGACAGAATAAAGGATGGGTAAATGCTTGAATGGATGAAAGGACTGATGAACATAAAAATGAGTAGATGAAGGTAGGATGAGTGAAAGGATGAATGACAGGATGAATGAAAAATGAAAAAATGACTGTAAAATGAATAAATGAATACCTGTTTCTACAGTAAGATTGAGGTCCTCCCTACCAAGGGTTGGGTAAACTATATCTTCCATATTCTAAACAAATATTTATATTTTTATTTCGTATTTTGTATTTTCTATATTTAATATTATGAAATTACACTTCATCTCAAGAAGTACAGGTTTTGATCAATGTAAGAATGGTTTTGCATCACAAAAAAGTGTCATTATTCCACTTTACGGGGATACCCTTCCCCTTTAACTTACCAGATAATCAACATTATTCTCCTTTAACCTACCAGATAATCAACATTATTCTCCTTTAACCTACCAGATAATCAACATTATTCTCCTTTAACCTACCAGATAATCAACATCCTTCTCGTACTGTTCAATATAGTTGTCGTAAAGGTAGATAAACGCTTCATCCTCCAAGTTCTAGAATAAATATATAATTTTAGTTCAAACGCTTGTTTTCATTTTTTCTGCTGATCAGTTCTTCCTTCTCATAGATAATATTCAGTTTACTAATCCTTCTATAATTGTAAAAATGTTTGCGGATTTTATTTATGTTCAGAACCATTTGATGCAGTACACTCACAGTTACATGGGAAACATTATCTCTAGCTACCATATTGATTGCAGTACATCAAGAAAAAGCAGTACATTAACTAGGTTCCAATACATCAACAAGGTTGCAGTACACTAACAAGGTTGCAGTACAACAACAAGGTTGCAGTACACCAACAAGGTTGCAGTACACCAACAAGGTTTCAGTACATTGACAAGGGAGCAGTACAAAACAAGAGAGCAGTTCAACAACAAGGTTGCAGTACACCAACAAGTTTTCAGTACACCAACAAGGTTGCAGTACACCAACAAGGTTGCAGTACACCAACAAGGTTGCAGTACACCAACAAGGTTGCAGTACACCAAAAAGGTTGCAGTACACCAACAAGTTTATAGTACACCAACAAGATTGCAGTACACCAACAATGTTGCAGTACACCAACAAGATTGCAGTACACCAACAAAGTTATAGTTCACCAACAAGATTGCAGTACACCAGCAAGGTTATCGTACACCAAGAAGGGTGCAGTACAACAACAAGTAATTGTATAACTTTTATCTAAGTTAAAACTCTTTTTATTGCTGAGAAATTTCCCGAGACATTTATTCCTGGATTTTACACTTGAACTCAAGTTTACGACTATTGTTTACTTTATTTTCTCAGAATTCCTTTTTAAATATTTCTCCTCTCAGTTCAAACCTTTTCTATGCTTCTCAATCAATTCCATTGTTATTTAGTTATACGCAGCATAAAAGTAAATACGCAATACGCACTAAATAGAAACAACAGAACGTACGCTGCCCATGCACTGAATTTTACTTCTAGTGAAGGGAAGGATGTTTTTTCTTTAAACAGATAAACCTGTCTTAGTAGTAATCAGCTAAGTAAACTATAAAAACAGAAAAACAAAACTGAATAATCTATAAATCCACGTTATCCAATATTCCATTCATATGTCACATCAATCCATTTTATCCAATAATCCAGCCATATTTCCAGGATCCTTTAAAGTTTTTCAAGAATCCTCCAAGAGCTCCCTATTTTTAGAATCCTAAAAAGGGCTCCCTTATTCAAGAATCTTCTAAAGTACTCTGTAATACAGAATCCTTAAAAGTTCTTTATATTTCGAAATTCTCAAAACTTCTCCCTATTTAAGAGTCAGTAAGTGCTCCCTAAATCCTATTCAAACTCAAATTTTCTAATCCGTATATCTTCAAAAATTAAACCTGATGCTGTAAACCTTTGATATTTCAAACTTAGACTATTTAGTATTTAATGTAACAGAATTCATAGTTTGAAATATTAAAGGGATACGACATTGGGTTGCAAAGATATATGGATGAGAAAATTAGAATTTGTGGCAAAGACTCAATTCCTTTAAACATAAATTGATGTTTACCTCTGTTATATCAAATTGAGCATTCGATCCCAGCAAACTCATTTCTGAACATGAAATATTAATTCATGATTAAATGACTAGAATATTAACAAAAATAGCTCACAGAATTAAAGCAACTTATTATTTCCTTGGAATATATCTGTGCCATTTGATAGATTAGGGTTTTTAAGTTTCATCTTTTTTATATCGATAATTGAATACTCCCAAAATACTGTAGAAAAGAGAAAGATTATAATATAATGTCTTTGAACAATTTATTTTATAACAAGAATTAGTTGAACTATGTAGACTAAGCTAAGCCACTTATCTTAATTTTGATAAGAAAGACTAGTTAAACTACGGTAAAAAAAAAACCAGAAAACCATAACATGTGAAGACGACATGAAAACAATACTGAAATGCATTTGATAGCTTTACTAGAATGCTATTAAATCATTTATTAAGTGAAATGGGTCTGTTTACACTGCACAATTGCTGTTCCTCATTTTCACTGGACGTAAGTTGAGTCTAAAAGTCGACTTCCTATTCCAGAGTTGTCTGGTTATCACTGTACGTAGACTGAGTTGAACAACCGGTTGAAGCTTTAAAAAAGCGTTTGGTCTTGGTTTTCATAGTTTAACTACTTCTCGCTAGGCTATAAATTTTATTTATTATATAAAATAATTTTCGTGACGAACGTCCACGCAAAAGGTTGGTTCAAAGGAATTGAGTCTTTGTCACAAACTCTGATTTTCTAATCACTATATCTTTGGAACTACATGTTGCAGACCTTAGACTATGAATTCTGTTAGATCAAATAATCTGAGTTTGAGATATCAAAGGTTTACAACATCGAGTTCTAAAGATATTGAGGTTTAAATATTTGATATTGTTCCAAAGACTCAATTTCTTTTACAATTTTCTAGTTTGTTTGACTCCCTGCAAAATATAAAGGATGACGATTTCTTGGCTAGGCTTGACAGTGATGGATGACATATCGGAATACATTTAAAGGGACTGTAAAGTAATAATTTAAGGGGGTATAGGCTAAAAGCGATTCACTTTAGATTTTTATCGCGACCCATGTTAATTCTATCTGATGTTCCTGTTTCGAGAAATTATTATAAAACTATGTCAAATGTCAAACTAGGAAAATTAATACATATACAATGAGAGTGCATTATACTGGTCACGTGATATAGTCATGTGACCACTATACTGCACTACCATTGGTAGGAGTTCTGGTGGCGTAATACGGATAGATAATATTATCAATCATATCTATTAAAAATAAAAATAAAAATTATGAAATCATAATTGGAGAAACCCTAAGTTACAATTAGATTACTCTGGGATATCTTCGTTTTCAGATTGGTTGCATATTTGCTGAATATAATCTGTTTAATCCTTCTATATTTATACAAAATTGTATATATATATATATATTTGAATTTCATGGGTCGCGATCAAGAGCTAAAGTGACTAACTTTTAGCCTATACCCCCTTTCATTTTTCCTTTACAGTCCCTTTAAGTTTGATATGTTCTCTGAATACAAAGTAAACTAATCCTAATCTTAACTTTACAAGCATTGTTTTTGGTTATTGCCTGTAAAGGCACAAGATGTAATTCTAAATATTCACGTTTTGAGACATATTAGTATTTTTATCGTATACATTGTTTTTTTTTAGAAAATATTCTGATAACTTTGTCGGTAAATTGAATTTTCAATTAATATTTTTTTGTTTGTTTACAATAAAATATTTCCCCAGCTCATACGTCACATGTAAAAGTAAGCAACCCCTTAACCCCCCCCCCCTGTGGTTAGGCCTGTAATGGGAATTTATGAAAGGTAGTAGGACTAGGTGCAGCTGGTTTACTTCTTCTGCTAGACTACAGGGCTCAACTTAGACCAACCGTTTCTTGTCCAAAAAGATTTACCTGAAGAGCTTTGATGAGCACTGTACGGTGTACAACTGTACAAGAAATATAGAATAGAAAATTTGAATATTTAGATGAATGGGTAAACATTTATCCGTAAGTGAATAGAAAAAATGAAATAACAGTTGAATCAAGATCATGATTTGTATCTAAAGATTCAAATCAAGATCATGATTTGTTGCATAGCAAGCTAGATGGCTTTATAGTCAATTATATCTATCTTACTGTACGTAAGATAGATAGATAGATAAATAGATAGATCTATATTCTATATATATTCCCTGGCTGAGTAAAGAAGGAGAAGGAGAACAGTTGAACCTTCAGCAGGCATCATACTCTCTACTCTAATAACATTATTATCATTATTATTAATACTATTGTTATTATTATTATCCCCCCCCCTCGAAAGTCAAAAAATTTTAAGTCAACCACTGGAAAAAATGTTGTATAAGCCCCGGCCCTGGTTACCTCCACGACTTTACATTAGTTTATGTTTAATTTCACACAAGAAAAAAACTAATTTGTTTTGAATAGATTATCAAGTAGAATAGGTGCCACAGAGCCGGAAATTTAAGAGAGTATTGTAGACCGAAACTCTCGAGTTTCCTTTTTGAGGTCTATTTATTTGCGTAGATTTTAATTTAAGAAATCAAAAAACAAAATAGATCGAATGTAAAGAAAATACATATAATAATTTTATTAACAGAAATATTGATATCCACAAAACTGCCTGACCCCATTCATGAAATCTGGTCTCCGAAACTGGGTTTCATTACGAAAAAGTTAAGTTTTGGGCTCAGGAGAATAAGTTTACATTCCGCACAGCTGTATTTAAATCACTATCAGAAAACCTTTTAGATAATGCTGATAAATTCAGGATAAAGTGCTGGAGTTAGAACTAAAATTGTTGCATTTTACATGTTTTACCTTAATAGTGATTTATTTAATGCTGTCAACACTTCAAGTTGTAACTGTACCATAGTACTTGATAATATATATTGTGTGAAAATACTTCAAGTTAGAACTGTACCATAGTACTTGATAATATATATAGTGTGAAAACACTTCAAGTTGGAACTGTACCATAGTACTTGATAATATATATTGTGTGAAAACACTTCAAGTTGGAACTGTACCATAGTACTTGATAATATATATTGTGTGAAAAGATCAATAACTTGCTGAAAACGGAGAAATGTTAAAGGGAGTGACCGGCTATGTAAGGTAGTTGAACTGAGTATGCAGTGTTGTGGAAAACTGCTTTCGGATTCATTTGAGCCATATTAAACTTTTTAAAGATCTGTAAATCCTGAGTTTGAGCGAAAATTCGACGTTCAAAACTCCTACTTTGGGGTTCGATAAGTTTTCAGAATTAGTTTTTTTTTAAATTATTGTGTCTCAAAATGTCTCAAATGAATCCGAAAGCATTTTTCCAAAACACTGCATACTCAGTTCAACTACCTTACATAGCCGGTCACTCCCTTTAATAGACGTTGTAAAGTACGACTTTTGATTAATTTGTCAACGAAATTTAAAAACCAAACTTTAAAGTTTAATATATCTTTTAGCGAGTTAAAAAGTCAGTCATGTCTAGTTGTTGACCAATTTCCATTTCGAGCTCTGAATTCGAAAATGATCATGATTCAATTATCTTTGAACCCACGTAACTTGTTTTGAATTATGATAATGAAAACATTATCATATACCCAGATAATTAAAAATTATGAATAATATTTCCTAGAGCATCTAATTAATGTTTAATATGTACTTTATATTTACCTTTATATTATATATTTTATATTTTACCTTTTTGTTTTATCTCTTCTTTAAATGTTTTCTTTTGGTCTTTTTATGTTTCGTTTCAATTGATTTGTTATAGATATTTTTTAATCGTTACATTACAGTTAATTTCCATTGACACATTTCTATACTGTTCATTTCCATTGATTCTGAGTTTTCCATTGAGTTATTTGCATTAACTATCACTAAATTCACTGTTCGTTACTTATTCTTCACAGTATTAGTTACCAAAAGCCTAAGTTTCACAACTGTTTAAATCACAAATTGAAAGCCTTGTGTGTCTGTTAAATGATATATATTATTAGTATTGAGCAGGGGGTTGATATGAAAGCCTAAGAAAGGATATGATGTAAAAATAAGATAGGATTGTGTAAATCCGTAGCCCCGTCTTTTATCTTCCAGTTAGTTTTTGTCTCCTCCTTGCTCTGCGTTAACACTGCAGTACAATGTACTGCAAACACAATGTTTACGCTTTTTCAAACTTTCCCGGATTTTACCGATTTAGAGTTTTCTGATTACTTGGACATTTCTGACTCCCAGATTAGATTTTTATCCCAGATATTAGTCACTCCGTTCAAATGTGTTCACCGGTATTTAAACCATTCCCGGTTCTCCCTTGAATCAAACTTTTCTCATTCTGTAAGAGTTTGACCCTGTATTCAGGGCAAAGTCCGGAGTAATTCGTGCTGAAACCATTCCTGCTTCGGTCTCAGCTCTCCAGTACCGGGTTGAATCTAGAGTCTCCGGGTAGGGGGTTAGAGTAGACTCCTGGAGATAGGAGGAGAAGATGATAACTACACATTGATTGTTGAGGCTGAGGCGAGGCCCCCCTTGCAGCCTCTAAACTGGGGGCTCCAACCCCGGTCATATGATTAAACTCCCCCCCCTCCACCCTATACCCCTCACGACCCATAATAATTGGAACTTTAAATAGTATCAAAGTTTAAACTTTTCAAAGTTAGAATAATTTTAATTTTTAAATGCAATTTTAAATCTTTTTTATGTAAACTTATGAAAATTAGCAGAAAGAGAGAATGAAAAGGAGGACACGATTCAAGAGAAAAATAAGAGACTTTTAAACCAGTAAGTGAGAGAGAGAGAGAGAGTTAGACACAACGGTAACGGTATCCTGTGTCTAAGGTTAAAGAGAGAGAGAGAGTTAGACACAGCGGTAACGGTATCCTGTGTCTAAGGTTAAAGAGACTGTCATCGTAATATTCAGTAACTCTCAATTAAAAAAAGGAATATCCGATTCTCAAAGGTACCCTTGAAATCTTAATCTGATAAATAATGTTAAAGATAACGTCGTTCTCATGTCGAAACTGTAAATTATTGTTTCGACATAAGCACAGAACATAGAATATGAATAGAAGGAAATTAAAACAATCCCTCGGTATGAATTTCGTCAGTCCCTTTGAGTCTGCCAAAGAGAGTTCAAAGTGTTCATTTCATGTAAATGTTCACAAATTATATGCAGTAAAGTACATTAATACAGTTTGTTCTCTAGACTATCCATATCAATATCTAATTTTAAAGCATGTCAAATAACGTGAATTAGCTGAATAAAAATATCTTTTGATTTATGAATGTAAAAACTTGGTTGATTTAATATATCGGTAATCATACCGTGATTTTCACTACAATTGTATCTACAGTCCACATGTTGGCGCATAAATCGGTAGCAAGCAGCAACTAACCTTCGTTCTAATCCTTTGAAATTCAACTTTTAACTAGTCTGCCTGCAATATTTGTAAACAAACCCCCATAGTACAGAGTACAAATATACTTGCCGCAAACCTTTATATCCAAAGTTATAGTATCATAGCTAAATTCCCATTTTCAAATGGTGTATAGTGTAGACGCATGATCTATATTCTTGTATATCTATGATTTTGTAACATTGGACATTTTAAATCTTTTGTGTTTATTTTTGGGTGTTGTGTTTTGGTGTTTAATGTTATTGGACATTTTGTTTTCGGGTGTTAATTTTTGGGTGTTTTGTAATCGGACATTTTGTTTTTGGGCGTTTTGTATCCACTCCGTATGAGGATCCACAGATGTTAAAACGTATTTAGGGTCAAATGCTATAATAGGGTCTAACAAAAAACGGGAAAAAAGCGACCAACGGTAAAAGATGCACACAACCAAGGGTGTAATGCAAGGAAAGTTAATTGCGGTCGTGTATACTCTGCGTACACATTGAAACCACTTCTCTTTGGGCGGAATTTGTAAATTTGTATCCGAGGGGGTTAAAAGCATTAAATTTTGATAATTTTGATAATTCACATAATAGTTTCCTATGCCCAGAATATTTCATTGATTTTTTATGTGAAAAATGGATCCCATGTCAGGCTTTGACATCCGTCTTGTGTTTACATTACCGCCCAGAGACAGTACACTGCAGTACAAAAGATGTCTACACTTCTGAAATAACTTTCCTTGCATTACACCCTTTCACACGACCCAGATTTGTGCCCGCAGTACTCGGTCCAGAAACAGTTTTAACCTAAAGTAAACTGGACCCAAGATTGAAATCTAATATGTTTACAATCAAGGAGATATTGAAAAGATAAGTAAACATATCGTGATGTACACAACCGACCTGTCTATTAATAAATTAATAGACAGGTCGGTTGTGTACATCTGAGCTAAGCTTCACCTCTTCGTTTTATTACTCTATGAGTAATCTATTCTATTATATGAAATTTAATTCAAACAACTCTAAATTATTTTAATGGAAATTTTAGACAATTTTTTATTGATCAATAAAAAAGTCATAAATTGGAATACTTGAAATAAACAAATGAAGAATAAATATTTATTAAAATTCTCAAGAAATCTAGTCCTTTGGAATGTTTATATTAGATATTTGTGGTTCAATACTTTTACAATATTGTGCATATTTGTTGTATTGTTAGTTTGGTATTTTGTACTTTTATTTTGTTTATTTACGAAGATTTATTTTATTAATTGTTTGTTTGTGTTTTCTAGTCGGATAAGAAATCTTGATTTTAATAATTATCAATCTTGTTCAATATCATATTCTTCTTTCGCAAAATTAAAAAATAAGGACAAAAGGTTAAACTACGATTAGACTAGTTCTACAACTTCTCTTGAATTTGAGCCAGCGCAGAAGAGGTTCAAATTCAATTGCACAGTCCAACAACTTCTCGTTATTTACTAAATTGGGTCCAGGACACCCTAGTTCTTGAACCAGGACACCCTAGTTCTTGGACCAGGACACCCTAGCTCTTGGACCAGGACACCCTAATTTTAAGACAAGGACACCCTAGTTATTTGACCAGGACACTCTAGTTCTTGGACCAGGACACTCTAGTATTTGGAACAGGACACCCTAGTTCTTGGACCAGGACACCCTAGCTCTTGAACCAGGACACCCTAATTTTAAGACCAGGACACCCTAGTTATTTGACCAGGACACTCTAGTTCTTGGACCAGGACACTCTAGTATTTGGACCAGGACACCCTAGTTCTTGGACCAGGAAACCCTAGTTCTTGGACCAGGACACCCTAGTTCTTGGACCAGGACACCCTAGTTCTTGAACCACGACACCCTAGTTCTTGGACCAGGACACCCTAGTTCTTGAACCACGACACCCTAGTTCTTGGACCAGGGCACTCTAGTTCTTGGACCAGGACACTCTAGTATTTGGAACAGGACACCCTAGTTCTTGGACCAGGACACCCTAGCTCTTGAACCAGGACACCCTAGTTCTTGAACCACGACACTTGAACCACGACACCCTAGTTCTTGGACCAGGGCACTCTAGTTCTTGGACCAGGACACTCTAGTATTTGGAACAGGACACCCTAGTTCTTGGACCAGGACACCCTAGCTCTTGAACCAGGACACCCTAATTTTAAGACCAGGACACCCTAGTTATTTGACCAGGACACTCTAGTTCTGACCAGGACACTCTAGTTCTTGGACCAGGACATCTTAGTTTTTTGGACTAGGACACCCTATCTCCTAGTCCTAGTTTTTGGACCGTGACAACCTAGTTCTTGAACCGGGACACCGTAGTTCTTGAACCGGGACACCCTAGTGATTGGACCGGGACACCCTAGTTCTTGGACCAGGACAATATATTTCTTGGCCCAGGACCTCCTAGTTCTTGAACCGAGACACCCTAGTTCTTGAACTGGGACACCCTAGTTCTTACACCGGGACACTTTAGTTATTTGACCTAGGCACCTTGGTTGTCTATTAAGGGTGGATAAGTTCTGGACTCGACTGATAAATTTATATTATCTAAAACTAGCAAAAAAAACAATAAATAAGTTGACATCTTCGTTAAACTTAGATAAGACTCACACATGGAGTGTTTTTGTCGAACACAATAATCTAATCCCATATTTGTTCTGTACAAACGTTATAACTTGAGATGAGAAATACTTTGCATATTTGTAGCATTAAACAATCCTTATTTGAATATAAATAGTTCTTGGTTAATCCCACTCAGTTGGAACTTTAAGTAAAGTATCTGAATAATCCTAGACTTAACTTAAACATACAGACGGTTTTACAAACTATTTTACAAATGGTTTTCAAGACAGTTTTACAGTCGGTTTTATAGACAATTGTAAAGACGGATTTAAAGATATTTTTACAGACGGTTTTATAACGGGTTTAAAGATAGTTTTACAGACGGTTTTATAAACGGTTTAACAGACGGGTTTACAAACGGTTTTACAGGCGAGTTATCAGACAGGTTTTACAGGCGGTTTTACAGATGGTTGTACAGACGGGTTATCAGACGATTTTAAAGACGGTTTTACAGACGGTTTTACAGACGGTTTTACAGGCGGTTTTACAGAAGGTTTTACAGCGAGTTTACAGACAGGTTTTACAGACTATAGACAAACTTTACTAACGGTTATAATACAGAAGATTTACATACTGTTTAAAATGCGAGTTTTACAGACGGTTTTACAAATGGTTTTACAGACAGTTTTACAGACTGGTTTACACTTTACAGACGGTTATTCAGGCAGGTTTTACAGACGGCTCAACACCACTGTACAGTGTAAACAATTGTCCGACAAACAAGGACGGATGACTGTGCACTTCTGTACCGTCTCTCAAATAAGAAAATATATATAACCTATATATACAATCTCCAAAACCTGTTGGTACTTTTATTGGTTTTCCCCTTTAGAATTGTTTAAATATGCCTAGCGATACGTTTTGATGATATTTTTTGTTTTTTAAGTAATTTTTTAGAGGTTTTTTTTCCCTGAAAAGCTCTCTTAACTTGCCATGCTATGAAAATGCTATGTTTTCCAATATTTTGTTTCAAGTAGCAATGTTTCCAAAAGTCGACTAACCCCATATTGTAAATAGATCAAAACCATTTTTTGCGCAATTTTAGATACTATAGAAATAATATTGAGTTGCGACAAATAACATCCGGCATTCTCATATTTATTGGGAGCAAGGTGGTTTTATGCATATTCTCTGGATCACTTATTAATAAGCATTAATGCGATTATAGTTAATGCAGAAGATTGAGTGGAATCCTAAGATGAAAGTTACATGAAAGCCAAAAGTAAGATAAAAAGAATGATAAAACTGTAATATAAAACCAGGAGAACAGGGGAATATTATTAATAGAATATATACAAACATAGACTGCAGGGTGTCTCAAAATAATTACTAATGTAAGAAATCAGGCAAAGTATCCACAATAGTTTAAAATTTAGTACAGCAAATGGATTCACTTATGTGCAAAAAATCAAGAAATTTTGTTGTTAAGGTTTTTTTTAATATGCGAACACTAATTTGGTAATATACCAGACCTGGAATCTTTGAACGGAAAATGTTCCATACTGCAGAATATATGATGATAAACGGAACCAAGGATATATAGATGATAAACGAACCAAGGATATAAGATGATGAACCAAGGATATAATATGATAAACGAAACAAAGGATATAAGATGATGAACGTAATCAAGGATATAAAATGATAAACAGAACCAAGGATATAAGATGATAAACGAAACCACGGATTTAAGATAATGGACGGAACCAAGGATATAAGATAATGAACAGAACCAAGGATATAAGATAATAAACAGAACCAAGGATAGAAGATGATGAACGGAACCATGCATATAAGATAATGAACGGAATCAAGAATATAAGATAATGAACGAAACCAAGTATATAAGATAATGAACGGAGCCAAGCATATAAGAAAATAAACAGAACCAAGGATAGAAGATGATGAACGGAACCATGCATATAAGATAATGAACGGAACCAAGAATATAAGATAATGAACGAAACCAAGGATATAAGATAATGAACGGAGCTAGGGTTTCCATTCGCAAAACTTTTGCGCAATTTTTGCGGAACGAAACGCAATATTTTTCTTTCTTTGCGCATCAATTTTGCGCGAAAAAACAACAATTTGCGCAATCATTCGCAAAAGTCATTTCGCGCAAAATTGCCCTATTCCGCTTTTGCGAAACTCAAGTTTTGCGCAATTCCGCAACAAGAGTTTTTCGCAAATCCGCAATTCCGCAATTTCGTAAAAATTAAACGGTTGGTGACGGTACGTGTGTGTTTCTTAGAATTCAATTATGGAAAAATCTTGTTTTGGAATGTCTTCCTATTGGTCACTTTTACATAATTGACCAATGACAATTAAGAAGAGTTCAAATCTCACAATTTTCTCGACAATTTTAGTCTTGGACATGCATATTTCCTGAAAGTGGATTCTTCAGGCATTGGTTACTTTCTTGCATTATTTTATATGAGATTAAAAAGATTTCAGAAATTTGATTAAAAAAATTTAAGAATACAATTTATACTCATGATTAAGCAAAGCTTTTAAGGCCGGGCCACTTGAAATTATTTAATAGGATTAAAATATTGCCAAGTTTCACAATAAACGAAACCACGGATATAAGATAATGGACGGAACCAAGGATATAAGATAATGAACGGAGAAAAGAATATAAGATAATAAATAGAACACTGTTAGAAATACCATTTTGTAAATTTTCGATATCATCATATTTCAGGCCAATATAACCAGTATATAGAAGACATTCATTGATATATCGTTTGAAATTTGATGTTTTCTGGTCAGAATGATTTTACTTGAATTAGCCTAAACACTAGTTGATATAGGTAAAATTAGAATCACATCAAGCTTTTAAATGAGAACTGAGAGAAAGCAATGTCAGTATTATTCAAGATACTTTAAATGCATACATTATTGATCTCTGTTAGAATTTACTTGAAGAGAGTCAAATTTTAATTGAAGTAAGCAGAATTCTGGTTAATGCAGAATCCAAGTAGTATTCTGATTGAATTGAGTGCCGGTACGTGTCTGAACGCCGGATCACTGTAATTAACGTAAGCAGGATTATGCTTGCTTCGATTTCTGATGATTGAAGTAAGTAGAATTCAAGTGAATGTAATTAGAATTTAGCGTACAGGCCGTAAATTGATATCAAGCAGAATTATCGTTGATATATTACAACGGATCTTCATGGCTTGGTGCGTGAACTAAATACTGTTGATTGTAAGCGGGTTTTTCTAACAGTGAACCAAGGATAGAAGATGATGAACGGAACTAAGGAAATAAGATGAAGAACGGAACCAAGGATATAAGATGATAAACGGAACCTAGGATATAAGATGATGAATGGAACCAAATATTTAATATGATGAACGGAACCAGGGATATAAGATGAAGAACAGAACCAAGGATATAAGATGATAAACGGAACCTAGGATATAAGATGATGAATAGAATCAAATATATAATATGATGAACGGAACTGAGAACATAAGATGATGAACGGAATCAAGGGAATAAGATGATGAATGGAACCAAATATATAATATGATGAACGGAACCAGGTATATAAGATGATGAACGGAACCAAGGATATAAAATGATAAACGGATCCAAGGATATATCATAATACACGGAACCAAGAATATAAGATGATGAACGGAACCAAAGATATAATAAGGTGAAGGAAACCAAAGTCATAAGATGATAAACGGAACTAAGGATACAAGATAATAAACGGAACCAAGGATAAAAGATGATGAACGGAACCAAGGATATAAGATGATGAACGGAACCAAGGATATAAGATCATGAATGGAACCAAGGATATAAAATAATAAACGGAATCAGGAATATAAGATAATGAAGAACGGAACCTAGATTATAAGATGATAAACAGAACAAAGGATTTAAGACGAAGAACGGAACCAAGGATAGAAGATGATGAACGGAACCAAATATTTAATATGATAAAAGGAACCAAGGATATCAGATGATAAACGGAACCAAGGATATAAGATAACAAACGGAACCTAGAATATAAGATGATAAACAGAATCAAGGATATATTATGATAAACGGAACCAGGAATATAAGATATTAAGAGGAACCAAGGATATAAAATGATGAAGGGAACCAGGAATATAAGATAATGAACGGAACCATCTTATATCCCATAAGAAGATGAACATGGAAACTAAGAATGAAATAAGATGAAAAGATATGAGAATACTTCTAAAAATCTACTTTTCAATTTATTAATTGTAAATAAAGTCTTACTACAGGTTCTTTTCTATATTTTATAGATTTCTTTAATATTTACTATATTAAAATAGTATTACATATATGTAACATAGGTTCAAAATATAAATATTGTTCAGATTATGTTTTAGTAGTATTGGATATCACATTTGGCACACACAAATTAAAGTTTTAAGTAGTGGGTGCCATAGAAAAAAGTTGCAAACTTTATGAAATCTTTAAACTTTGCAGATTTAACAAATAAAATGTGTTCAATAAAAAAAATGTTTAATAATTTTCTGAATCATATAAAATATTCGCCATCCTCCTCTTTTTTTTCTAACGCGTTCAAACTATTACAACTTTCAAAATTTTAAAAAAAGTCTTACAAAATACAGTTTTAATGATTGCTGGAACATGTGGACATGTGGATTGTGCTTTAATTACTTCATAAAAATTGTTCTTTTAAAAATGAAAACTGAAAGCAGCATTTAGGAAAATCGTTGAATTTCATTTAATGTTAAAAAGTCGCGACTTAAAGCATGACGAAAGGAAACTAGGGTTTTAAAACCAAGTTTTTTGATCAATAAATCATAAAATAAAAATAGTTCGTAGAAATTGTTGAGAAAAAATGTTATTTGAGTTTTCAAGAGAGCTAACAAATTCTGTATTCCCATGAAATGTTGTGGAAATTACGATCAATCTGTATTGTAGCTTCTACAATCCACTGTATTTCAAGTGTGCTGCGTAGATTCTACAATCCACTCTATAACAGGTATGCTGTGTAGATTCTACAGTCCACTGTATTACAGGTGTATTGCGTAGATTCTACAATCAATTGTATGATAGGTGTCCTGCGTAGATTCTACAATCCACTGTTTTAAAGGTGTGCTGCGCGTAGACTTTACAGTCCACAGTCTTACAGGTGTCCTGCGTAGATTCCACAGTCAACTGTATTACAGGTGTGCTGCGTAGATTCTTACAATCCATTGTATAACAGGTGTAATGCGTAGATTCTACAATCAATTTTATGATAGGTGTGCTGTGTAGATTCTACAATTAACTGTATTACTTGAGTCCTGCATAGATTCTACAATCCAATACATTAAAGGTGTGCTCCGCGTAGACTTTACAATAAAGTATTACAAATGTCCTGCGTAGATTCTAAAATCAACTGTATTACATGTGTCCTGCATAGATTTTTCAATCCACTGTATTTCATATGTGCTGCGAAGATTCTATAATTCATTGTAGTAAATGTGTGCTGCGTAGAATTTACAATCCACTGTTGGAAAGGTGTGCTACGCATAGACTTTACAATCCACTGTATTACAAGTGTGTTGCGTAGATACTACAACTCATTGTATTACATGTGTGCTGCATAGACTCTACAATCCACTAAATTAAATGTGTGCTACGTAAATTCTACATTTAATTGGAGTACATATGTGTTGCGTAGATTTTACAATCCACTGTATTACATGTGTTCTGCGTAGATACTACAATCCATTGTATTACATGTGCTCTGTGTAGATTTTACAATCCACTGTATTCTTCATCTGCAATTCCACAGGGTGGTGCAATCTGTAGCATCAACTAGAAAAAAACCATTAATTACGAAATATAATTTTAAGAGATAGAAGTCACTAGAAAATATTTGAAGGAAGAGATTAAAGATTATAAGATTAGAGGAATTTAAGCTTAAAAGATATTTTAAGCAATAATAATAAGAGATTAGAATGATTATAAGGTTTAAGATTATTAAGTTAAACTTACTATAAAGATTTATATAAGAATCAAAAGAGTATAAGAAAACTGATTACAAGGTTACGAAAATAAGAAGATTTTTAATAATAATAATATATTTCGACATTTAATTTTATAAAGATTTTTTAGAATTCGGTCTAGAACATCAGTAAGAATTATGATAAAATCAAAATTGGAAAGGGATTGAAAGCAAATACGGGGGGGGGGGCCTTTTCATAATAAAAGACTAAACGATTTTGAGTTTAATTCCACTTTTTTTTCTGGATATCAATGCATGTAAAATCAAAATAATGAAATGGAATGATAATAAGTCGTGGGAAGGTTTAAATGGATTTAATTGGATTATTCTAAAGAGTTACAAGAATTCAGATTAGAAATGCTCCACGATGAAAGCTTGCGTTAAGAATGATCATCAGACTTTGCACTTTTGCAAATTATTTCAGATATGTTATTACCTGTAAAAATGTTGTTAGTTTATCCATAAAAGTAAAGACGTATCCAAAATGAACAAAAGGTAGATAAAGAACAGCTCCAAGTACCATAAACATTATGGAGTACATGTACTCAATCTAGAATATAGCGTTTAAACAGTACTACATGTACTCAATCCATACTATAGGGTTTTAATAGTACAGCATCTACAATGTACATATATGTACTTGATCTAGGAAGAGTTTGAATGATATATGCATAAGCATCTAGAATCTAATGCAACAACAAAAATAAAAACGATGAATTAAATTAAATCGTTTGATAAATCATTGCTTTTGACAGGGGAAACAATTGTACACTGTACAATGTAAATTGTACATTGTACGATGTAAAAATTGCAAACTAAAGAGAATACATTTTTTAATTATAAAAAAACATCTCAAAGTCAAAGCCCCTTGAAAGTGAAAACCCTTGAATGCTTAAAAATAATTTACAATGAAGATGTCTAGACAGCAAGTACAAAATCTTTAAATTTGAGACCGTCCCAGGATCGCTGGGTCTTTGCCATAGATCCAAAAGTCCAGGACAGGACATTTGGACACTGTTTATGTACTTAATATATAGTACAAGTTACGTACACTGTGCACAAGTACATAAATAATGATCTACCTGAGGATTGTCGATGATCGGAGCAATCACTAAGTATACACTGATTATCAGGACGACGACTGGGATTATTATTGGAACCTGAAAAATATAGTCTTAGTTATGCTTTTAGGAGAGTACAGTGAAAACAAACAAAAAAACTCTGGAAAGTTAAGACGGTGCCATGACAAACTCCGGAAAGACAAACTCCTGACGAGACAAACTCCTGAAAGTACAAACTCCTGAAAGACAAACTCCTGAAATTATGAAATTTTTCTCTGAATGAAATATGATAAAATTCATAATCTTTAGGAGACAAAATCCGCAAATATCCTAGAAAAAATTCTCAAACTTTAGTAATTTGAATATGTTTCAAGCAGCAAAGTATTACAATGATCAGAATAACCAGCAAATTTATTATTATTTATTTTTTATTATTTAGGGTTAGGTTAGGTTAAGACACTTTCTGGGCCGAGCGCTGCGGCTAGAACAGGCTAGGGGGGCCGAGCGCTGCGCCTAGGACATGCTAGGGGGCCGAGCGCTGCGGCCATGGGTTACGTTAGTTAAGACACTTTCTGGGCCGAGCTCTGCGGCTAGGAAAGGCTAGGGGGCCGAGCGCTGCGGCCATGGGTTAGGTTAAGTTATGACACTTTCTGGGCCGAGCGCTGCGGCTAGATTAAATATTAATTGTGAAACATTTTTTAAAATTTGATATTATGGAGTTTGTATTTCAGAAGATTTTATTTTCAGGAGTTTGTCTCGTCAGGAGTTTGTCTCGTCAGGAGTTTGTCTTTCCGGAGTTTGTCATGGCGCCGTGAAGACGACTTTTAGAACCCATTTATGGCTTTAAATGGTCCAATAAACAAAAAAATAAGAAAAAGTTTAATCAGGCCAATTTCACGTTATAAGTTCCTGGTAAAACTGTGGATTTTATAACAAAAGGAATAACACTAAAGTATTGCTTTAATGTCGTCTTTCTATTCCACAGTTTTCAGGTTCTTATTGTACAAAAAGGACTAATCGATATTTTTCCAGGCCTAATGTTGATTTTATTTGATAGAAAGTTTGTTTACATTGAATTGTTACATGTACATTGCACTATTATGTATATTGCACTATTATGCACATTGCACTATTATTATAGTTATGAGAAATAATTGGAACAAAAACAAAAATAATATTTATCAAACAAAAAGGAGCGATCAAAATAATAAAAAAATTTTAAAATAAGAATTGCTCTGTTTTGTCGAACATATTTTTCAATAAAGATAGACCAAGAATCCATCTTTGTTTACACAATAAGCGTACTGCCATTCATGGGATGAATATAAACAAAACTAAGCAACACTGAGTTGGTTTTCATTTTCCTCAGAAATTTCACTATGTATTTTCCTTAATATTGTTTACCTTATAAGGTCTGGCTAGTTTAGGACATTTATACCGAAGAACAAGCAGAGCAAGCATTGCCATACCGTAGAATATCCACACGGTAAAACTGAGAACAAAATGGTTTGATTATTATTAAAAAAAATTTACAATGAAGGATATCATCAGCTCTCATATTTATAGTATCTTTATGTCAAAATACTCTAGAGAAAATCGTATGTTTGATAAGTTTTCACAAGCAAAATTTTCATTCCTGAAATGGTTTACATACGGTAGTAGGCGATTATTTCAACATAATAAAGACGACTTTCGATTTCAATTTTGATTTATATCAAGCTTTTAAACAGCATTGATACACAAAAAATGAAAACAAAGAGAAAATTTAAATTAAAAAATCTTCTCTTTTATTAATTGAATACTTGCAATTCGAAAAAGCTTGTTACAATAAAAACTTAAATAAAAAGTCGTCTTCATTACATTGATATAATTGCCTACCAACGTATGTAAAGTATCATTTGGGATACTATACATTTATGAAGTTTCCCCTTGGAAAATTTATCTATGGGAAAATTATACATTCTGGAAATTGCCCCTAGGAAAATGATACATTTGGAGAATTGCCACTTCGCACTAAGAAAATTCTACATTTGTGAAGTTGTCATCTTAGAAAATTCTACATTTGTGAAGTTGCCATCTTTGAAAATTCTACATTTGTGAAGTTGCCATCTTAGAAAATTCTACATTTGTGAAGTTGCCATCTTAGAAAATTTTTCATTTGAAAAACGGTTTCCGGAAAGACAAAACCTCTGAACAGACCTGAAGAAGTCAATCAGCCCTTCAATATCCCCGGACAGTACCATAGCTAGAGCAACTACAGCGTGGAACAGTAGAGCAGGAGCAGGGGTCAGCTTCTTGATGTGAACAAAGGACAATACGTCGACAAGATGACCCTCTCGGCTCGCTACATAGCAGAGTCGACCAGCAGCGAAGATTGTTCCATTAGCGGAGCCAAAAGTAGAGATGGCAACGGAGAGAGGCATTAACCAAGCCATAGGTCCTGATACATGGACATTAGATTTTATTGTGTCATTAATTTTTTCCCCTATTATAAGATTTTCTGAAAACTTTTTCAGTTTTATAATTTTATTTACATTTATATCAAGGTTGAAAATGAAGGGTGCATTGTGCACGCAGTTTATGTATCTAGAATGTGATATTTTGGACTGAGAGAAGAAGATATCCATTTTTTCAATTGTAAAATGAGATCATTGGTAAAGCTATTTTAATTTTACATTGTTTTACATACGCAGGGTTATTTTCAATTTTTAGGCTCTATTGGGTCCAAAATTTCAGCTTCTGCAACAATACACACATTGCAATTTTTCATCTTCTCGGTTCTTACCTAGAATCCTGTTCCCGAAGGTGACTGCCACTGCGTCACTGGCCAGCATCTCCGAAGGGGACATCACGGTCAGATAGGAGATGTTCACGAACACATAGCAGATAGTTACCAGGGGGATAGCGATACCTATACAAAATATGGTAAAATTCCTGGTATTCAGGTTAGTTTATTTTCCAAAAGGAATAACTTTAATCCTTTGGACAACAAAATGTATGGATGTAAGGATCAATGAATATCTGCAGATCGATAAATATCTCCAGGATCAATGAATATCAGCAGGATCAATGAATATATGCAGAATCTATGAATCTATGCAGGATCATGAATACTTGCAGGACCGATTAATATCTGCAGGATCGATAAATATATCCAGAATCAATGAATATCAGCAGGATCAATGAATATATATGCAGGATCAATGAATATCTGCAGGATCAATGAATATATACAGGATCCATGAATCTATGCAGGATCATGAATATTTGCAGGATCGATGAATATCTTCAGGATCGATAAATATATCCAGAATCAATGAATATCAGCAGGATCAATGAATATCAGCAGGATCATGAATATCTGCAGGATCGATGAATATCTGCATGATCAATGAATATCTGCAGGATTGATAAATATCTGCAGGATCAATGAATATCTGCAGGATCGATGAATATCTGCAGGATCGATAAATATATCCAGAATAAATGAATATCAGCAGGATCAATGAATATATATGCAGGATCAATGAATATCTGCTGGATCAATGAATATATGCAGGATCTTTGAATCTATGCAGGATCATGAATATTTGCAGGATCGATGAATATCTTCAGGATCGATAAATATATCCAGAATCAATGAATATCAGCAGGATCAATGAATATCAGCAGGATCATGAATATCTGCAGGATCGATGAATATCTGCATGATCAATGAATATCTGCAGGATTGATAAATATCTGCACGATCAATGAATATCAGCAGGATCAATGAATATCTGCAGGATCGATGAATATCTGCAGGATCATGAATATATGCAGGATCGATGAATATCTGCAGGATCATGAATATCTGCAGGATCATGAATATCTGTAGGTTCAATGAATATCTGCAGGATCGATGAATATCTCCAGGATCGATGAATGTCTGCAGGATCGATAAATATCTCCAGGATCAATGAATATCAGCAGGATCAATGAATATCAGCAGGATCGATGAATATCTGCAGGATCGATGAATATCTGCAGGATCATGAATATCTGCAGGATCATGAATATCAGCATGATCAATGAATATCAACAGGATCGATGAATATCAGCAAGATCAATGAATATCTGCAGGATCAATGAATATCTGCAGGATCCATGAATTTATGCAGGATCATGAATATCTCCAGGATCAATGAATATCTGCAGGATCGATGAATATCTGCAGGATCGATGAATATCTGCAGGATCGATGAATATCTGCAGGATCATAAATATCTGCAGGATTAGAATATCAGCAGGATCAATGAATAAAAAGAAAGCCATGAATGCAGGGATGAACAATGTAAATGTGATTATCCCGAAAACGGAAATTAAGTTGCACAATCTCTAACATTTGTTTTCGGATAAATGACTTTTGTTCTCATCTTGAAATATTTAAAATCAGAATATCTTTTTTCGAATTATTAAGAATTAATAAAGGTCTTGATGGTACTGTTGTGAATCTGGTATGCTTCTCATTTAAGAGATACAACTTCAAATCACGGCGAAAGTCTCTTTAAAATGTAAATAAAGAGATTTTTTCTGATTAAATATTATTTCAAGTGAACCAGCAACTTCTAAAAATGAATTTAAACAGTTTTAAATGTCAATTCTTTGCATTTTTTGAAGTTTAATTCTATAAAAAGGCTTTATTTGGATTTTAAGCAATGTATTATTGTTGAAGAAATATTTTCTGTTTTCTATTATTAAATTATGACAAAAACAGTTGAGACAGTATAATACTGTATTTTGGTTCTTAATTCCAGGATCAAAGAGAACTAATTCTTGCCCAATCAAGATAATATTAAGATTTGTAAAAAATGTAGAATAATATTTGTTCTTTCTCTCTAGTTTATTGTTTTTAAAAATCATACATGTGAATAAAGGTTGACGACTAAATGTCTCAAAAAAAATCAAATATCGAAGACGACTTTCAAATCGTCTTTCTGCTCTAATGTTTCGTGGAACACCCTGTATGATGATATTTTTTCTAAGCTCCTTTCCCAAGCAATAAAGTACGGAACCTTTATAATCCAACCCTGTTTTTAAGCACTAACTTGTTTCTTCAATTTACAACTGTCAAACCCTTTCTAAACGGATCAATATTTCCATTCGGTTTATGAAAGAGTTTTTGCCACTAAACTTAAATCTTCTAATCCCGATATCTTTGCAATCTGATGGTGTAAACCTATGATATTTCCAAATTAGAATATTTGATATAACAGAATTTAAAGTTTGAAATATCCTACGTTCGATTACGATCATCTTGTTGCATAAATTAAAAAACTTAATTTCTAAAATTGATCATTTCTAGAATTTATTGGTTTTTTGTTGTTGATCTCGAGTTTAATGTAGCTTAGTGATATCTCAACCAAAAGTTTTAACATCAAATATTTCAGTCAAAAAGGTAAACTAACACTTTAAAACGGTAGGAAACTTAAATACTTTGGATAATCACTAATTTCTAAGGGGTTAATTAACTCCCCCCCCCCCCCGGCCCAGACCCTACCTATGGACAAGGGTAGGTTAACACTAGGGTTAACTATCTCCTCTGTAACATAGTTTAGATTATTCCAACCATCGTATGCCCAGAGTCCAGAATAGAAAGCAGTCGCAATATGACCAACATTTGTCGTGGTTCCCTGAAACAAGGTAATATGTTAAAGAGACTATCCACGTTATTTCAAGTGAACATAATTTAAAGAGATGTATGCAGAAAAGTTTAAAGGGTACCGTTGTAAATCAAGTAAGTAGCTTTATACATGAAGGGACACTTTAAAATTTTGTCAAGAGCCTCTTTACTGAAATGTTAAACAGTGTACCTTCATCAGATGGTTAGAGCTCAGAGATATTTAACAATTTCAACTATTTGTGAAAAATCTTAATCATTATTGTTTTTAATTTTTCTGACATTTTACCAAAACTTTAATGGAATTTTTTAATGGATTAAAAAAAGTTTTTTAACCTCGAACCCTGTTGCAACATGTTCATAACTTCCCTCAGCTATTTTCCACATCCCACCACCTGATAACGGGGAAATAACTAATATTATTTTTATGTGGGTTAAAGATTCAGGGAGAACCAAAAAAACTGTGGTATAGGAAGACGACTGTAAGGATCCATTTAGTAACCACATCAAAGACACTTAATTATTTCTTAAATGTCTTCTTCCTATCCCACTGTTTTCTGGTTCTCACTGTATACAAAAATTTAAATTTTATATCTTTATCTAGTCTTCATATATTACAACAAAACAAACTAAACTAAGGTTTCGAAAAATAGAGTCATTTTCACGCAAACATATACCTTTTAAAATCTTTTATTTGCATCAGTATTTTACCTATTATAATTGCAACAGCAATAAGTTTGCAACTGCAGAACACATTCTGCACAGATGTTGCCAGGGACACAGACCTGATAAACGCGAAATAAATAATTAAATATTTACAAATTGTCAAATATGACAACTACTTCTATTCTGCTACAGCATATTTGATACTACTACTCTACTCGCTAATTCTAATACTGTTACTGGACTGCTAAAGTATATTTTGATATTGCTTCTACTGCTCTAGCCGCTAATTCTAATACAGTTACTGTGACTGGACTGCGATATTAAAGTCTTTAATGTTGCTAATGATACAAGTACAGGGATTGCTGCAGGTGTCGTACAAAAGGGTGGGGAGGCTATGGGGGATTAGCCCCTCCCTGGAAACTATGGTTTGAAGATGACATTCAGCCCTATACAGGGTTATACGACCCCCCCCCCCCTGGAATGTCAAAAAGGTCACTATTATAACTGCAGTTAAAAAATACAATTAGAGCTGTAGTGAAAGCTTCCGCTTTCTGAACTACTACTGCCACTAATACTACAACTACAACTATACTAGCATTGCTTGAAGCTGCAGCTATCTGAACTACTACTACTACTTCTACTCCTATAACTATACCAGTAGTTGATGAATGTACTACAGCTACAGTTGAAGCTCCAGCTATCTGAACTACTACTACTACTACTACTGCTAGCTACTACTATATACTACTACAACTATACCAGCAGTTGATGAATGTAACTACAGCTACAGTTGAAGCTCCAGCTATCTGAACTATAAAAGGATCAGGATCACATTCGCTTGTGAATGCTTCAACCGCGTACTCTGCGAAGGACATGCAGATGATGGCCAGCTGAAACATTACATTTATAAACTAGATTCAATTGGGATCAACGATTAGGGATCAGGGATTAGGAATCAGAGATGAGGGATCAGAGACCAGGGATCAGGGACCAATGATCAGGGACAGGAATATCAATTTAATTTTTAGAGTACTATATTAACTCTTCACAACAGCAACATAGAAATATTTGTTCAGATAAACGTGAATCTTTTAACAAACTGACATTTCGTAGTATTATTTTTACTTGCCAAAATTGAGAAAAGATGAACACTAGACTTAGAATTAAAAAAACTGTTTAACCTGTGAAGGTTTGATTATCATAGTAGAGACCCAGCTAAACATATATGCAGAGAAGGGTCCAAAAGCTTGCATAAAATATCCATACTCAGCTCCAGAACTTAAACATGTTAAAATCATTTAAAATGTAGAATATAGAATGATTTATCTTGTGTACAACGAGTAGCAGAAATTTTTGGATAATAAACATATATGACTTAATGTATCATAGGTTTTCTAGGATAGTGACCGAAATCATGAAAAATTTCTTTAGCCATGCAACGTTTGTGATATTTGAACAAGAATAGAAAAATCTTAAAGCTTTCTTTAATTTATTTTAATTAGATTAAAATGACGCACAAACAAAAATCTAGAAATAGATTTACTAATAAATTAACAATAAGGTATTTTCTATAAAATTCATATAGTTTTCTCTTATATTGGAAGAAATTATAGTTCCTATTAAAGAGACCCTAGCTTAACTTAAAGAGTCACATGCCCGATTTCCAACAATACCACAGTTCCTTATCATCATAGTTCCTGGTTACCTAGTAATCATAGTTCCTGGTTACCTAGTAATCATAGTTCCTGGTTACCTAGTAATCATAGTTCCTAGTTACCTAGTAATCATAGTTCCTGGTTACCTAGTAATCATAGTTCCTGGTTACCTAGTAATCATAGTTCCTAGTTCAGCGTATGATAAAGCTCCCAGCATAGAAACAACTCCACATGCTGTCCAAACACACAATGACATCCCAACAGATCCTGAAAAAAAAGTTTAAAAATCCATTTTAGTCCTTGAGTAAACAGGCATGGAAACTCTCGAGTTTTTTTCTCAATTTTCTAGCATTGTTTAAATCCTTACAGCTAAAGCAAACAATTCTGAATGATAAAACTTAAACTGCATTTAATTTAAAGAGACTGTCCGCCTATTTGAGCATAAATGCACTAAACAATTATACCCAATCTCTAGAAATTGGCCGCAGATGTCGTCATAGTTCAAAACAAACATTCAAAGCAAAAACTGGGAATCCATCAACCAGGGAATATACTTGAGCGGAACGATACGACGCTCAGTTTTATTTCTCAGTCCAAAAAAATGTATAATTTGAGTTTGTAATTAATGAACAGTTTTCAAGTACATAATAATTTTTGAATCTCTCTACCTGTTCTCTCTAGTAGACCAGTTGGGGACACAAATATACCAGATCCTATCATAGTTCCAACTATCAGCGAGATTCCAGAGAATAAACCAACATTTCGCTTCAGGTTTACTAGATAATAATATTAATAATAATCATAAAAAAATGATTTAACCATGATAATAATGCTACCTTGTGCCTGCTCTGTTTCACTGCTAATTGCATCTGAGTTTTCATCCTTCTGTACTGTACTGTCATCTGACTCCTGAACAAGAAGAAATTAAGTTTTAACTTTTTTCAATCTGAAATATTTCTAAAATTTTTAATGGTTTTTATTGTTTCACAATAAAACTTTTATTATTTTAAATTTATTAGATATATTTTCAAATCAACTTGTAGAAACATTTTTAATATCAACCTGTAGAAATGTTTTTAATATCAACCTGTAGATATATTTTTGATATTAACCTGTAAACATATTTTTGAAATAAACCTTTAGATATATTCTTAATATCAACCTGTTGATAATTGATATATTTTCAATATCTACCTGTAGATATATTTTTAATATTAACCTGTAAATATATTTTTAATATTAACCTGTAAATATATTTTTAATATCAACCTGTAGATATATTTTTGAAATCAACCTTTAGATATATTTTTGAAATCAACCTGTAGATATATCTTTAATATCAACCTGTAGATATATTTTTAATATTAACCTGTAAATATATTTTAGATATCAACCTGTAGATAAAAGATATATTTTCATATAAACCTGTAGATATATTTTCAATATCAACCTGTAAATATATCTTTAATATCAACCATAGATATATTTTTAATATCAACCTGTAAATATATTTTTAATATCAACCTGTAAATATATTTTAATTTCAACCTCCTGTATATATATTTTAAATATCAACCTAAAATATATTTTAAAGAAAACTGCCCCCCCCCCTTCCCACCCCCTGCTGACAAGCACTCACCAAATATTGATCGGAGTCCCTTTTCTCCTCTTTGGTCTCTATGCTCCTGGATTTGACCTCCGGTAACCTTGGTTTGATCTCGGTGACCTCGATAGGATCGCCAGCTGCCACATAGTCCTCCCCGTTCCATGCTAAAGGTCGCCGCTAAAAAATATTATCTTTAATTCTCAATATATTTTTGTCAATATTTGTCTTGTCTGTCTGTTTAGGGTTTGTTTGGTAATCTATATTATAAAGCTCTTCGCTCATATATATATAATGTTAGTTATAGCTGGCCAAACGGCTGGACCAAATTGGCTAAATATTTTAGAGGAACCGCATGGGTAACCTTCTGGCTAAAAAAATACGAAAGATTTTTTTTAAATCATTTATTTTATAATCCTTTTTTAATTCGAATTTTTTTATTTAACGGGCAACGCCGGGCCCTTCAGCTAGTATGTTATTAATATGGCTGAACAGTATGTGTGTCAAACCTGACTGATAGGTAGTATTAGTCTCTTTATGTTTTGGCCGGGAGTCGGAATCGCGTTCAAAACATGATTTATTTAGCTAAATAAACAAACCAGAAATTGGAACTCTAATGTAAACTGAAATATTTTGTCCGTAAAAATATAATTGTTTCATGTTATTGTGTTTCAATATATCATTAGACTTGAAAAAGGTTGTTCAATAAATTTTACGACAAAAACAAAAAAGTGAAATAAAAATCGTCTTCGTTTTTAAATATAGAGACGTATCTGAGGATTTTAAATTTGTGACTGTTAATGTTATAACTCTGTAAACGCACCCTTAACATACTCAAACACCAGCATCGTATCTAATTAAAGGATTTAGACGACTTTCATTTCTCTTTTCAGATTATCATTGTATGTATATTATAATCCTAGAACAATACCTGAAGTAATGTTGCATTTGGTTCTAATATTGCTGCATTATCCATCTAAAAATATTTAACGAATACGTATTTGTTGTAATTTGTATTTTGCCTTGACACAAAATTTTAGTACAGAAAGCCTTAACTTTCGAACATACTACGTGTTTTAAATATCAAACCGAATAACGGTTCATTAACATCCAATCAAACCATTAGTGAGTTTATTCCATTACAGACTTGACATGCTAACATTAAAGATTGCAAACGATCTCATGGAAAAATCGATGAGAGTTTAGCCAATCGCTTCTTTCAAAACTGATGCTGAAAACAAGTGCTTTTCATTTCTTAAATGCATGCTTGTAGTAAACACCTACTCCATAACAAATTTTCAAAAGTATATATCTAGGTACAATCCGTCCGCTATCAAACTCAACCAGAACTGAATCCCAGGCTTTTAATGCCACACAGGGACGCAAGTGTAGCTATCAAAATCCAGCTACTAATCCAGTGCTCTTAATGCCAAACAGGGACACAAGCCTAGCTATACAAGCTATGTATATCGATCCCAAATGATGGGGTCTATCCAGTGCTCTAAATGCCACACAAAACACAAGCTTAGCTATACAACAAGCTATCTATAGATCCCAAATGATGGGGACAATCCTACCTGTTTATAAAAACAGGGGTTCAGTCTAGCTATCAACAAGCTAGATATCAATCTCAGATTAACGGGAACGATCCTACCGGTTTTAAAAAACCAGGGTTTCAGGTTTACTCTATCGAAGTAAACAGTACGGAGTTACTCTATAAAGTAAGGTTTACTTAATATCTCATGTCACAAGTTAACATGAATTGACGTAATTACAATTCTTACGTCGTTATCTATATTTGTTAACCATTAACTTTAAGACCTCCGTGTAATGTCGTCTTCCACTTAAATCCCCTCTCGGAGACACCAACCAAATAATTTCAGCACCCATTTTCTTTGTTCTCCAGACGGAGCCTAAACACTTTCGTTTATTGTGAACCCCATAAAAGTTAAACAAGAATGTTTCCATATGAAGAATTACTGAATTTCGTTAAATATTCAACTGTCATTTATTTCAGAAGTTTAAAAACGTATTTCAATACTGATCAACAATAAGTTAACCCTTTATCATTCGCAAATAAATCGTAAGATTTTTTTCTATTATTAACATTTATTATAACATTGTACAAGTAACCATGACCTATAATTTATGTTATTTTTAGGAAATAAAGCTTTTGTTATCGATTTCCTTGAGACGGGGTTACTCTGTTGTGTGTGTATTTGCAGCTAACCGGGGAAAGATTCGTCTGGGGAGAATATATACCCCCCTCTGGAATCCCGACGGGCCTATTGTTCAACTTTATCTGGTGTGTTTGCTGTTATCCGTCAACAATATTACATGATTAAGACAACCATATTACGTATTTACCGCACAGTTAAAGTTTAATGTATGTATTTACAAGATTAGCGAGAATAGAATAACGCAGTTAAGCTATCTCCACACATGTTTATAGTGTAATTTAAATATATCCCATGATTTAATCTAATCATGCTACGTATTCATTTAAAACGCATTTTCAGTGAATATTGTCATTAAGTATAAGTATAAGTCTACAATCTAAATTGTTAATAATGTACAACGTACTGCAGTTTTTACAGAATATCATGTTACACGATATTTGATACATGTCTAGGGCTACAAAAAAGTAAAAGTGAGGTAATGACTACTGATCTCAAATCAATGGCCAATGCATTGCGACACTTAGAAGTCGACCAATTATTGATAATTGACGCAACTGTTAATGGTAGTCTGGATATCTAATTTGTGCTTAGTGTTTCCCGTGTCCCTCCCTTTATTTAATTAAAAAAAATGGCGAAAAATATTTTATATTGCAAAAAGGAATATCCTGGTGTTTAATTAGCATTGAACGTGTATTCGGGTTGAACGAATATTCTCTAATTAGATTTAACTAGATTGCTATTGTTAAAAGATAAAAAAGATTACAATTCAGGAAGTTTGAATTATATCACATTGTTCTTTAAAAATGAAGATTAACAAATGATTTTAAGCGTAAAATATCCCAAAAAAAACTTTAGTTAAATGTCTCCGACTTGAAGTTTGTATTGAATGATGTTTTAACGCCTAAACTACCATGACACGATGACACACACAAATAGATCTGAGAACTAACAAAACAAATATTCTATAAAACGCTTTAAGCTCAAAGCTTCCATTTTATTTCAAAAATTTAACAGGGAAAAGAAGGTTTTGTCCATGAATTGTCTTATCTATAAAATGTGCTGTATAGAAATGTCCTTTGTCTGACATGCACAATCTCTAAAATGTACAATCTATGAAATATACATTCTATGAAGTGTAAATTCTATGAAATGTACAATCTGCGATATTAGTAATGAACAGGATAGATAATAGCAGGAACAAGATAGATAACAGTAAGGAACAGGATAGTAAGGAACAGGGTAGGTAATAGTAAGGAACAGGGTAGGTAATAGTAAGGAACAGAGTAGATAATAGTAAGGAACAGGGTAGATAATAGTAAAGAACAGGAAAGATACTAGTAGGAACAAGGGGGAACATGTTAGAAACAGTGTAGAAAGGTTAGATAATAAGAGTATATGTAGATAATAGAAAGGTTAGATAATAAGAGTATATGTAGATAGTAGAAAGGAATTATATAGATACTATGAAATGAAGGTTATTTACAATACTACTTTATGTTGATCTATTTATATCAGTCATTTCTGAAAACAACTTCCTGTTATATACCAACATCACGTTCCTTCAAATCTCTTTTATATATCAACTCCCCCACCCCCCACCTTCCCTCTATTTCCCCCCCTCTTCCTTGTTCTTTGGTCTTTCCGGTTTATAAGCGTTAAAATCGACACAATTTGTTCTAACGATATTACGTGATGACATGAGGTGGATTTATTTAAAGGACAAAAATATATAATTAATAATATTCTTTGTTTCTTTATTTTTTCTCGTGTGGGAGGTGGGATCGTGGGAGCCTCAGTTAATTTAGTGTACAATTAAATATTTTCAAAATAAAATAAAATTATATAATAAAAAATACAGAAATGCAATTACCACACGAAGTAAGGGAAATGATTACTCGTCTCAAACTCTAAATATCAAACATTTTAACGATTTGGTTGCAAAAATAGCGAATTAGACAATTAGGGTAGCAAGTAATCATTTTGCCTATTCAAGTATGCGAATTTCGCAAAGAATGTATAACAAGCAACTTGTTTTCAGCGAAGTAAGTAAAACGATCTTAAATAAATAGCAAAACGAGACTTTTTCTAAAAATACACAATGCCATGAAGAATGCGTAATATAGGGAAGGCTCTATATTGTCATCATGTTCCATTATCTTTTCATATATCATCCCAGTTTTATGCAAACCTATTTAGGCACCATTGAGTTCAAGGACGTGTTCAGTTGATTTTTTTTTATTAGAACGCAAAAACCGAATATTAACTAATTCTCAAGTTGAAGGTTTAGAAAGTCTACTGTCTACTGAACTAAACTAAACTAGGAAAGTAAGGTTGGAAAGCTTGAGAAAGCTAAATATACAGAGAGAGATGGAGAGAGAGAAGCAAGGATAAAACTATTATTTAAAATTTTACTTCTTCGTCGCCATGGTGCTAATTGAGAAATTTAACTTAAGGGGGTTGGAAGGTTTTATTTCATTTTATTTATTGGAAAAGTTTATCGAGAGTAAGAGGTTCAGGGTCGTAACTGCCCCCCCCCCCCCTCCCTCTTTTCTTAACAAACGGAGGTGGGCTGTTTAATGTAGAAAATATTGGAAATTTTGTGATTAAAACAAACCTAATTTTTATCTGATTAATTTAATTCTAATTTAATTATATGCAGATCATTGTTTATCGCCTAATTTGAATTTGAATATAAATGTGAATATAAATCATCGTCATTTGTTAGAGGAATCGTTTATATAAATAAATAATAAAAGGCAAAAAGAAGGTTTGATGGGGGGATGAATGAGATGGTGACATGGATTTGGGTTGGGTTAAAAGAGATATCGTTTTCAAGACAAAAAGAAACTATAAACTTTGATAACAGTGACACATACGTTCCTTACTTTTGATACTTGCAGTTTAAGAGAATTAATAATTTAAAGTTCAAAGCTTGCAAAAGCAGTTCACTCTTATTGTACTTAACAAAATATTTACAAAATTTTGTTTTCAATGCATGCATTGTTGAGTCAGTGTTCATGGATTATTTACAAACAAAAAGTACAAAGAACTTTTTACATTGTCCAAAAACTCAAATTCTCTTTCTTGCATTTATTACAAATAGAATATTTAAATAATGTGATGTGATCAGAGATGAAATTAAAGATTTTCTTAATTTTGAACATCTTTAGATGAAAGTAATTAAACATTTGCATTTAACTAGATCTCATTATCGAAACTTAATATCTTTGCAACCTGACGTTGAATTACTTTGATATTACAAACTATGAATTTTGCTACATCAAACAGTCCAAGTTTTTAATACCATTAACTAGAGGAGGGGGGGGGGGGGGGCGGGGGGTGCTGTATAAAAATTAAGATTTAAAAATTTGAAAATTATTTATTAAGCATCTACAAATCGATATATATAAAGTGTTGTAATCTCTTTTTGTCTGTCTGTTTGTTTGTCCAATTACAACTCAGGAACTCCTGAACTGATTTGCCTCAAATTTTGATTGTGGATCCACGGGAACGCTTTTAGCGTAATTTCGAGATACTAAATTGAGTGGGTCGACTTTTAAAGCGAACATTAAGTTTCCCGGTAAAATCGACCAAGTGCGGGTAAACGGCAAGAGTAACTATAAGTAATCTGGGCAGTACCGGGTTGATCTGAAAACTCCGTAAATATCTTGATACTCTGAGGATCCAAGGAAAGAACTGGAACGTATTTGAATAAAGAATTGCAAGGGTAGCATGAGTTGAAACTTTTTACAATCCTAAATTTACCGCTATTCAATAAGGGACGCGGGGGGGGGGAGTGCAATAGAACCCCTGAAGTAGAAAAGGTGACACAGAAGTGAATATTAATAAAAGTAATTGGATAAGTTAAATGAGGAGAAAATCCGTGGAAAAAGTTTAAAAATAAAGTGATACCAGAAGAGAAACGAAAACGAAGAGAAAAATATTAGCTATACAATTTTTGTATATACAATTATAATATCAAAAATATCGGCATTATCTTTACAATTGTAATTTCAAAAATACTTTCATTATCCACACAATTTTAATTTCAGAAATACACTCATTTTCAATACAATTGTAATATTAGAAAGACACTCATTTTCTATACAATTGTAACGTTAGAAATACACTCACTTTCAATACAATTGTAATATTAGAAAAACACTTATGGTCTATACAATTGTAATATTAGAAATACACTCATTATCAATGCTTGTAATATTAGAAATACATTCATTATTAATACAATTATAATATTAGAAATACGTTCATTGTCTATAAAATTGTAATATTATAAATACACTTATTGTCTATACAATTGTAATATTAGAAATACACTCATTGTCGAAACAATTATAATATTAGAAATACACTCATTTTCTGTACAATTGTAATATTAAAAATACACTCATTGTCTAAACAATCATAATATTAGAAAAACACACAGTGTTTACTGTCCTTCATTTGAATTTAAGGTATCCAAATCATCAAAAATTACATTCATATTGCTAACAATATCAATTTTTTGCATGATTTCAATGATAAAAAGTAATTTAAGAAGAAAGCATTCAATGTCTTCACAATTGTATTATTAGAAATACAATTTTGTATAAGCTCAGGATCTATACTTTTGAAATCAATAATACACTCTGTTTGTTCTGTTCTGTCTGTAATTGTAATTTGTAATTTTAGCATTGTTTGTTTTACATCTTGACACAGTTGGCTTGTTTAGACCTCATCAAATGATCCTTCCTTCCTGTCAATATGATTACCCCTCCCTAACCCCCCCCCCCCCCCCCTCTTCTCCAGAAAATGATCTCTTTGCCCTCTTAAATATCAATTCTATGCGTATTCAACTCAATACAAGTCAATATTTTTCAATAATAGTTTATGCGAAAGGGATCAATTTGAATATGAATAAAATTATTACAAATATTTCTTGTATTTTTTTTAAAGATTTTAAGAAATTAAAAAAAAACATATTTTCAATAAATGTTCTCAACTAACCCCTGTTATCAATGTCAAGTGCATGGGTTAAGATTGGGCGAGTATTGTTGTTGGTTCCGCAGTTGCCAGCGTGCGTGCGTACAGGACGCAACGTATCGGGGTATACGCAATTTTAGAAGCGCAGAGATGGAGATTTCAATGCTGACCATTCTCCTGGCTTTTCCAGCCTTTAGTACTCAGAACAGGTACAGTGGGGCCTATAAAACTCGGATGAGGAAGACGAGTGGGAAACTTATTTAACGTTAAAGGAGACTGTCGTTGTACTTAAAATTTAAAATTTAAAAAGCCGTCATCTCATGAATTAATTTTCTTGTTTAAAAACTATTCCATTCTGTTAATTTCTCCATTGTTTCTGATGCAAAAAATATGCAAGTCACTTTTGAACCCACAATTGAAAAATGATAATTTTTCAAAAACAAAACAGATAAAGCTTTTGATCAAAATAATCTTTTTTAGAAAACAAAACATTTTATTTTTTAATTAATTAGAGAGCACCGTTGTGAATCGGACATGCCACTCAATCAATGGAGGATGACTTGAAAATACATTTACAGACTATTTAAGATGATTCGATTATTTGCTTCATAACAACCTCAAATATGCATAAAATTTGTCAAATGTCGTGTGTTTTGGGTCTTAGTGCATGGAGGTATAATGCATTTATTGTTGCAGATATATTTCTGTTCTAGGTTATTCATTTACTAACTCTGAATTTAATTAAATATTTCAAAGTTACATAATGAATAAAGTTTGGGAGGGAAAAAATCAAACTTCAAAGCGGAAAATGTTTCAGTATTTTTTAATTAAAAGAATTCAAGATATGTTTTCGATATTTTACATACAAAGAGGAAAGAAAAGGAAGGAAAGATCTTATAAACATTTGAAAATAAAAATCAAAGACTGAAGGGAAATCATTAAAATTTGCATTACTTTAAATTTATAGAATAGAGGGGGAAAAATGAAGGCTAATTCTTAATTCACTGCCATCGTGATAATTTGAAGAGTGCCAGAAACAATAAGAAAAAATTTTAAAAGTAAAGTTGTGAATTGTTTAAAGTGCACAACACACGTCAAGGATTGATAAATTCTTTAAAGAAAAAAGTTATCATTGGATTTTTGGAAATTATTCTCTTATCAAACATTTGTTTCAGGTTACTTGTCATAAACTCTAAACAGAACGAAATGCTTTCTCAGTTTAGTCACGCTCTCCCTGGACACTCTTCAATGACAATTATCCAAACCTTCTCCCGACCCCAAACCCCAACCTTCTCCCGACCCCAAACCCCAACCTTCTCATCCTACATCGAAAACCAGAGTTCGGTTTCAACCCCCTTCCAGTCCCTGCTACACAAGCCCCCTCAGACTTCTCCACAAGAACAAAGAAACTCCTTCTTCTCTCATCCCTCACCTGTATCTTTGGATAGGTCAGCTCCTACCATAACCAGAGCTATTTCAAGTGAAAGTTCTTCTCAAGAATCATTTTCAAGTTTGTCCCATGAATCTGAGGAATATGGAGCGTCTCCAGCATTATTACAATACACATCTTTAAACAATGAATTCAAACAATCCAGGGAAACGAATCCTCCACTTTTGGAGGTAGAGGTCTATCATGCTCCTTTGAATCAAGTCCTACCAACAAATATGAATAAACATCCATACCAAACAAACTTTGATCTGGATACAGTTGAAACTCCAAGAAATCTATTTAATGAACCAACCTCAAATTTTGAACTTGTTAAAGAAGGTGGAATGAGAAGTTCATTTTCACAGCATTCTCTAATTGATTCTGAATTGCTTCAAGGTGATCCACTGGCGTATTCTGAAGAAGAGATCATGAATGAAGATTATGATATGTTGATAAAGAATGATGACACTTCTAGTATACCGGGTCCTTTTGCACCGAGATTCAAGATTGATAAGTGGGAGGTACCTCAAGATGAAGCAAAAATTGAGATTGAATACAACTTTTTAAACACTGGACTTGTACCAGGTATATAACATCTAGATTTTTGAATCCTGCAAATAAGTTTATTATGCTAATAATAGTTTTTACAAATTAAGATTGATCATTTAGATAACTGCATCTTAACATAAATTACATTTTTTATTTAGGGTAGCTTAGAAGGGGAAAAAAGTCGATCAAATATATGCAGTGTTCACCATTTATTTTCAACTCTGCATTGAAAACTTTTATTCATAAAATCGTTTTTAGGTGTTTTACCTACTGTACCTGGTGGCCTGGTGAACATAAACTATGGATTACATGCCTGTGTTCATCTTGGATCTGAACTAAGTCCAAATCAGACAGCCAATCCTCCAACAAGGATTAGTTTTCCTTCCAAACCTGAGAACTATTATACTCTTGCTATGATAGATGCTGAATCAAGAAATCTGCATTGGCTTATTGTTAATATTCCTGGAGGAAAGGTAGATCAAGGAAATGTGATAGCAGTATATCAGCCGCCATCTTCAAAATATAGTACCGGAATGCACCACTATGTAGCTGTGGCGCTAGTGCAGCAAGAAGGCGCTTTTTTGAACGGACTAGAGGATTATATGGCTTCAACATGTGACTGGAAAAACAGAGAAAACTTTGAAATCTCCAGACTGATGAATAGGTTCAGTCTAAACATTATTGCAGGAAATTTTTTGAGATCCATGCACGATTATGAGTTTTCTGAACAGTTCTGCAATTACTCTTACTTGTAGCTTTAAAGGCATCGATATCACCGAAAAGTGGTTTTAAAACATTAAGTGTATATTTAATTTAAATTATATCTTGTTATCCTCTTTGTTGATGAATTATTATATCAAAATAAACATAAATAGTAATAAGATGGTACAAAGTATAGTTTTACGATTTATTCTAAACATTTGCTTTTCTTACACTTTGCCAAAGTTTACTTGCAACGATAAAAAAGCTTAATATTACAGAATACAACGTTTTACTTTTATAACGTTGGAAGTTGACATACAGTGGTAGGCTATTATATCAATACAATGAAGACGAACTTTGATTTAAATTTTGATTTATATCAAGCTTTTCCTTGAATACTTGTAAACTTTTCTTTCAAAAAAAGCTTGCTAACATTCAAAACTTTAATAAAAAAGTCGTCTTTGTAAGTATTTGCGTGACGCTTTTAATGTGTTTAAAAACCTAAAAAAACGAACCAAGCTTTGTCCCATTACTAGAAAGGGAATATAATACTCAATGTAAAGTGAAAAGTTATGGGGAAACTGGTGATAATACAAAACAACTTAAAACAAAAAACTGTGTTTTAGTTTTTTTTTATAATTCCTTGGATGAATGATAAAAAAATTCAATTTTGATGCTGCAGTTCAAGACACCCTACTTACCCTGGAATCTATTATCTATGTTGCAATTAACCAAAAAAACGGGGAAAAGAAATAAATTTTCTATTACGGAAACCCGTTCATCACATGTAGGTCGGATGTGCAGTATAGCAGATTTGGCGTGGGTCAGAAGTGGAGTATAGCGGATTTGCGTAGGTCGAAAGATAAATAATTTAAGCCCCCCCCCACCCTGAACAAATTCAGGAGTACGCCCATGATCTTGTCCCTTCTGGTTCTGTCTCGCCTCCATGTACCTAATACTTTTCGGTATAGAATAGATATCGGTAATGTTGATTCTACTTTTTCTTTTCATTTAAATTTGTTTTAGGATTGTCGTCTTTGATTCACTAAAAATTAAAGTTTACTAATGAATTGCGGCAATATGAGCATAAATATTTATTTCAGAAAATCCGGCGGAAAACGTAATTCGTTAAATAAATCGCAGCAAAAACGTATTCTTGGATTTTTGGCGCAGATATAATGAATATGCAACATTATTTTAGATGAAATGGGGTATATCAAATTTTATTTGATATTTGTAGTTTGCTGTACGTTCATATTTTTCTATTTATATGTTCACACCCAGCCAACATCTGCAAAGGATCTCACAAGGTATTTTTTTCAAGTCGTTCTTTTTGTGATTATTCTAGTGAATTATTTTTTAATCAAATTATATCCGATTATTTTTTAATCAAATTACGCAGTTCCCGTGATAGTAGAACTTACTCCAGACCTCCAGTTCTCATGTACAACAGGATTCCTAAAACTGGCAGTACATCTCTCATGAACATTGCGTACGAGATACGCAGCCAGAATAGGTAGGACGAAATCTTATACACTTCGTGCTTTTAGTTGTGCGTCAATAGTTCTTTAAATAAATTAAAGCTCCTTCGTCTGTCAAATAAAGATATCTTTTCTTAAAATTTAAAAATTAATCTTATTGTGTCTGTCCTAGAGAACGTTTTTTGGACCCCCTCAGGCCCTCCCCCCTCCTATCAATTTTGTACATGACGAAATTAATATAAATTTATTATTATTTAGGGTAGGTTAGGTTAAGACACTTTCTGGGCCGAGCGCTGCGGCTAGGATAGGGTAGGGGGCCGAGCGCTGCGGCCACGGGTTAAGGTTTGTTAAGACACTTTTTGGGCCGAGCGCTGCGGCTAGGACAGGCTAGGGGGTCGAGCGCTGCGGCCACGGGTTAGGTCAAGTTAAGACACTTTCTGTAAGATCAATGAACAAAATTGATAGGAAGGGGGGGGGGGGGGTTCAAAAATCGTTCTCCAGAAATATACCATCTTATTTATCTTATATTGTAATTATTTGAAAATTATTTGAAATTTTAAGAATAACTAACATGAGAATGTTTTTGTCAAATGATAATTTTTTTCTTCTTAAAGGATTATTTTACTTCCATCCGTTTATTTTGATATCCGGTTCAGGGGGTATTAACGAACGTCAACTCTTGAGTCCGTTCTATTATACGAATTTTGGACATGGATCTCATATGTGTCACATGGATATAATTTAAAGTTATTTTGTATTATTTTAGGGTTAGGTTAGGGTAAGACAATATCCGGGCCGAGCGATGCGCGGCTAGGACAGGCAGGGAGTTCGGCGCTGCGGTCACATGACCAGTAATATCCAAACAGCTGTCATAAAAACGATATTATACCTGTCACTTTCCGGTGAATCGCCCTGTTTTATTTTCTTTGTTTTATTTAGTCTTTTTTGTATAGGGGGCCGAGCTCCGCGGTTAGGACAGTCAGGGAGCCTGGCGCTGCGGTCACATGACCGATAATGTACAAACAGCTGTCACAAAAACGTACAAAATTTTGAGGAGGGGGGGGGGTCCAAAATCGTAATTAGGAAATGACCAACTCTTAAATTAAAATTAATAATTTCTAATATTACCTTCTAGATACAGGATAGTGCAGGTTAGGCTGACATCTGCAGGATCCAAGAATATTTTATCCTTCAACGATCAATTGGAGATCAGTAGAAATATATCGGGTATTAAAATAGATAATATCTCCAGGGGTAGCTTATAAAATTTTCCATGGGGGGGGGGGTTGTAACTAAATTAATTAACGTTAAGTGCACCTGAACTTAATATACCCCCCCCCCCCGAGAGTTTTTTTTACAGGGAGTTTGGTCATATTTTATTTTATAAATCATGACAAACTGGAGGTGAAAGGTTTACATCTTAAGGAAAACACACAGTTTTTGTAAATAGTATTCAATACAAACAATAGTATTCACTGCTTATCCGCAATAACTTCACTTCTTTCGAAATAAACGATCTAATTAATTTTTTGTATTCAGCTTGGTCCAGTCTTCCTCTTCTCTTCCATGGACACTTTGCATACTTTGAGCCTTCAACCCTTGGGGTAGATGTTCATCCTGTATTCATCAATCTTATTAGGAAATAACATTCATTCTTTAATTCCTTTATTCATTCAACCCTTGGAGTAGATATTCATCCTGTATTCATCAATTTTATTGGGAATACATTCATTCTTTTAATCCTTCATTCATTCTAACCTTGAAGTAGATATTCATCCTGGATTAATTAATTTTATTAAGAATACATTCATTCTTTCATTCATTCAAACCTTGGAATGTAATTTAAAATTCGTTGATGGTGATGGACCAAACCTCTGTAGAGTAAAGAAAATTGATGTTAATTCCACATTTTATTGATATAATAGCCATCAAAATTGGTAGTAAAAAATGTTTAAAAACCACTAGCAAACTAACAAAGAAAAAAAATTAATTAAATAAAATGGTCCTTCAAATGGAAAAAGGGAAACTAACTCAGATCATGAGATGGAAAAAGATAATTTTCAAATATTTGTTTTAAGACAATTATTATTCCTTGAGATTGTTTCGTCATGAAGATTAAAAACAAACTGTTTATATGTATGTGCATTAAGTTGTGGTGGGGGTCAATCTAATCAACGAACTTTTCGTTTCGGGGGGGGGGGGGATTGTTTAAGGAGAGGTGTTTGAACCTTTTAAAGAATTGGACTGTAAGACATAAACAACACTCTTTTTTCAAATACTGAATTATTTTGAATACAAATTCGTATTCATTCATTTTAACTTTCGAGTAAAATTTATCCAGCATTTATCAATCTTATCAAAAAAAACATTTATTCATTCATTTATATCCTATGTCATAAATCCATTAATCATATTATTATTATCAGAATGAACTTTATTCTTAATTTTTTTATTTTAAAGTCAGTGTTTACGAAATCTTTTAGTCAACATTAATCTTTAAAAAATCTCTATGACCAAAAGAGATCTAAAATGATGTTTTGTGCAGAAAACCTTTAGAACGACTGGTTTCATATTATTATTTCCTGAGGTACGGCGACGATATTCTAGGCAAGAGTTTTTGTGATATCACTTTACATATTTTTCTTCAACAATAGCTTTTTTACTTTAAATAGTGCACACTTTCTTTTTGAAATTATTATTTTAATTCTTTTTTTCATACGTCAAAATAATTTTTTTTTCATATTTTATACGTGTTTTATTCTCTTTTATTAGCCACAATTTTTTATCCGAAAACTGAAATAGAGGACAAGGTTCGATCCAAGCAAGGAGATACAACAACCTTCGACGAGTGTGTTGAGAGGAATCAACCAGACTGTGATCCGAAGGAAAATATTTTTGAGGGATTATGCGTACATCTGTTATAGACAAATTCCAACACATCTATGAATTCGATGGTGCAATATAATACATATTTTAATGTTGTTTACAAGATCTATTTTGTTTCCATTTTGTTTTTTTTCTTGTTGAGAATTGGTATGACTGACCTTTATTATAATGTTGATTAGACCTCTCTTTGCGTTGATATCTTATCAAAGTCACATTCTTTTGTACTTTATGTCTAACATGTCAACTTTTATTCTATTTGTATCATTGAACAGTTGTAGAGAATTTAGCCTGTGCAGTGTCAGAGTTACATCTATACCTACATTCTTAAAAATATTTGGATATAGAAGCTTTGGATGCAAATTCCGTTTTTTTGTGGATCCTCACCCCACTGCTGGGAACCAGGCAAGAACACTAAATATATAAATATATTACATCCCTACTGATTGCCAGGCAGGGACATTAAATATTTTATATCCTAAGGCCTAGTATTTTTTTTGGTTAAACCAATAAAACTCTTTAAAGTTGAATTTTCAATTATTATTTCCGAAAACATTTGATAACATATTTGTTATTTTTAAATCTTTAATTTTTATTTAAATTGTTAATATGAGGGGTCTTAATATTCGTGGTTGGATAACGATATGCTGGAGACATTTTTTGAGTAAAAATATAGATATAAATAGTTACTCAGTGAATCTATAGACTCTACGCAGATATTCTCAATAGGGGTCTAGAGGTTAATTCACCAAATAACCAAACTAACTGGATATTCTTATCTTTAATTTAATTCTGATATTTAGGCTCATCCTGGGCACTTGAGCAGGCTAAACAAAATCTTATCAATAAATATTTAGGTAAATCGAACTTATTCTTGGTGTTGACTCATTGTTTTTTACAATTTTTTATTGATTTTAAATATGATTCTATGATAGGAATATTAAAGATTGAATTGCCCCACCCGCTAATAAACAAAAGATTCACAAAAATTATTTTTAGCTTCAACAATATATTTTTTTTTTCATTATATGAAAAGTAGTATGTTATTAATTGCCCTGCTCTGTAGTATGGAAAAGGTTTGAAAAGTTGATATAAGATGTGAATTGGTTAAAACACTCCCCTGAAATTCTATATTCTTGAGTTCTGATTATATTTGTATGTAGTTCGTGCTTAATCATTATTTTTCTATTGTAGAGGAACCAGAATAAAATACAATATGTTAGGCAGTGTTAGTTATATTTTCTACTATTATATTTATTGTAGTTGTATTTTTCTATAATATTTGTTTTATGATCGTATTTTTCAACAATATTTGTATTTTTCTATAAAACTTGTATTATAATTGTATTTTCAATAATATGTGTTTTGTAGTTGTATTTCTCAATAATATTTGTATTGTAGTTGTATTTTTCTGTAATACTTGTATTATAATTGTATTTTTCAATAATATTTGTATTGTAGTTGTATTTTTATATAATACTGGGCTGCATGACGACCTAACCGACATGTGGCCTGACCCAGGTCGTATTTACCAGTATACGATCCTAACAGGCCCCCTACCCTGAGGCTAACATCTCATTATCTAATGGGGGTGCTGGCGGGTCGGGTAACCTGTTTTACTTCTAAGCTTGCTTAGATGACAAATGGGACCCTTCGGTATAAATAAATAAATATAATACTAAATGAAGGGCCCGGTGTTGCCCGTGAAAAAAAAAATTTGATAAAAAATATTTTTGAAAAAATTTGAAAAAATCACTTTTTTTGCCTAAAACACCCCACGGCCCGTGGCCAACCATGAGTGTCCACAAATAATTTCAACTCATTTGGTCATGCCGGCTATAGGTAACAAATATAATATATATATATAGGAATGTCTTGTTTTATTTTTTGTTGTATTTTTCTAGAATACTTGTATTGTAGTTTCATTTTTCTATAAAATTTGTATTGTAATTGTATTTTTCTACTAATATTCTTATTGTACTTTTATTTTCTATAAAATTTGTATTTTAGTTTTCTTTTTCTTTAATATTTGTATTTTGGTCGTATTTTTCTATATGGCATTGTAGTTGTATTTTTCTTTAATATTTGTATTTTTCTATAATATTTGTATTGTAGTTGTAGGTGTGACTGAGGACCTTGAATCCTTTGTAACTGTTCTAGAACTCCTTCTTCCACAGTACTTTGCAGGAGGGGTTCAGTATCTCAGGTAAACTAGGATATATCTTAATAGCTGTCATAGTTCCATGTTTTATCTTTAAAAGATTATGGAAGTCCACCAACGCAAGCAGAAAAATCCTCGAATTCTTAGATTGTTACTTTTTGCTTAAAAATAACATTCAAACTCCCAACTTCCAAGGAATTTTGGTCCATCATTAATTTTTAAAGATTTAGACCATGTATTTTCATTATTTAGGTCATTTAGTATATGTATCCTTTTACCATTCTTCGGTTCACTTAACTGTTTGTAATTAACTTAATATTTCAGAGACACGGGTAAAGCACACATTAAGCGAACTAAGCATAAAGATCCTGTCTCCCAGCAAACCATAGATAAAATGAAGCGGAGCAAAGTTTTCCAGTTAGAACTAGAATTCTATAATTTTGCTCTCAAACATTTTAAATATACCAAGAAAACTGTCACCTCTAACAAACATAATTTTGTTTACGAGAAAGTAAGACCGAAGTATTAATATACATATATTTGTAATAATTTGATAAATCATACTTTTTAGATTCATTCAGTGCAAACCGTCTTCTCCTTGCTAATATTGTGCCAATTAGTTTTGCTTAGTTTATTCTAGTGCCAGACTTGAAGTTTTTAAAGAAAATTTGTATTTAAAAAAAAATTTGCAGTCATTGTTATCATGATTATTACCAATTAACCTAGCTATAGTTTTTGTATCATTAATTCATGCCCATTCTAACAAGAACTAAAATAAAGATTTAAAAAAAGTTTATTTTAAGCACTCATGAAGTAAAAAAAAAATGAAAACTAAAAAGGGATAAATTGAAAGTTTTTCGCAGATTGTTTATCTTTAACTTTCTAACTCTCATTACACCATTTTTCTAGGAAATCTTAAAATTTGCCTAAAATGTTATTTAAATCTTGTAAAGAGGATAAAAATTTACATTTAAGTTCATTAATTTACAAACAATCATTGTAATACAAATATTTATTTAAGAAATACTCAATTAATTACAAATTTATTTGAATTAAAATTAACAATATTAACCAAATACGTTTCTTACGTTTCTTACTCAACTTGCCTTCGAAGTATTTGCAAGTATTCGTCTGAAGGCCAATTCTTTTTTCAAACTTTTACTGGAAAAACTAAAATAAGACTTAAAGGTTAAAGTGTAAATTTTCAGACAAGATGTCCGCAGGAGCTGGAAACCAGGGGAAAGGAGGGGCAGACGCCCAGCCGGAAAGAAAGAAGCAAAGTATTCTAGGTATGGCGTAGACAGTTCCTTGGATTCCGGATTCCGGATGAACATTTCTTTAAAATTTATTGATTTTTTTAACAAAATAAGTTTCAACTCATTTTTATTTCTTTTTTTGCTTATTTTTAGGCATAATTTAGGAAGTTAGATTCTTGTGGATCCACCGTATCCCGATCCTAAGCATCGGGCGTAGCGATCATGATCTTGAACATAATCTTGTTCTGATCATTTAATTAAATTAATTATTATATTTTTTTTTGTTTCACAAAATCTTGTTTGATTGTTGTAGTCAGTGTTCCCAGTCGCCACAGCAATGAAAATTTCTAATCTGTTGTTGACTTTTGTTAGATTTTCTAATCTTTGTATTTCTGGCTTAAAATGTTCTAATCCTGTCCTAACCGATTTATGGTGCTCTAATCCTGTTAAAACTGGATTTAGGTGTTCTGATCCTGTTAATACCGATTTTAGATGGTCTTGGGGCTCCACGATGGGTTCTCTTTCATAATTAAATTGATTTGATTCGAATCCTGTTATAACTTGTTTTAGGTGTTCTAATCCTGTTAAAACTGGTTTGAGGTTTTCTAATCTTGTGAAAACTGGTTTTAGATGTTCTTATCCTGTTAAAACTGGTTTTCAGGTTTTCTAATCTTGTTATAACTGGTTTTAGATGTTCTTTTCCTGTTATAGCTGGTTTCAGGTTTTCTAATCTTGTTATAACTGGTTTTAGATGTTCTTATCCTGTTAAAACTGGTTTTAAGGTTTCTAATCTTGTTATAACTGGTTTTAGATGTCCTTATCCCGTTATAACTGGTTTCAGGTTTTCTAATCTTGTTATAACTGGTTTTAGATGTTATTTTCCTGTTATAGCTGGTTTCAGGTTATCTTTTCTTGTTATAACTGGTTTTAGATGTTCTAATCCTGTTCAATATTTTCCAGATTTGCAGAGGTTTTTGGACAAACAGATTCGGATCAAGTATGCCGGTGGACGGGAGTGCAGTGGAGTACTAAAGGTATAATAATGTTTGCTCAGGAATTATATTAAAGTTTACAAACGAAGAAAATCTAATTCTAATTCTTGTATCGAAAAAATTAACTCATTTCATCTCATCAACCAGTCAAACATTCGTTATAATGTAAAGCGAAAAAAATATCTTATTAATAAAAATAACTAATTTCTTCCTATCCACTATCTAAACGTTTAATCAAAATGGTAAAACTAAGAAAACTTTTTTTCCATATTTTAGGGGTTTGATCCACTCCTGAATATTGTTTTGGACAACTGTATCGAGTACCTGAGAGGTAAAATTTAATAAATTATTTATCGAAAAAAAAAAATAATGTCAGAATATCGCTCAATTAATAAATAAGGTTTCTCGCCGCGGTTACAAGAAATCTTTTCTTGTAAACTAGATTACTTTTAAGAATTTCTTCGAATCAACCAAATAAACCCTTAAATAAAGCATTGCAATTTTAAGTTGCTCTAAAATAAGGCGAATTATCAATAATCATCCTCCCCTAGTCTAGTGTGCGCTAATTATTTATTGAGGACTAAATGGGGGGAAATGAATTTTCCCTCCCCTTAGCTTAAAAAAATTACCCCTTAAAAATAAATTTCCCCTTGGCTATTTTAGATCCTGATGATCCGTACAAATTGACCGAGGACACCCGACCTTTAGGCCTGGTCGTTTGCAGGTATGAAGCATCCGCAATTTTTGTTCGACGAAAAGGTTTAGCGTTCATTAATTCATAGCTATCAAAAACATTTAAATCGATACCACTGCTTCTATTTTATAACTTGGAACTTGATAATTAACTATTTGAGCTAAACTTACTGGTCTTTACGTAGAAGTTACAGCTCGGAGAAATTTGGGTCATCTCCAAGTTCATATGAAATTTTCTACCGCAGATTTGTCAGATTCAGAAGTGCTTTTTATACTTTTCTAGCATGTTTTAAACGATTTCTCATGTAGGAAGACGAATAGAAGTACTAATTTTTTTTGGCTTACAATGCTTGTCTCGGATTATATAATAGATTTCATTTTTTTGGCTTATCATTCATAAAACTTCCCTGTGGTCACATGTTGTCCCACAAAAAATTTGGGCCCGATCGGTTCAGCCGTTTTTATTGGACACAAACAGACAGACAAACAAACAAGCAGACAAGCCAAAGGGGATGGTGGAGTTGGCACATTTGATGTAAGGGGGGGAGGGACTGCCTTCATTTTTGGTTCAAATCTTCCAATTTTTTGGCTGCACGACTAATTACTAATTAGGGTTCGAAATTCCTAAAATAAAATCAAATTGAACTTTAATGACCTTCAATGACCTCTAATAACCTCCAATGACCTCCACAAATAGAAAATATTTCAACTATGGCTTAATGCATATCAAACGAAAGCTGGGAACCCAGGGAATACAGTAGCAGCAACAAATACAGTTTTTGATCTTCTAATGACCTCTAATGACCTAAATGACCTCCAAAGAGGTCATTAGAAGGTCAAGCACTATTTGTTGCCACTGCTGTATTCCCTGGGTTCCTAGCTTTCGTTTGATATGCATAAAGCCATAGTTAAAACATTTTCATTCTTGGAGGTCATTTAGGTCATTAGAGGTCGTAAGAGGTCATTAGAAGGTCAAATACTGGATTTGTTGCTGTTACTGTATTCCCTGGGTTCCTAGCTTTCGTTTGATATGCATAAAGCCATAGTTGAAATATTTTCTATTTGTGGAGGTCGTTAGAGGTCATTAGAGGTCATTAGAGGTCATTAAAATTCAATTTGATTTTAAAATAGGAATTTCGATCACTAATTAGTCGTGCAGCCAAAAAATTGGAAGATTTAAACCAAAAATGAAGGCAGGCCCTCCCCCCCTTACATCAAATGTGCCAACTCCACCATCCCCTTTGGCTATAGATTTCATTTTTTTGGCTTACAATGTTTGTCTCGGATTATATGATATATTTTTTTGAAATTCTCCCCTCTTCCATAATTTCTTATTTAGAAGGCTTGAAGTGTTGTGCAAACAAACAAGGGTTTGAATAACTGAATTTTAGATTTTTTGAGGGGAAAAGACGACATTTAAGTTTTTATTTTTCCCAAAAGCTTGAAAATTTATTCCTCTGAGTTTAAATTAAACGAAATGAAAACTTATTTTAATAAAGGGGGACAGCTGTTGTACTGATTTGTCCTATGGATGGTATGGAGGCCATATCTAACCCCTTCGTGTCTCAGGTATATTTACAAACTTTTCGAAAAGAGTAAAAAAAAACTATGATAGTTAAGGATTTACGGAAATGACCAATTCAAGCATGATTTTTAAGCATAGATAAGCTTGTCATCATTTTATTTACAAAGTTTGAACGGATTTGAATTTCTTGTAACAATCAAAGAAATTTATACATAACGAAAAAACAACGGTAGAAAGCATTTTTGTCTTTATGGGTTTTATCCAAACAGTAGTTTTTCTAATTTTGATCGTTATGCCTTGATTATTATTTCAGGAGTAAGGAAGGCTGGAGCTGTTGATAACATTGAACTATTACATCCTGTGTTTGAAGTGAAGTCAATGGAAGATCATGTAATGATAAATCTAAATGAGAAAAAAAGATTATCAAATATCTCAATTATTCTTACATATTCTGTTCTCGTCATGGTTTTTTTTCAGAAAAATGTAATGCTTGGTTTAGGAAAGGTGACTCTCGTTAGAGAGAGGGGGGAGAAGGAACGGGTCAAAGTTAAAGTTTGTCGGGAGCTTAATCTCTCCAGTAGATCAGAGGTAGGTTTAATCTCGAGTAGAACAGGTAGGTTAAATCTCCAGTAGATCAGAGGTAGGTTTGATCTCCAGCAGATCACAGGTAGGTTTAATCTCCAGAACACCTGCAGGTTTTCATCTCCAGCAGAGCAGGCGTTTGTTTAATCTCCAGTAGTACACATGCAGGTTTAATCTTTAGCAGAACATAGGTACTGGTAGGTTAAGTCTCCAGAAGAATACATGTCAAAGACATGTAGGTTTAATCTCCCGTTTGACACATTTAGGTTTAATCTCTAGTAATAGATCACAGGTAGGTTTAATCTCTAGTAGAACACAGACAGGTTAATCTACAGTTTTTAAAAAAATAATTTTCATTTAGTTTTTTTCTCTCTCTGAAATAGGGGAAAAAATAATTTTGAGTTCAAAAATAATGATTTATTTGGAGTATAAACTTGTCAGTTGAAGTTCGATTAATTTCAAAGCATATTAACCCTGTGTCGGTTAGATCGAATGTAGAATTTAATAGCATAATAATATTTAGGTTGAATGCTATGATGATCCTGATGAATGGGAACAGTTTAAACTGGAAAAGAAAAAAGTAAGATTTTCTAAAAATCATTATTTAAGGCTTAATCTGTGTTAACCTGTGTTAACCTGCGTTAGTCTGAAAACTCAAAAGCCTTGATCTGGAAAGAATTGAGATGGCATGCCCCGGCTAGATCAAGGAGCTGTCAAGGACAATCTTCGGCTTCTTGATTTGATTTGATTTGATTTGATTTGATTTGATTTGATTTGATTTGATTTGATTTGATTTGATTTGATTTGATTTGATTTGATGATTTGATTTGATTTGATTTGATTTGATTGGTGTATTTTACAATCTTTGCTTTGTTCTACTTATGTTGATAAGTAATTAAGACAGTTGCATTCCTACAGCCTAGGATAACAGAGCTCTGCTAGAAGGCTCTCTGCACTATTTGCAGTGGACGCTGAGAAAGTTGTCTGCACATATGGAGGGAGGGAAGGCCAACGGCCCTGAACCACTTTCTCAATTATTTAGCCTCCTTCTTAACTACAGTAGTCACTGCCGGGGTTACTTAGTCAAGAAAAAGGAATAACAAAGAGCTACTATGTCCAATACTAATCCGGTTTTATATCAACTCAAATAAGCGATCCGAGCCCTTTCTGAAAGGGCCCTGTCCCTGCTCCCTGAGCAGAGCTGTTAAAGGGGACAACTCCGCATTCTGCATGCAGTGGTGCAATTAAATGCGATACTTCCTGAAGAATTCCACTGGACTGGGAACATGTGGAAAAATGGAATGATTTTAATAAAATTCTAATACGCCACTCCTACAAACCCTTATCCTCATCTCCAACTCTCCTCTACCTACCATCTAACCTTCTCACAAGCAGCGAAATGAGACTTGAGGACATTTCTCTGTTGAATCCTACAACAAGTTTACCTTAGAGCGGGTCACTTGATTATCCTTCATTGAACAGCAACCCTCCTTGTACAGGAAAGTAAATATATGCGGTTCAAAGCAAGGAAGCTATTGCTCCCTCGCTGCAATTAGAAACTTATTTGAAGTGCTAGAAGTGATGATCTAGCCAATGCAAGTAGACAGAATGTTCAGCGCTGAGACTGCAATTACATTTAAGCAAACCAAAAAAACGGAGAGGGGTACATCTATACAATAAAATAAACAATCTTTCAACAGCAGCGCCATAAATGGACCGCCAAAAGGAGGCTAGAAAAAGAGAAACTGCGGATGCAAGAAAAAAAGATGATTGATGAACATTTGAAATTATTAACTATGCCTCGTACCATTTTATTTTACAAAAATTATAAAAAAATAAATTATTAAAACATTGTTAAAAAATAAATTATTAAGAATTTATTAGTTGGTTGATTGGCAAAATAAATGGTTTATTAATTAAGTTGTACATTTAATCAAAACGGTGATTGTGAAAGAAATTGATCGTCAATGAAGGGTAGTAGAGGTGAGAACATAGTATTACAGAATGATTCAATATATATCAGAAATATGTCTATTTGAGATATTGTCGGTTACTTCCTTTTGAATAGGAAGTTCGTCGTTCGGTTATAATTTTTTATCAAACAGTTGGATTAAACTATTCTTATGGTAACCATTCACTTTAAGCACTAGAATTCAAAACTGTAAACTGCTAGTCCTAAAAGTTTAAATGTGGTTGTCAAGCAAAATTTATAAATATTTCCTTTAAGGAGGATAAACTGGTGGCAGAAGCTCGAGGAAGGGCTGCTCAAGACAAGCTTTGTAGAGAAAAATGGATGCAGAAAAAAATTGAAAAGGTAGTTTTGTTAATGCTATGTAGTTTCCCCATCTTTATAGTTCACTTGCTTGGAATTTAGAATTTAGAAAACCAATCTTAGAACATTCCCGTTATTCTACCGAGTTCCCTGATCAACACTTGAGGAAAAATGGTAAAAGGGTTACTATCGGACATAAAAAAGAGATTAATGCTTATTACTTAATATATAGACAATCCAATAAGTTTATCTTAAGAAATAAAAATAAGTTGATATTAAAGAAATAAAAATGTTAGGAAAAGTCTGCATTACCATGTCGGCTGGTATCTACATTGTAAATTTTTTTAATCGAAGGACAAAGTTTAAATCCTAATAAATACAGGGGTGGGTTGTCCCAAAACTTTAATCAAACCACCAGGGAACCGACTGAGCGCATTTTAAACATAATTGAGTTCAAAAGTTTTGACCTTAGGCTGAGAAAGACATGAAGGAAAGTGTAGTTCTAATTGAGAAACTGAGATCAGCAAACAAGGTTTGGGAACAGGAGAACAATGTCCAGGTAAGATAATATTTACCATTCTTTAGAACCCATTTTTTAAATTAAAAATTATTATTTTAGATCGTTGATGTTAATCCCCGAAAAATAGCAGTTGAGAAATCGACCAAACCGGTTCAAAGAAAATCTGGAATTCTGCAGGAATCCGGAAACCTGCAGCCCAGCTTGGTTTGCCCGGAATCCAGGAAAACTGTCCCGCGTAGAATCATCTCTACTGAACTCGTGAACCGTGGGGGCAACAGCTCTCGAGGAAAATCCACGAAAGATAGAAACCTTGTTCCAAAACCCCGAATATCATTGGCTAGTCGGACTTCTGGGAATACAACTGAAAGGACTGATAAAGAAGGTTTAGATTTATCAAGACTATCAACTATTCTAGAAGCTACAGAGGTAACATGATACAAACCAGTGCTTAGGATCCGGCTTCCTGGATCCGGATCCGCAAAAATACGCGGATCCAAGGGGTAAAATATCAACTAAAAGCTGCAAAAAAAAATTTTACTCCTAAAACCCAAATCTGAACTTTTGAAAAAAGAGAGATTTTGAAATTTACTCATTACTGAATTGTTCATCAAGTTTATGGTAAAAATAAGCGAAAAAAATAAAACAAAATATTTGAAAATAATTTTTTGTTAAAAAATTCAGTAAATCTTAAAGAAATGACCTGGATCCGGATCCGGATTTGGATCCGGATCCATTTTTTCCAGTGCGGATCCAGGATCCGGATCCGCATCAAAATTAAATGGATCCTAAGCACTGAATTATAAACCTTGTTTAAATTATAAATCCTCCTATATCACTATTTGAACAGAATGTTGGAGAATCAACCACAGCCAGTTCTATTACAGATGAAGTTGACTTTATACCCGTCAGGTAATTATTACCCCCCCCCCCCACACACATACACAGTACACGCATATTATCAGAATCAGATAAGATAAAATTTAATTCACTGACCCCGACTAATATTTTAGAGGTCCAAGTAGAGCTGAAGATGAATTTTCATCGAACAGTGCTAGCGTTGAAGTTGCTAGTCGTAGGTAAAATCTTTATTGCTGAGACGTTATCTTAACCTTTGTAAATAAATAACACAATTGTGAAACTTATTCTTGAGTGGACTTTAATAAACTTTTGAAGAAATATGGTACAAAGACTTTTCCCAAATGTTGATATAAACCAAAATGATTTCCCGTGATAAGACAATGTTTCTTAAAATATTTGGAAGACAAAATATATTTAGGACAATAACAGAATCATCTTTAAAACGTCCTTCATCGATTCTTCCTGCCTCAAGGACCTCTGAAGTCTCCCGTCCTCCTGCCTCGGCCTCTTTAAGAACTAAAGACCTCCAAACCTCAAGCAGACCACTAGACAGTGGGGTCAGCTCTCTCCAGCAGGAATTTGAACCTAGGGCTGGATATTTCAAAACCTCTGACCGAGGTCAAAGCCCTGGAGCTGCCCATGATACCAACCTAGATAGTCCGAATGTCAGTGATAGTTTTGATCTCGAATCTGTCGGATATATTCTTTCTCGAATACAGGAACACAGGTATAACAGTCAAAACTAGACCTACGAATATAAAATATTTTATTTATAGATTTTCAACATTTCAAAATTATTTGTATGTTTTAATTGTGCCGGCATTTAACCTTTTCCAGGGCTACCAGGGCCATTCTGGTAAATGTGAACTACATCGACACAAAATATGAGCTCGATGAGTTCAGTCCTTATGACGTTTATGTATTCAAATTATATTAATTAATTTTGCAAGAATGTTTTACTTTTTGACAAACTGGAGTTCTTGTACAGCTTAACGATACGCAGTCATAAGTTGGTCTCTGGGGCCTTCAAAAAGTTTTATGGGCCTTTTATTGCTGATTTCTATTCTTTTATTTTGTATTTTATTTAGAAAGAAGTTAGAGGAGAATAAGGAAAATACAGATTCGATGGAGTTTAGTCCTGAAACTTTATTCAAAACCGTTGAAGAAAAACCTCAAGGACAGAAGACGAAGGATGCTCAGCACAAGTTTAAAATTGATCAAGCTTTTATTCAGAAAGTTTTGGAATTTGAAACTTCTTCACCACTCCTAAGGAACGACATGTTTTCTTACAATTCCAAACTATTAACACTTAACAGTCAAGATGGATAATAAAATTAAAATTAATAGTCTGAGATATGTGCATGAAAAATATTTTCCACTTAACTCTGAATTTGGCGGAGTCAGGGTTTGCTTTTTGCAATTAACTGTGTTTGGTTACATTAAGTGTTAATTCTAAGTTTTAAAGAAAAATGTTGTGAATTAGCTCGAAAAGTTCATCCAGAAACTTAAATTCCAGCAACAGCAATCCAGAGCCTAGTGTTGAGCTGAAGGTAGAGAGATTTTATTTTTATTTTAAGAATGAATAGAATTAAGGATTTTTAATGTACTTAAAAGTTAATCGTTTTCTTGTTTGTCAAAAACAGGCAAATTACTACCATCAGTCTATTGTCCAGGATCGGAGAAAAACAAGAAGAAAATATAAATCCTCAGCCCAAGTTGCCAGTCGAGATATTAGGGAACAAACTATTTTAATAATTCATTGAAAGAAAATAATCACAAAGAAATTCGAATTAAACTATGCTTTTAACTTTCAACTTTGATTGACGACACGTCTAATTGTTCTAATTTTTTTCTCGGATTTTTCTGTTTACATTGGTGCATTTTCAAAATATATAATTTCGACATTTTTTCATTAACTTTGGGCTCGATCAGTTCAGTCGGTTCGTTTCTTTGATACAATCAAAACATGCGTGTAAAGTATTGACGCGGGGAAATAAACATGTCATGTCCCGGGGGTGTCCCATTTTAGGCTGTGGTAGGGCATAATTCTGGACTTCGGTTCAGCCTGTCCCGTGGTAGTACCTCATCTTCCGATGGCCGGAAGCGGGTGGCGGTCTGGGTTCTCTATCGTGGGGGGGGGGGGGGGCTTTCAGATCTGTCTTCTGATTCTCCTGAAACATTATAGAATAAACCTCAATTAAGATACATCCAGGGGGGGAGATGTACGTTTCTTACTGAATGTTAGATGGTCTAGATTAGTTGTAAACAATAATGGAAAATCAAAACTCAACGGAACGGTTGTAGATTGTAGAAAAAAAAAGTTTTTTTTATTGTGTGGTTTGCGTGGTTGGTATTAACTGTATATGTAAATAAATGATTTACAATGAAAAAAAAAAACTTATTTTTTATAATTGAAACACCGTACTTTTGTTGGACTGAAAATAAAATGTTTGTTTTCTAGTGCATCTAGTTTATCAGATTTAGAATGTTTAAAGCAGTACAGGTAGGGGGCAGTTTATAAATTATACTAAAACATTCAGTTTTTTGGTTAACTTCTTAAAATTCCTCAATATTTGTTGATTTGAAGATAATGATTCCCAATTTTAGTAAATTGTCAAGTCTGGTCAATATTCCTTAAAGGGACTCTAAAGAAAAATGAAAGGGGGTAGAGGCTGAAACCTACGCATTTTAGGAATTGATCGAGACCCATAAGAGTTCTATCTGATGTTCCTGTCTCGAAAAATTGATATAAAACTGTGTCAAATTTGTATGAGACACGGCACTGCTATTGGTGGGAGTTCTGGTCTCGTGATACAGACTCAGTAATTATGTTACCAATTATGTCTATTTAAAATGAAAAATTATTAAATTCAAATAATTATAGGAGCAAACCTAACTTTTCAGGCTCCTCTGGGATATTGTCGTTTTCAGATTGGTTGCATATTTGCTGAATATGATCTGTTTAAACCCACGATTTTTATGCAAAATTTTATATATATTAATTTTTTTATAGATTTGACACATTTTTATATCAATTTCTCGAGACAGGAACATCAGATAGAACTCTTATGGGTCTCGATCAACTCCTTAAATTTTTAGGTTTCAGCCTATATACCCCCTTTAATTTTTACTTTGCAGTCCCTATGAAAACTGAACTAAAAACGGTTGACTTCTTTAAAATGTTTTGTTCTGTATGTTCAAATTTTAAAAACGACCTAAACTTAAAGGAGGCATAAACCTGTTGGAGCCGAGACTAAACCTCCGGATACTGGAACCAATCCTAGTTCTCCGTCAGCAGATCTAGCATTTAGGAAATCCAAGGGAACCCGTCCTAGCCATCTTGCTCCGGAAGAAAACGATAAACTCCGGTAAGTTTTAACTAATAGTTGGTGAGTGGTAGACTCAATTTCTTGTATTTTAATTTTATTGTAAATAGTATTTTAACGGAGATTTATTGTTGGGTGAAATTATTGTTTTATCGTTCTGGTTTCGCTTAGATACCATTTTTTGGTAATAAAAAGCGATTCTTAAAATGGATGTTTTTCGCTATATATATGCACGACATTTTTCACATGATCATCGTAATTGTTCTTGAAAATGTTTAAGGTTTTAGACTCCTTAGCATAGTCGGGCAAACTGTTCCATGGGTTTATCACTCTCACAGAAAAAGAGTTTTTTTCTCATGTTAGAATTGAATTGCTTCACATTTAAATTAAATATTACAGAGTTATTTCAAGGAAATCTTGATTCAAACACTTTCTCCGTCCCGACCACACATCCTGAAAGTTTAACTATAAACCCAAAAACAAGTTATTTGATTAAAGCTGTTCTACGTGTTGATCTGGATCCCCATCTAATTATAACTTATGTTCTGTTTATTAGGTACTATATAAAGAAGTTACTAAGTATGAAGCATGAAGACGTGAAGAATCTCTCAGTTTCTGATCAGTCAACACAATCAACTAATCAATCCAGTTTAGTTCAATCAATCAATAAGGATTCAGGTAGATTAATTTTATTTTATTTTCAATTCTTAAGTCATATTTAGACCTAAAGATTGTCAGTCAATTCTGACAAACTTCAATTGAAATTTATTTGACACTCTTTAACCAGAGTAAAACATATTTCAGTGCATCTAATACCAATATATATATTTCTCTTGTTTGTTTCTTTATCCGTCTGTCGTGTATGTATTTATGTATCCAATAAACGTTAAAACAGCTGAACCGGTCAGGCAACTCAAATTTTAAAAGTTGTGTCCAGAAAATTTTTTTTTTAAATGCGCCAATTTTAAACAAAAAATTCAGCTGAAATATTAGAACAGCTAAAAGGGCGACCAATCGTTAAAAAAATCTTAATTTTATTGTAAAAATCATTTTAGTGTATGAAATATTTTCTTAAATTTAATGTTATTTTAAGATTCCCTTGTACTACATTCCTCGTTGAAAAGTCCATTATCTTGGTCTAGTTCGGATTCAGGTATTCTTACTTCTCTCACTTTTTTTAAAAGTTATTTTTTTCAAACTTCTGAAACTTTTTAAAATTCTTAATGCTTTTTATGCTTTTAAAATTGATATTAATTTTTTTCAAAATAAAGAAGAAAAAATTTACGTTCCATTTGTCAAAGTTAATTTAAAAAAATCTGAAATCAGTTTAAGTATTGTTGTCAATAAATAAATTTGTTGTTTAAATTTTATTTCAAATTAACATTCTTCTTAGCAATTTTCCCAAAATTCATTCAATTTTTGAACGAGATCTTCCCCTTAACTAGTATTCCTCATTTTGTAATAGCTTTCTTTATTCTTGGCTGGTTGGTAACCAATGATACCTCTGTTTAGGGAAGAAGGTTCGGTTTGATCTCCACCCGTCCAATATTCTCCACCAGTCAGAGAACATAGGACGGGTTCAGGAGATCTTCAGCTCATTCAACGGTTCTAGAAGGATGGATTCAAGCTTAGATGCTACTCTATATAGATCTTTGCAATTCTTGGATCAGGACAGGTAAGCAAATTTTAAATTTTGGTTACGTCCGTTTTGCACTATGGTTTTGCATTTTTTTTCACGACATTTTTGATTTTCAACATTTCTTAAAGGGACTAAGTGTAATTTCAAATGACTCCGTGAAAATATAGAACTCTTGAAGGCTTTATCAAGCATCAATTAGATACTTATGTTCATATTGTTAAAAACTGATCATTTTCAATCGTAAGAATTGAAAAAAAATGACTTGCGAATTTAACTTAAGGAAAACACAAAGAAATATTCTAAATTAAAAACTTTTAACCAAGGAAAACGACAATATCTTCCACTTTATTGATCAGATAAAAGTTTCAATGGTACCGTTGTGAATCCGGTATTGCCTTCTTTGCATGGAGTTGAAATTACGCTTACAGTTCCTTTAAATTACGATATTTATAGTTTTTTTAATGTTCTTATGGAAGAAAGACATTTTGTGTTGGAAGAAATAAAAAATAAATTAGTTTCATTCAAACCTCACATTTCAGAGGAATAGATGAAATTGACGGTGTCACCAGCACAAATATACATTATAAAGATAGGGTAGCGGAGAACCCATACCTTACGGAGAACCTACCCAACCTTTCCTACCCAGAGATACAACAGATATTTCAGAGGAAACGATCAGAACTAGAAAACCAACTTCAACTTTTAGACAAACATCGGGGTCAACCTGTAGATCGACAGGTTCATGAAGAACAACACAGTCAACTTGAAGAGCTGGATCTACTTCATCGTCTTGAAGTACTAGATCCTCCATATCCAGAAGAGGAAAGAAGCAATATGCGAACCAGTTCTTCTAATCAACAATTAGAGGTTAGATACTACAAACAATACCTTCACAGGTGGTTTTATGAGTGAAAAATTCTTGTTAAGATCTTGATCAATTTAAAAAATAATTCTGCTCATTATTTATGCAGTCTTGAATTGATAAATGATTCATATGTGTTTCCCTAAATTAATTTTCTATAGCAACAAGCTTATTTTTACAATTTTGTTGCCATGGATTTGGTGTGAAAATAGTTAAAACTTCACGTGTCTGTACACATGTGTAAAAATTAATATTTTACAAATATTTAATTTGAAGTTAACGGATATATGTTAAGGTATTGTTGGCGTAATTACAAGTGGTCATACATGCAAATATTGTAATGCTAGATTCACAACGGTACCCTTGAAAACTTTATCTAATCAATAATAATGTGAACGTTATTGTCCTTTTTCAAGATTTATAGGTGTTTAATTCTTATAACTGTTACATGTTTTCCTGCAGAGGAAATGCGCAAATCGGTTTATTTGAGAATTTACAGTTGAAAATAATAAGTTTTCAAAATTGAAAACAAATATCTAATTCATAATAAATCAGACAACGCTTTAAACGGTACTGTTGTTTTTTATGAAAATCTTTCGGCGTAATATTTTACTACTTTTAACTCAAAAGGAGGCCTGATGAGGTAACCTGAAACAAACTAACACTGAATAAATACTCCTTCCTTTCTTTAGGTTTCTGAGGGATCACTTGTCTCCTCTCGTCCGTCCTCAAGAGCTAGAGTTGCTCGTCCAGAATCTCCGGGTTCAGGAGGAAGCAGCTCAGCACATGAGAAGATTGAAAACTACAGGAGCAGCAGTAGCAGTTTAGCTGTTCTTAGCAGCTCATCTAGTTCATTAACTCATGTCACCAGTAATCCAGCTACAAGCAACATCAGGTCGGTATTAGAAAGCAGTTCTATTTATTTTGTTCGGATTAAGATCTACGGAGAATATAGATATTAGATATACTAGGCGTCCTTTAATTTTAACCTTTAATTGTTGCTTTTTTTTCGATTTTTCATGTTTTTTAAAAAATCGACATTTTTAAACCCTCCATATATGCCTTCCCTTGTAAAAAAAAAAATTTATTTGGGCCCGATCGGTTCAGTCATTTTGGCGTTTATCGGTCACAAACAAACAGACAGACAAGTAAAGTTAATATATATAGATAGATCCGCAGAGCTTTTATTAGGTTTGTATTTTAGTTTGGTTTATATTTTTCCACTTCAGTCGGAATCAAGCAAAGGAAGCTAAAGCATTATTGTTAAAAAATTTTTAAATTTCTCTTCTAAATTCTTTTGTGATTGATTGATTTTTTCCGGTTTAATATTCTTTTTGTTTTGTTTTGTTAGGACCATTTCCGGAGAACTCAGCAGTTTTTCCTCTGGCTTTTCTTTATTCAAAAACCCTAAGGAACACCAAAAACAGGTAATTATTCCAGGGGTGTATAAAATTATTTTTGGGTGGGGGAAAGAAATCAAAGACCTTAGAGTAGGGGAAGTGAAGGAAAACTGGAAGTAAAAAAAGGAAGGTAAGGGGAAAAAAGGAAGGTAAGGGGAAAAAAAGGAAGGTAAGGGGAAAAAAGGAATGTGAAGGCGGAAAGGTAGGAAGGGAAGTAGACAGGGAGGGAGGGAATCGGAAAGGTAGGGAGGGAAGGAGATAGGTAGGGAAGGGGAAAGGGAGGGAATGGGAAGGTTAGGAAAGGGAAGGTCGGAAATGAAAGGGGAAGATTGCGAGGGAAACAGGAAGGTTGAGAAGGAAATAGTCAAACACATTAAAAAAATTTGGCGCTACGCGCACAAATTCAGGACAAGCAGTTTTTGTTAGAGAACTTGAGCGTTACAACCCCAATTAAAATAAATAAAAAAAAAGTTAAAAAAAACTGCCTGTGGCGCCATCTATGCAAAAGGCATCTTTGTGGGGTTTATAATACACTGCAGTATAAATCTTTAAAAATTATGTCTTTTTAGTTCTCGAATTTAGGTAAGAAAATAAAAAAAAAAATTGGAGGGGGTGGGGAAAAAGAATAAAAAAATTGGAATTATATACACCCCTGAACTATTCTTTGAAGAATATTAAGAATGTTATAATAACCTGAACCATATTTTCAGATTCACAGCACACCTCTACAGAAAGTATCTACGAGTGTGAGTATATATACTAGTGAGTACAGGAGGGAGACCACGGACAAAGTTAGATCAGTTTATACGGGTAAGGTTGAAGAAATGCGGGAAACTTCTACGACGTTCTTCTCCGATGTCGGAACAGATAGCGAGTCGGGGAGTAGAATCAGCTGCATAGATCTCAGCTCAGACCAAAGCAACCTTGGATAGGTTTCATTCAGAGTATTTTAGTAATTTATGTGACTTGCCAAGAATTTTAGCGCAAACCTTTACTGCAGAGAGAACGAAAGAGTTTTGTCATAATTCGAATTAGACATGCCATTGCCATGCCACTCTATAGTCGATGGTTACCTTAAGTTACCTCTACACTTTTTAGTCTCTTTTTAAATCAATCTATTTAATTTTTCTTAGATTAATTTAGCCAAAGAAGATTAAATATTTATTGAAAAAAATACACTTCTCTGTTAACTTGTTCTAAATTTGAATAAGATGTATTTGTCTTAAAAAATAATGATACTCTGGTCCGGATTATAATATGCATTTTCTATGCAAATGCAACCTCCTCCACTCTGATTTCTACAGATTTAAGTAGATTGTGGCACTGAAAAGTTAAGATTGCGAAATTCTGTTGCTGCGGAGAATTGTTTTGAGATGAGTGATGTCAACCCTCCTTTCTCTTCTTCTCCGTCCTTTGCTTTCAGGTTTTTTGTCACTTGGCTCGTCTGCCCGTCCTTTGCTTTCAGGTTTTTTGTCACTTGGCTCGTCTGCCCGGCGTTGTCATTAGCTTCCTCATCTAGGTGTTGGCGTCTGAAGAACCATCCAGAAAATAGTTTCTAAAAACAACATTTTTTTCATTTTAGCCCAGAAATAATTATTTAAATTGAATAGCATTTTGATTTTTGATACAATGAGAAGCAGAATACTCTAGAATAGGAAGACGACTTTTAGACTCAAGTTCTGACTTTAAATATCATTGAAACATGACACAGTAGTGTAAACAGGCACATTTCACTGATAATTGATATGATAAGAAAAACTAATTGCTTTGTAACAACATCCAATAGGCCGAATTATTGCTTTAACGTCGTCTTCCTATGCCACAGTTTTCTGGTTATCACTGTACATTTATCCCACCGTTATTAATTTTCTTAAGTAAATATATCTATTTTCTTGTTACCTGCGATAGTTTGGTTTTCTTTTTATCCAAATTCTTGTCAATTTTAAAATTTAAACCATCCCCGTTATTCGGCTCTGCGCAGGATATCATGTCAGTACAAGACCTAGAAGAAAATTTTGTTTATTCTATGCTAAATTATTTAGATGTTTGTGACCTGAAATATAATATTCATAATTTGAAATGTTGATTAATATTTTCCTTTATCTTTTGTTTTGTTGGATTTCGTTTTTTTAGAATTATCTTAAAATGTATTTACCTGGTACAGACAGCATTTAATACTGGGAAGAAAGATGGAGGATTAACTGAATCAGATATATCTCCTGAACCATCATTAAACATTTGATATGTTCTCAAAATTTTAACAAGAGAACTAAGATGTCAAAGTATATATCTTTTTTCGATAACAAAACTGTCTACCTTTTTGAAATGAGAGAACCGGAAGTTGAACTTTGTAAGGTTTGATTTTAAAATCAATGTAGCTGTCAAATTTTATTTTATATTCTAAATATATTTCATTTTTCATTTGTTTGTATTGTAATGGTGAAAACGTTCGAATGGTGGATATCGAGATAAATGATTGATCTCCTCTTTTTCTTAATATCCAGATTAAATAATTCTTGTTCTCCTCTTGTTAATAATCTCCAAATTAATTTACCTATCGGGATTAATCTGTAGATTAATAACAAGAGAAGAACAAGCATTATTTAGAGACGAGATTAAGAAAAAGAGTGGATCAAGCATTAATCCCGATATCCACCATTCAAAAGTTCCCAGCTCTGTTCACACAATCTAGAGTTGCATAGCAGAATAATTAAGCAAAGATGTCATGATCAGAATTAGGTGAATAGTTGATTTAAACACTTTATTCAGTATAAATGTTTTTATTTTCCTTGAAATAGCTGTGGAAATGATAGATTTGGACTTGAAATTGAATTTCTTCTGAGCTTAGGTCCGTTGAGTGCTAAATGACTCTCTCTACTGCCTAGTCCGGATCTGCTATCTCTGCTAGTGAGTCCCGACCTGCTATCCCTGCTGGATAGTCCCGTTCTACTGGTTCGACTACTCAGTCCCCAACGACTATCTTTGGTGTTGATGGGAAGACTATCCTTGCTGGGTGAACCGTGTAGTCCAAGTCGACTACCTAGGCGGGATAAACTTAGCTTAGACCCTCGTTTCTCTAGTCTAAACAATACAATTTTATGACTTGATGGATTTTTATTTTTCTAGGAGTATATATATATATATATATATATATGTATATTTGAATTCACCATGAAACTCCCTCCTCTCCAAATTTTTTTTTAGGTAACACAAATTGGCGGGACAAACTTTATTTAGAAAATATGGAAAATAGGAACTAAATTAGTATTTAAGTTAAAGTGTTTTGAGTTTAAGTGCTGTCCCCGAAAATATGAAAAATTGAATTAAGATATGCTTTGTTTAAAAAGGGAGTGTTCGCAAAAAATGAAAGGGGGTATAGGCTTAATGCGATAAAAAAGCGCTTTTGATCGCTACTAATNTTATATTCTGTCCTCTTGTGTATATTACCTGGAGGTTATCCCATCCTTCCTCCTGTGGTTATATTCTGTCCTTTTGTGTATATTACCTGGAGGTTACCCCATCTTTCTTCCTGTGGTTATATTCTGTCCTTTTGTGTATATTACCTGGAGGTTACCCCATCTTTCTTCCTGAGGTTATATTCTGTCCTCTTGTTTATATTACCTGGAGGTTACCCTATCCTTCCTTCTGAGGTTATATTCTGTCCTCTTGTTTATTAGATTACCTGGAGGTTACCCCATCCTTCCTTCTGAGATTATATTCTGTCCTCGAGTTAGATAAGGGTCGGTCCAACGAGTTCTCAATACTAAATAAAGATGTTGTCGTCAATAATTCAGTTAAACTTATTGTCTATCTTTATATCTATACCTTTGTGTCATGAAGTATAATTTTTATACAGAAAAGTATGTGTAAAAATGTTGAATGATCCGAAATGGTAAAACGTATTATTTGATTTGTTCAGGAATTAAGTTTCTGTCTTCCCTACTTTTTTTCAGACCTTGTGTAAACATATTGGATCGAGAATTCGGAGATAAACAAGACACGGTGACAGTTGAACTCCGTTGATGGACTTGAACGAACGTTTATGGCGTATGTGGAGTTGATGGAGCTGACTGAGTTGATGTGATTAATGAAGCTGATGGAGTTGGTGTAGCTGACAGTAGAATCTTATGTATTTATGTTAAGGTTTTAGTGCACTTGATATAATTGAAATCTTTGATTGTGTAAGTGGCCGAATCTTTTTTTCAATAAACTCGCTTGGGTACAAATATGCAATACACACACCAAAACTGTATTTAATGATTTAATCATACTGTTAGTTTAGGATAACCATGGGATACATGTTCTCTTCCAGGCGGATGAAAAGTTGTTCTCAAAGAGAGGGTTAAGGGGAATAATGAAAAAGGAACAACAGGCTGAAACGGGCAAAATTCTGTTTTACAAGGAGACTTAAATTTCATTTAAATAAAAAAATCATAATCCCATTAGTATTTTAGTATTTTCTTTTTTGAAAATTAGAATTAAAAATGTTTTTCCGCAGGCACGTGCAACATAATATTTTCACAATAAAGAGTTTGTCACTTAATAATGTTGTATACTTGTACAGTTAAACCACTTAAACTGGGGATTAGAAAGGAAAATATATTCAAGCAATTTTATGCTCATTTGGTGCTGAATAAGGCCAATAGTTTTACCGAAAGCATAAAAATCAATTAAGTACGAGAAAAGAGTCTTTGAACAGTTTTGACCAGGAGGATTTGCGGTGGCGGGGGGGGGGGTTCAAAGACGTAAGAGTTAAGAACAACCTTCATATATTTGAAATATGAAAAATCGGATAGAATAGAGCATGATTCCCTTCTCAAGAGTACACTGTAGTCTTTGAAACGAGATCAGCGATTTCTAAAAAATGCGACTGTGTGCCCACCCACCCCCCTCATCCCCATTAAGTTGTGCAATTTCTCAAAATTCAGACAATTAGCAAGTTACGAATTTTAACAGTTTAACTGTAAAGAATAGAAAATTGTGTTATCTTTCTACTTCTCCATATATTCTTTAAAATAAAACAGGCATTCGTATATCTGTTGCGTATATTCGCCCAAACTGCTGGACCGATTGGGCTGAAATTTTTTTTGCGGGCACTCAATGATTGGTCGGAGGGTGTTATAGGCTAAAAATATGAAAATTATTTCTTTTCAATTTTTTTTTAATTAAAAAAATCTTTTCCCCGGGCAAAGCCGGGATCTTCAGCTAGTATGTAATACAGCTCTTCGTTCATATATATTATATGTTAGCTATGGCTGTCCAAACGGCTGGGCTGAATGGGCTGAATTTTTTAAGGGAACCCATGGGTGCCCGGGGAGCAACATAGACTAAAAAAATCTACATTTTTTTAAATTTAAATTTAAATTTAAATGAAAATGAAAGGATTCCAAGAATCTATATAGACTGTTAGTGTTATTATCTATCTGAATTTACCAGTATATCACCCTAGTTTCACCTGTCCATTAGGATTTTTATCCAATAAAACACAAGCGCGATTTTTTGACCAATAGCGATAGTGTGCTATCTATCTATCTT